CCATCCTATTTTTCTCTTTCCATTCTTCTTCTCGCCGTCGTCATCATCCATCGTTCATGGTTATTGTACCCCCTCCTCGAGATTGACCGACCGACCCGGCCGCGGCAATGTCGACGTCCATCTCAACAACGCTCGCTTCGCTGGCGGCGACAACGGCCGCGTCGATAGGGCCCGTTGTAAATGGCACCAATCTCTCATCCAGCGCCGCTGCCAACGCCACGACCACGACCAGCCCAACGGTTCTCGTTCTACCCCAGCTCACGACACCGTTCGTGCCGCCGTCACAATGTACTCCGGTACAAAATTGGACTGCAGCAACGGCTCCGGTTACTTTGGGGGACAGCATTGGAAGCACGATCTATTCGCAAATTCTGCTGCCAGTTACCGATGCGCAGTTCTCCGCCTGCCAGCCATCTGGGTGGAATAATATCAATAGTACATACTGGTTTAGTTACAGCAAAGCCGTCTGTCCCAGCGGCTACAACTACAACCAGTTGTCCGATCTATTCAACAATCAACCCAATACAGAAACGATTCGCACGACAGCATACTGTTGCCCGAGGTGAGTGCTAATGCCAAGCTTCGTCCTGCCGCCACTGCTAATACGCTTCTCTACAGCGGCTTCAGGTACACCATGTTCTACGATATAGAGATATATAGTATATCCGGACCCAACTGCTTTAAGACGACGACCCTGACTCCAACGGCGCAAACCACTCCCACTGCCAATACTACACCCACTACGACTGCCACTGGGTCCGCTCTCAAGACCGCTGCTTCAACGGCGGCTCTTGCAGCAAGGAATGCTACCATTCCTACAACAGTCACGCCCTTGGTGGTAACAATGCTCTACCCACCCTGGAACATTGCGTGGGAAAAGAGAGATACCTCCGAGCTTTCACCAGCGCCACCGACCGTATCAGTGCAGTTTCCTGTCAAGACCTGGGAGCCCGGCACAGAAATCGATCCCAGCCTGACACGGAAGCAACCTGACCCCACCGCGTTGGATAAAGGCCTAGGGCAGATTATTGGAATTGTGGCTGGCTGCGTGGCTGCCGGTTTTGCCGCCATCTCCGCCATATCGCTCTGGTTTTGCATGCGATCACGGCGGAGAGAACGAGAGGCGTTTTATCGCGAAGAGCACCAGCTTCAGGAGCAGCGGCTGCAGCGCATCGGCGAATATCAGAGGTCGCGCTCACCGACCGACGACGAGCCGCTCCCCGTCTACGTCAAATCGCGGGAGCAAGATAAGGCTACCGGCGCTGGCATGGCGGTGCCTCCGTACAAAGAGCGCCCGAGCTCGGAGAGCTCACGGCACAGCCAGCAGCAGGACCACCAGGAGTCAAATGCAAGAGACGGCCGCAACGGCATGCATCAAGACACGGATGGGTTGACATTGCACGATCAACACACACTCGAGACTACACGCCAGCAGAGCGGCGCGCAAACACGTGGTGAGGGGAATCCACGACATGAGAGATGAGGGGGCTACTGGTGTAAAGCATGCTGCTACGCTTGGATAAGCGAGTCACATAAGATCATTTATCATTTGGATCAGGAATTAGCGAATCGAATTTTTCCTCTTTATTCTTCGACGGCCATGACCCGGACATCTTGTTCAAGTTGCATTTCTTTATGTACACAAGCGTCATATATCATGTCATACTAATATGGGTATACAGTTTGTTGGTTTTTTCATCGTAAAGTCATACTTCTGCTGTCTGCGAAGCTTCTGTCAAGGCCGCGCCCCTCGCCAGCTCCTTTTCCAGATCCTCTAGCTTGGACTGCACCGACGGCGGATGCCGCTGGTACGTGAAGAGGGCGACGAGCAGCGATGCTGCGGACACGCCGACGCAAATGTACATGTCGAGGCGAAAAGCGTCAATAAAAGCCTGACGCGCCAGCAGCTGCTGCTTGGGGCCAAACTGGAAGAGGGCGAGCGGCGAGCGGTAGAAGCTGGCCAGCTGGTCGGGCGTGAGGGAGCCTTGCAGACCCTCCTGGATCTTGGTGATGAGGACGATAATGCTGATGGAGACGCCGAGGCTGCCGCCAAAGACGCGCATCTGTGCAATGATGCCCTGCGAGATGGCTGTCGTTTGTTGGTCAGCACAGGCTTCTTCTTATTTGGTGTGACGGGGTGGGAGGGGGAAAGGGCACGTACCATGGTCTTCAAAGTCGGACTGCAAAACAGCGAGAAACGTGGTACTGGAGATTTTCAGACCCAGACCGACGCCGAGGACGGCTTCGAGGCCCCATTGCCATGCTGGCGGCTTGGGGGCGTCGGGGAGGCGGGAGAGGACGCCGCAAGATATGGTGAGGATGGCGCTGGCGGCGAGGAGAACGGGAAAGGTGTTGTTGCGGCGCAGAGAGAGACCTCCGCCGATGGCACAGCCGGCCGCGCCGCCGCCCATCATGGGAAGTAAAAGGGCGCCGGCCTTGACGGGCCCGTAGAGGTTGACAATTTGCGATCGGAGTGGTATGTTGATGATGGCGAGGAGCAGAACGAAGCCGGATAGGAACGTGTCGCTGTTGTTTGCATGGCCCAATTTAGCACTCTGCTGTTTTTTTGGTCTGCTATGAAGGGGGACCGGGGTTGCTTACAAGATGGCGGCGAGCATGACGCGGCTCGTGAGAATGTGAAAGGGCAGCTGCGGCCGGATGAGGCGGAGGCGCGGGTCGCGGGCGAGCTGGCGCTGCCAAAGGACGAGGCCGATCCAGCAGAGGCCGCTGATGACAAGGACAGAGATTGTCGGGGCGCTGCGCCAGGCGTAGTCGCGGATGGCGGCCTGGTTGATGATGAAGACGGGGAGGATGGTGGCGGCGAGGACGAGAACGGCGCCTAGGTAGTCGAGGCGGCGCATGTCAATCTTGACGAAGAGCTGGTAATCTTTGGGCCAGAGGAGTAAGAGGAGGATGCCAGGTACGAAAGCACACGGGCCGCTAGGTTTTTGCGCGTTAGCCGTCTATCGAAGATTGGAACACAGGAGCAGTAGTCAACCACAGGGGCGAGAATGGGCTGGACGAAAGAAACATACTTTATCCAAAACACATAACGCCAGCCGACATAGGTGGTGAGCAAGCCGCCGATGACGGGCCCGCAGACACCGGCCAGGGCGACAATGACGCCGAGGGCCGACGTGACGAGGACGACACGCGAGGGCGGGCTGAGCTCCGGATAAGTGACCATGGCCATGGCGTAGAGGCCGGCGCCGCCGACGCCCTGGGCGGCGCGGAAGCCGATGAGCTGGTCGAGGTTGGCCGAGGCGGCGCAACCCATGGAGGCGGCGAGGAAAATGGTAAAGGAGGCGACGACGACGGTCTTGCGGCCGAGAGCGTCGGAGAGCCGGGCCATGGCGACGGCGAAGCCTTTTCGTCACTCGATTAGTTTTTGCTTTCTCTAGTACGGGCGAGAAAGAACAAGGAGCGGAGGAGACGAACCGACTTCGGTGAGTGTATAGGCCAAGACCACCCAGGAAGAGGTTTTGAAATCTTCAAACTCGGCGGATATGTCGACGAGCATGGTGGCGACGACGGTGGCGTCGAGGAGCGAGAGGAACAGGCCCATGCCAATGCTACACATTCGAGGGTGTCAGTCGTACATGATTTGCTATCGCGCTAGATCAGAATCCAATAAGAAAGAATTCACATACCAAAAGAATATGACGGCGAGGCGCCAGGCGGCAATGGGTTTGTTGCGCCGCACCACGATGGCGCTGTCGGCGCTGGCATTGTCAAGTGATGAGGACGGGCCCTCGCCGCGGGAGCTGCTGTCGAGTGTCGTGTCCGCCGATGCGGATCCCATGCTCTTGACCTCGTCGCTCATAGTCGAGGGTCCCTCTCTGATTTCTTCAATGTATCGCCGACGATTATCCCCTCGAGGCGCTCACGCGCGCAAAAGTTGGGGGATTGGGGAGCGAGGTCGTCTGTTCTGTTTTGGTGCTAGCACCAATTGGCCCCCAGTCCTCAGAGGTTGTCTGCGGCTCCGTGGGCATCTGGGCACGGAAAATTGTCTTCTTCTCTTTTGGCTTTTTACTTGTGGGAAAGATGTCGAGGAATTATATCAAAAAGGATAAGCCGTAAAATAGGTGATTGACGTAATTTGTCCATTGTGACAAGGAAAAGGCAATAAAAATCCAAAGAGGTCTCGGGGTGATGGAGGAGCCCGATGGCCACAGACTCTGGGGCCCCAGATCGGCGAGGGGAGACGATCAAATTGCAACGCTAACCAAAATTGTTTTCCGCGTATACTTTTCTTTCCCTCCCTTCTGTTTACCTTGACATTTACACCAAAATGGCCTTACGAATATAGCCTATGACCAAATAGAGGCGTTACCCCGCTCGTGGTGCGTCTTGTTTGGGCGACGACGCCAGCAGACGGCTGACGGCCAGGCGGCTTATCATGTTTAGGCCCGTGGCAATGTCAATTGCAGATCGGTCTGGGGTTCAAAGATGGGGGGTTACAGTGAAGGAGGGGAAGTTGGGCACTGTACGGAGTATGGGCGTTTGATTTCCAACAACGGACAATAGACCAAATAAGATCAGTGCGGGTGGAACAATGAGTGGTTTCGTCATGATCATGATGCTTTTTTTGTATGCACCGAACTATCAATGCAAGCGTACAACTGGCGTCACATCACAATAATGCGACTGAACTCAGAATGACATGGTGATGCGGCACTGTGCTCGATAGACCGTATAAATGTGGGCTTGTCAAGTCGGGAGTCTGGGGCTCCGGTCCCCAAGAATATTGGCGGGGAAGGCGTGCAGGTGCCGAGGAATTAGAGCAGTTCAAATGGGCCATTTGACAGATTTGACATGAGATTGTGCGCACTTTGGCGCATGCTGGTGGCTGAGCTGGGCTGGGCGAGGCCGAGGCATGCACGGCATGGCAGCCGTTTTTCCCCTCAGTTGAGATGCAAAATAGCTGCAGTGGCGTCTTTCCGGGGAAAAAGCGAGAACAAAGAAGAATGGTGACATGTTGATCAAATTTATTTAATCACTTTTTGCTAGCAAGGAGTCTGGGAAGAGCCCGAAGTCCGAAAAGACAAAAAAACGTGCCTCTTGACAACTTTCTATTATTCCTTAGTCCGCGGACCCAACTTTGACAGACGGGGCGGTCTAATGGAAATAGCGGCGACGTCGCGCTGGGGGTTATAATTATGGGTGCAGCCTCAGCCGCAACAGGACTAAAAGTAGACGGATGAGAAATACCTACTAGCGGGCGCGCTACGAAGCAGCTTACTGCGGGCTGACCAAAAACAAAAAGAGCGAGGTTATTTTTGCAGAGGGTTTTGGTTGTGACGGCGTCGCTCTCGTTGTTGATGATTTGAATTACCTAATTCGGACCGGGATGGGTTCGGGCAGTGAGAACTTATTGTTACACCCGCATGCAGTGCTGTAATACAAGTTATTATATAAATGTTCGTAAAACAGAAGCCATGGCGGTCACGGCACCTTTTCGAGGGCTGTACCCGGATTGGTTCAAAAGGCTCTCGCGCCTCATCAGCGTGGTATCCTCGTCACCCAGGACGCAGCTTTAGATATCAGCACAAGAGCCAAAGAAGGGAATTACCTATATACAAAAGACGCCAGAATCAGCCTATCCGCTCGCTCTACGAGGCCCCCAAGTGTAACGCGAGAAAATTGACGTGATTGTGCGTGCGCCCGTTGCGCCCAAGAACTGACCACGCTGACGTCATGCGTGGCCCATCTTGAATTGTTGCAGTGGAGAAGGACCAAAACAAAGCGGGCTCCTTTCAAACGTTCGCTGCAAGCAGCAACTGTAAAAAAAGAGTACGGCATAGAAAGACATCTCCATCGAATTGGGTGTCAAATCTGATAACAGATGTAGCCATAAAAAAGATCGGGGGATGATAGCATCTCTTGAGGAATGGCGTACGGAGGACAAGCCGACAATCCGCATAGTAACCCGACCTTGTGCCAGCCACTGCCGCTTGAACAAGTTGGCCTTGCGCCATGGCTTTTCTTCTCCCTTCATCATGTTTTTTATAACTTTTGATTTCAGTTAGCTCATATCTCAATGATCCCATTGCCATCACTCTGCGTGGTCTGGCTGTAAATTGTGCCCGATCACGTGCCGTGGTTTGAATCCATCGTCAATTCCCAAGCTTGTTTCGCCAAAAGCATGAGTACTTGCGAGGTACTTGGCTGCTGTGATGGCAAGGGGCCATCTCCACTGCAACTTGGGAAAGGTTGCTGCGTCTTATCTGAGCCAATGCCAGCGAGACGATAAGCGGGACAGGTGGGCTGTAGCCTGTAGGGGCTCATTGGCTATGGAGCCAGTACGTCACAGCCTCACGGGTAGGGAAGCGTCTGCAATTTAGGTGCAGTGCACGAAGCGAGTGCCTCAAGGTGATCTTGAGCAGCAAATGCAGGGAAATTTGGTGGTGGCCTGCTCTGAATTGCTTACTGGGGACGGGGCTGTAAGTAACGTTATAAAGCGTTCTCTCAGTTCAGCGCATTGCTTCAGGAAGTACAGGCGTCAATAATAGCCGCATGCATCTTACCAACTGCTCCAAGATGCTAGTACTCGTATCGTCAGGCCGCAAATTCTGTAGCCCTCGCTAGTGTGTAACAGGGCGCAGCAAATGGACAACAATAAACCGCTCAAGTAGATAGTTGACCAGGTACCTAGGTGCATCAATGTCTTGGTTGTCTTCACAATGGACAGCGACACGTCTCTGTGCAGGCCAGCCAGCACTTTGCTATAGCGCCTTGGACATGTCATTTAGCGGTCGTCCTGCCTGCACCTGTACGGAGTAGATGCCACCAAACCGCCAAGACTTGCCCCGGGCACAACCCGGGGGGACTCCATTTGCGATGAGTGGTCTATCCAAACTCTGCCAGTGCTGTGTCAGTATTTCTAGCAATTTCTCTGCTATTAAATTTTCCAATGGCGCCGTCGCTGGGAATTCAGTTGCTTCAGTGGCTTCTGCTAACGACTGCTGCCTTAGCGGGCTGCCTGGCGCAACACGCCTGCAAAGTCTGTAACCCCGGCCATCGCCTGTAGCCCCGGCCCCCACATGAATCGGTGCGTACCTTCCAAGTACCCATGAGCTGCCTCCATTACCTTATCCTCCACGATTTTGCCCGTGCTCCGTTCGTCGTCTTAGACTTTCCCCTCATCCGTCGCTTCCATCTCAAACATCTTCCTCTTGTCATCACTTTTCTGTATCTCCAATCTCACGAATTCTTCTCTCTCTCTCTCTCTCCATCACCCCTTCTCCTTCTCTCCCTCCATCTCACGCAGCCCCTCTCCCCTCTACTGCCGCGTGGCTAGATGCCGTATACATCGACGCTCCCACCCACTCCCGCTTAACCTTTCACTGCCGGTATGTGCCCGGCCCTGGTGTTGACGCTGTCGCTCTTCGTATTTCCTCCCCTAGATGCTGATTCGTTGTTTTTGCAGAGCACACAGCAGTCGCGGGACCAGCCTTCTAACCTTGCAACCGCACGCTCGCCATCATGATTTCAGCCGCTACTCAGTCCACCCCGCGCGCCAGGCTGGCTTTGGCCCGCGCTTCCACCACATCTGCCGCTCGTCAGACTCGCCAATACCGCTACGGCCCTTGGCAGGTCGAGACCGACCACGAAGCCCGCGGTCGCCATCGCTCAGTCCGCTACAGATACATGGAGACGCTCAGCCGCAGGTTTGCTTGGGACAACAAGAGCGCTCGCAACGCCGCCAAGTCCACCACCCACATCGCCACCCCAGCTTACACTCACGCCATACATAGCACCAGCATTAGCTACGCTGACACTGCCAATGTCAAGTCTTGGTCCGATAACCTTTCGAGTCTCAGCTCCGCCAAGACGGCCGGCGCTCTTCAACGCGATGCTGTCGACCAGCTGCTGCGTCCTCAGCAAGATACCCCACAGAGCATCAAGAATCTCCGCCTTCCCCTCAAGAGCGTCCGCGACTATGTCCAAGATTTTGCTCCCAAGGACACCACACAAACTGTCGATGCTGAGAAGATGATCGAAGCCACCTCGCAGTTTCCCCAGTACAAGGATCTTCACGCCTACAAGTCGGCCAGCTTTGACGACCCCAACACACCTTGGGAGCTCACTGCTGAAGAAAAGTCCAAGCACTACAACGATTTGAAGAAATACCGCCCCATCGAGTGGAACGAACCCGACGGCCTGCCTTCCCAGAGCGCTGAGCAGTACAAGGACCTAAATGAGTACAAACCATCCAAGTATAACGAGCCTGACGGCCTTCCTGGTCGCACTCCCGAGGAGAAGAGCAAAGACTACGATGATCTGCACAAGTACGGCCCCGTCACCTGGAACGAACCTGATGGTCTTCCTGGCATGACTGCCGAGGAAAAGACCAAGCTCTACAAGGATCTCAACAAATACGGCGCCGTGACGTACAGCGAGCCCGATGGCCTCCGCCCCTTGACGCCGGAAGAGCTATCCAAAAACTATGAAGACTTGGACAAGTACGCTGAAGGCTTCAAGTGCAAGGATGCTCTCCTCGAGGCTCAGCAGGCACGCGAAATGGACGGCACCCCCCGTGGTACCCCTCGCCCGCCCAAGGTCGACGTCAAGCCCGCCAACTATGCCCAAGAATACAAGGACCTGGACAAATACGGCCCTGTTCGCTGGAATGAGCCTGACGGTCTCCCGCCTCCCACCCCCGAGGAATTGAGCAAAAGGTACGATGACCTGGATCGCTACGCCCAGTATGACAATGCTGGTCCCAAGTCGGCCCGCATTCACCCGGAAGAGGCTTCCAAGCGTTACGGCGACCTCAACAAGTACGACGAATTCCCCAACGCCGACCCTGCTGTTGCACGTCTTCACCCAGAGGAAGCATCCAAACGCTATAGTGATCTTTCACAATACCCTAGAGCGGGATTCGAGGAGCCTGACGTCAAGGAACACGTTCATCCTGAGGAGCTCACCAAGAACTATGCTGATCTTGCCAGCTACAATCCCCGCGCCTTCGACGCAGCCAACAAAAAATATCCGACTCACCCTGAGGAGGCCACAAAAAACTACAAGGATCTCGGCAGCTACGATAACCCCATTCTGGATGACATTGCCGCTCAACCCATAACCTCCGAATTTAATGAGCATGATCTTGAGATTCGTCTCAAGACTGCTTCTCACCAATCTAGCACGAGTAAGCTGCAGTTAGCTCCCAATGTGCCCAACGGCGCTACCAAGGCTGCTGCCAAACGTCGTTTCGTCAACCTCGAAGATGCGAAGAAGAAATATCAGACGTCTTTCGAGGCCGACGTCCCCAAGGGCCCAGTCACCAAGGCACAGCCCTTTGTTGATGTCGAATTCGAGGCTGCCCGCCGCGCCAAGAAACTCGTGGATGGCAAGTCCAAGTACGCCGCTGAGTGGGGTGCTGAGGAGCACCAGCAGCCACCGGTGGCTTCACAACTCGAGACTGTCGCTGAGCAGAGACTCTCCAAGCTCGAGGCGGCCAAGGCTGAGCACGAGCGCCGCTTTGAGCAGGAGAGCGATGAGGGCGTCAGCTCCATGGACGAGAGCTTCCCCACAAGCAAAAGCACCGTCCAAGAGGCCCTCGACAAGTTGTCTGCGGAGCAAAAGGGCGCCATGAGCGCGGCCGAGCGAGCTCAGGCTCAGCAGGAACCCTACTCAAAAGCCCCGCAAGGACTGGAAGTAAGCTATTCACAAGAAACTGGCGGTAAAGCGACTTGGCCGACACTCGTGACGCATTATCGATCCGATGCTAACGAAACTGCAGAACAAGACTCGCCGTCGCAAGCAGTAAGTGGAGGACATGGCGCCCACACAGCCGCTGCCGAGTACGTGATCCTCGCGTTTGACCCGGAGACGCAGACGGTCAATGTTGCAGAGACGAGCTCGGCCGTGGAATCCGTAGACTCTTCGTCGCAGCAGACGCCTGCCGAGACTATCCTGAGGCTGTCAAACCCAGCCAAATTCTTTCCGCACTTTAAGCCCCTGCAGGCGCACGGCTACGAGATTGTCTCGGGCCGCGGCGACGTCTTGGTCTTTCGCAGGGTCGGGCGGGCGGAGCCCGGCGCGCCTGCATACGACCCAAGCGTCGTGGGCAGGCGGAAGCGATCGCTGGGCAGTAAGCTGGTCCTCGGCACGGCAGCGGCGGCCGGCACCGTGTATGGCGTCGGCGTGTTGGCGGAGCATCTGTCGGCAAATGGCCTGATTTAACAAGCTTTCGTTTTTCGCTGCTCCTTTTTTTTTGTTGTTTTATAAACATGGCGCACGCATGGATACACCTTACAGCAGACATGGATTTCTGGCGTTTCTTTTCTTTTTGCTTTCTTGATCATAGTGTACAATGGATTACACACACACGGTCGTGACAAGTACCCAGGACTCGGTTTCGACCGCAGGTTTAAATTAGCTAGGCATTCCCAAGAGCTTGAATTACCATCGTCAATTTCCTCGTAGCCATTGTTTTTCATGCTCCACTCGGTGCTTAAGTAGGTTTGCCTGCCAGCAAAGTCTTTCTGTTCCATTCCTCGCAGTCATTCTTATTCTTTGTTGTCATGCCGTCGTTTTGCAAACTGTACGTTCTCGCCTAAATAGTCATTTCGACTCCTTTTTTTTTTTTTTTAAGGATTCTTTTGTCTTGAAAATTCTTTCCTTCTTCGCGTTGTCATGTCAAAAACTTTCAAGGCGACCGCTCGGTAAATCCAGGACCGGTCCGGACACTATCCAGCGCCGCCATCTGCAGCTCGTGCTTGCGGTCCTGCGCATTCCAGCTCTGCCGACGCTCAAAATTGGGCGTCCAAGACGTTGTTGTCTTTTGCTGGGCCGACGACGCTGCGCTGCTGCTGCCGCTGCTGGCTCTTTTCTTCTCCTGCTGGGTACCGCGTCGGTCGCCAGACTCTACTTTTCCTCATGCGCAAAAAAAAGGATTGCAAGAGTTAGCCCGCTTGTGCGCAAAGACTTGTGCAAACTGATTTGTGTAAGGGGCGCGTACCTCGCGTGGTGTGCAGCGGGAGGGTGGTGGTCTGTTGTGCCGGTTCGGACATTGTAAAGGACCGATTAGAGGGAGAGGATGGGTTCTAGGTGTTGCAGTGGGAGACGGATATGCCACGAGGCTGATGAAGTTGTGTCAAAAAGAGATGGGTACTACAAGGTTTGAGTAGGTGTGCAGAACTGGTTATTATCGGAAGGAGGGGGGAGGAGGTGGCGACGTTTGTCACGAGACCCTGGATGCGTGTGTGTGGCTGTCTTGCTTTCTCATACGATGTCTCATGTCTACGAACCTACAGATTGATTTTCTTTGGACAATTCAACCGTAAACTACGGGGCTACTAGGAAAATGTTGCTATTCATGCACACAAGCATAACTCTGGTCTTGTAGCCGTTTGGAGATAATGCATCACCAATCGCAGGGTAGCTAAGGTGGCAGCGGTTTTAGCCCGGCTCTACCATGCAACAAGTGCAAGCCCAATAAAAACAAGCTGAGCAGGTGTACGAATCTCCGAGAATCAGAGCAAAACGGATATATAAAGCAATAAAGAAGATAAAAATGACAATCTAGATGGTGTAGTACATTGCAAATTTTGTAGATTGTGACGCTAAAGCGTAGCCACCCAATGAGTCAGTACTTTGTGTTGTACTCTGCTGAAAGGACGAGGAACCGACCCACGACAAACAAAAATGCAAGCACGAGAAATGAAATCAGCACAAATAGCGAACTGGCTCAGAGAGCCAGCACAGCAGACTTATCGTCGGAAAAGACGACGGAACGGATTGCTCAACCTGCTACCGCCACTAGACACGACCTTTGGTGTCGGTCCATTAGACGGTTTCGGTGTATCAGAAGACTTCGTTGCATCGGATGACTTCGTTGCATCAGAGGGCTTCGTTGCATCAGATGGTTTTGTTGTAGTAGATGGCTTCGGCTCTGTCCCCTCAGATGGTTGAGATTTCGTTGTATCAGATGGCTTTGGCTCAGCTGTATCGGATGATTTTGGCTTTGTTGTAGTGGATGGCTTCGGCTCGGTTGTAGTAGATGCTTTCGGCTCCGATGCAGTGGATGAAATCGGCTCTGTCGTAGTAGATGGCTTCGGCTCCGATACAGTGGATGAACTCGTTCCTGCTGTAGTAGATGGATTCGGCTCCGTTCCATTGGCCGGCAGCTTGGCCGCCAGGCTCCTGACGTTAGAGCCGCCGGTCATGACGGCGTTAATCAGGTCATGGCCAACCTCAAACTGCAAACCATCCGGCGCGGTAATGTTTGCCAAATCAACTAAATCGGTGTCAGCATTACTGTAGATACAACATGTAGGCTGGTATATGGACTTACACCAAGATTGGTCCGCCTCTGGATGAGGACCGATTGTGCCAACCCAGCCCTCGCCATACTTGTTGAGCGTCGCAGCGACGCGGTCCGTCTTTGAGTACCGTCCCAGTACGTAGCTCGTATTGTCTTCGACGAAGTTCTTGACATAGTTTCCTTCCTGGTAGTAGATCCAACGATCGCTTACCGTTTTACCCGCGCTCGAGCCGGAACTGAATGCCCAGTGAATCTGAATCACCGTATCCCTGTCATCCCTGACTTGCGCGTCCTCCTCATCGCACTCAGCAGATACGTCCGAACCGTTTGGCAGCAGGCCAAGGCCTGGCGAGTGGCCAGCCATGTATGCACCAAGACAGAAGCCAAGGTAGCGACCGCCGCCGGCAACGAATGAGCGAATGGGTTGCGCCACGGGCTTGACTACTTTCCACAGGTTGTCCACATCTGCAAAAATGGGGCAAATTAGTATTGAGAGAGCGGCTATGGCAACGTCATCACGGCAATACGTGGGAACAAGTTTAAGGTGCGGGCCTCGATCCGCGCAACGCCACGTCTTGGCGATGTAGTATAGTAAAGTTGAAGAATTTGCATGAAAATGAACCGATAAGGGGAGGTGGTGTGATTGCACGGTGGGGAGATGTAGGAGAGGATGGAGCGACGAGTGCGGAGGATTGATAGCTTCTTGCAACAAGGCTCCAGAAGGAGAAGAAATCGGCATCTAAGGACATGAGAAGGAAGCATACCTTCACCGCCTGGAAAGGCAAGGAGCTTTACAGTCTTCAGACTCTCGGCAGTTATGTCTTTTGGCCCGACGTAAGAGACTTTGAAATTGTGAGGAGACGACTCAAGGAGCTGGCCAACCGCCTCAGACAGGTCGGGGTCATCTTTCGGGCCAAGCCACACAAAGGCTCGTGGCCGATCGGCGGCCGCGCCGGAGCCCATGAGCTGGACCATAACGAGCAGTACTAGGAAGAGCGAAGTGACCCAGCGAAAGGAACTCAAAGGAGCGGAGGCGGAAACCTAGGATAAAAAAGTCTGTAAGCTATTGATGCGCAGTTCTGGAGCATGCATATCTTGTAGCATTTCGTTTTTTTTTGTGGCTTGCATGATGAGGGAGTTGGGATGATGGGAGCTGACCATGGCGGACACGGGAATCAAGTTCTTTGGTCAGAGCACACCACACCCCCCGCGAGCTGGAAAAGAATCTATGCTCGAATGCTGAAAAGTAAGATGGATTCGGCGCCACCGTCAGGATTGGCGATTTATTGCTGCACGAGTTGTACGACGAGTGAGACGGAGCAGACAGCCCACCACCACCAACCACGGCACACGCTGCCAGGAACGGCTGACGACGGCTACAGACTCGTTGCACACTGCAGATAATTAATATAATATAAGCTTGTCAGCTAGCACTCAGCTGGCTGCAGCAAGAACGGAAAATTGATAAAAGGTTGTAGCATGCACGATGCAAAAGAACAAAGACGCGATGGAGAGGCAGAAAATAGCTCAGACAACAAGGCACGTTGGGAATTTTGTATTGAGACTTGAGACGACAAACGGCGTTACCTTGGACTGACAGCGCCCGCAGCGACGCCAGCTGGCAGCGCCCAACGTGCAACGGGCAACGAACGAGAGGGTGACGACGCCTTCTCGTGGCGCAGCACGGAGTAGGCACGGAGTAGAAAAACGTAAATATCCAACAAGACAGCATGTTTGCTCTGTCTTACCATCTTCATCTTACGGTCAATATTAAAGCAAAAGACTCGCGACAGATGGAGCGTCACTTTTACTTCATCTTTGTTCAAACGCGACAACTCCCATCAACTACTCATCCAAACTCGGAATCCCGCATCACGTCTCACCTAAAAAAACATGACAATGGCTCGTCAGACCTGCCATTGTCAAGCTTATCATTGTCGGACTTGACTGCCGCCACCTTCAGTCACGTCTCTGCCCGAGTCCTGCACCCCAACAAATGAAACGCCATATCACCAAGCCCGAAAACGCCACCGAGACGTTCTTCTTTGTTCTCCCCGGCGCAAGCTCGGAAAAACCGCCATGAACGGGCGCTCTTCGTCGAAGGTGTGACAGGGTCAATGTGACGACAACGAGGAATAAAAGCAGCCTCGTCGGCACGGAGCCAGGATATTAAGGCGACTACACGCAAAACAATGCTCCGAGAAAAGACCAAGTGTTCTACTCCGACGAAACGAATAATATGGCGCCATGGTCGATTCTTTCGCTCATCTAACTGATACTAATCAGCACGCCTCCGGCTCACTCTCGGCACAACATGGCAATGAATGGAGAAAGTCTCCGGGCCTGGAATCAACCCAATCTACTCCGTACCTTCCTAACGGCTTCTGGTGGCGGCTGACCAAATTCAAATTGTTTCCACCAATCTAATTGAAAGCTATTTATCAGCATCTTTGCTGACAGTGCAACACGAAACTGGCAGAAGCATACCAAAAAAGAACGATACAGACTTGGCCAAAGACTTGACACCAGATTTAGCTGACACCGGCCGTAGACGGTGTGGGAAATACCGAGGGTACGAGGTGACGAGAAAGGGACGGCTGAGACAGTGACGCAATTCTGCAAGCAGCAAGTATTACACGGTCCCTGGGCTTGTGGCTAACATCACGACATGGCACACATGGTTACAATGAAGGAGCGAGTTATGGCCGGGGTGCCGCTTTGCCGTCAATCCTATCCCTCGTGCTCTCGCCGATTCTTGGCCTGCTGCCACTCTTCGGCACTTGGTGCTCGTGGTGCTTTGAGGCTGCGCTGCTGGCTGCATCCGAGGATCGACTCGTCGATATTCCACTCCATTTGCAGGCCTCGCTCGTCCCGCTTCAGACTCCCACAAAAATAGCGACAATAATAAGCTCCTGGCATTACGATTTGACACATGGGTCTTGCGGAGAGAAAGTCAGGCCAATTGCAAGCTCTGCTTGCCGCTCTAGCGTGGCGGCCCACGGCTCGTAGATCTGAACCCAGACCCAAAGTGCAGGGGGCCAAGGGCCAGGGGCAGGGGCCTCGACTGGCATACGAGGTCAGCCTTGGTGCATCAGCTCTGTGAGAAGAGACTCTTCGGTGGCCTGGATTCCATCCATGCCTCTTCTCTTGCCTCGCTTTTCGATGACTTTAGTCAGCCGTGATGCAATAGGCACGAACTTTTGTTCTCGTGGCGTGTAGTATTCATTTACTGCACCTTCAGGGACTGGGGCACGTCGCTAATTTTAGCAGTCACTCAAAATCTTGGCGTCCTCTATAGATTATCGAAGACGCTCTGATTTTTGTTCAACGCGAACATTCGCGACCGTTACAGTACGTTATTTGTAAAAGAATCGTGATACGGGTGAGTGGCTTTGGTAAGGCTGCTGACCCTCGATAGCCGTGGCAAGGCGTGACGCCCACTCGGCCAGCCCTGGGCTGAAACTAAAACTTTATCCGCCCTCGCAACAACAGGCATCAAGTCTCTATCCAATGATGCCAAGGAGATTCAGCTCCTCACCACGCTGGTGGTGATTGGGTCGATGTTCCAGGGACTCCATTACAAAGCATCTAAGATCACTTCTAGGTGCCGCCACTTTCCGCCACTATGGAACTGGCCCTTTGCTCACTCAGATAAGCTCACCTGTCAGAGCTGAATATGAATCGCGCTACGGGAAAAAAAAAATAAAGTAAACGGGACTTTGCCGATATGAATCTGATTCTCCGCCATAGCGTCATTCAATTGCATTAGGCGTGCTTCAAGAGGATGACGCTGCTGTTGATACAACGAAAGGTCAGGAAGAAAAGATTCAGCTATCTGTGCAGCAAGAGGAATTGCCTTAAGGCCGATATAGCCGTCATCGCATTATTTCCTTTTAATTTCCCCACTCAAAGCAGCAGAAATGGACTGTTCCAGGTAGGGCAATGCCAACGGGCATCTTGCTTACAGAAGTTGGCTCAACGGATGCCGGTGCGCCATCATGTCCGCGCTGCCGATTCGGCCTGTGAGCTCGGAGGCTGAAGCGACCAGCCACTGCAGCAACTTGTGGTCAGATGCAGAATAGTTATGGCCCGCTCGCTTGACCTGCTCTACCCGGTCATAGGCCCCCAACCCTCCTACCAATCCCAAAAAGGCTCATGGAGGCCCGAGGCCAGGCACCAAATTTTGCGTCGCAACCCTGTTGACAGTTTTTTAGCCGTGAATACGTGCTCGACGCAAGCCACTAATACGATGATGCCGGCAAGCCATCATGCTGCCCTCACGCACAGGGCCGAGCTTGGCATCGACCCTTCTCACGCCACTACCTGATGGCCCTTATGGTCTCTGCTGTCGACACGGTGCCCGCTAAAAGCTGCCCGCTAAAGCTCGCTCCGGACTATACCGACAGGAGATATTAATTAAAAAAAATCTAGTTCGCAACATGCGCAGGATCAGCTTAGAGTATGTAAGACAGGCCGAAGCGATGAGCTGGAACACGGTCCCCATCGGCGCCGGAACGGCTGAGAATCCCGTTCAAGATAGTTTGCGAGTCACCGGCACTTATATAAAGCTGCCACTGATGCCGAGAAAGAGTTGTGCATTCATTCGCTGTGCAGCTCGCTATCTATCTCTTCATATTACCAAGGATTACTGGTGGCTTCGGGCAGATTTGGTTGTTTTCTGTCCACTGCATTTGAATCTGTTCATAAAAATACCTTTGGGCCGCAACCATGACTACAGGTAGCAAAGAAGCACACTACTCTGCGACGTCTTCGGGCACTTCTTCTACACTATCTCTATCCTCTGCACCCTCATCCGTCACACAGGATTCCTCGAAATATGCCCTGTACCCGTACGAAGAAGCTGCCAAGGAAAGAACTCTCGTTGATATCTTTGCTGCTTCCAGCAAGTTGTTTCCAGAAGAACTTGCGCTCGATAACGGCTCCGATAGTTTGACCTATGCCGAGTTGACCGACGCTGTTGGCATCCTCGTCGATCGGTTGCATGAAGCTGGCATCGGCCCTGGCGATAGAGTTGGCATCCGCGTCACCTCTGGCACAGCAGAGCTATACGTTGGCATCCTGGCCATTCTCAAAGCCGGAGCTGCTTACGTTCCTGTGGATGTTGATGACCCCGATGAGCGCGCCAAGCTCGTCTTCTCCGAAGCAGCCGTCTGCGCTGTCATTACCGACCACAATACAATTACACTGCAAGACACGAAGCCAATCGGCAACACAGCATCACGCAAATGTCCTTGTCCTGACAATGACGCTTGGATCATCTTCACATCTGGCTCGACTGGCAAGCCGAAAGGCGTCGCCGTCACGCATCGCAGCGCAGCTGCCTTTGTCGACGCCGAGTCGCACCTCTTCCTCCCCAAAAAACCTCTTGCCCCGGGTGACCGTGTCCTTGCCGGCCTATCTGTGGCTTTTGATGCCTCCTGTGAAGAGATGTGGCTAGCCTGGCGCCACGGCGCGTGTCTCGTGCCGGCGTCGCGCGCGCTAGTCAAGGCTGGCGCGGAGCTGGGCACGTTTCTTACCGCCCAACGCATATCCGTCGTTTCCACCGTGCCGACGCTGGCGGCGCTGTGGCCAACAGAAGCACTTCATGGGCTTCGTCTACTGATCCTCGGCGGCGAAGCGTGCTCCCCCGAGTTGGCCAACAGGCTCGCTGGCGCCGTCGGCGCCGTTTGGAACACCTACGGCCCCACCGAGGCGACGGTAGTCTCGTGCGGCGCCCCACTCACCGTCGGCGATCCGGTGGTGCGGATCGGCCTGCCGCTAGCCGGGTGGCGGCTGGCTGTTGTCGGAGCCGATGGCCATCCCGTCCGCTGGGGCGAAGAAGGCGAGCTTGTCATTGGCGGTGTCGGAATGGCTCGCTACTTGGACCCCGAAAAGGACAAGGTCAAATTTACACCCTCCCCAGCCTTTGGCGGCGAGCGCGCCTACTGCAGCGGCGACTTGGTGCGCGCCGAAAGGGAAGGCCTCTTGTTCGTTGGTCGAAATGATGAGCAGATTAAGCTGGGTGGCCGGCGCATTGAGCTCGGTGAAATTGATGCGGCGATGATGACATTACCTGGTGTGAAGAGTGCTGCTAGCGCCATTCGGCGCACCGACACGGGCAATCAGGTCCTCGTCGGGTATGTGGTGAGGGACAACAGTGCTGCCACCACGTCTGATAGGACCTTTCTGAAGCGTGTTTTACCGCCAACTTTAATTCCCATGCTCATTACCGTCGACAATATCCCTGTTCGCACTTCTGGCAAGGTTGACCGCAAAGCCCTTCCGTGGCCACCGCCCGAGTCATCCTCGGCTGCAACTGCCGAGGGAACTACCATGGGCTGGGTGTCCAGCCAGTGGCGCGCCGTTCTTGGTGCATCTGGCGCGTTACCAGAGTCCAACTTCTTTGAGCTCGGTGGCACCAGCCTGGCCGCCGCGCAGCTGGTCTCGCAGCTGCGCCAGAAGTGCCACACCTTGTCCGTGGCGGACGTCTACGAGCATCCAACCCTGTCCGCCATGACAGAGCGCATTGACGAGCTGCTAGGCACCACGATCGTGATGCGCGAGGTCAAGCTCAGCCCCCGCTGGGTCATCTTTATCCAGAGCATCGTGCTCATTGCCGTTTTTCTCATCGAGGGCCTGCGTCTCATGATGCCGCTGTTCATATCCCAGAAGATTTTCCAAGCACTCTTTGAAGGAGACTATTGGGCGACGAGACACACGCTGCCTTGGTCCGCTGTGGCTGTGCTCTGGGTCGTCTTCATGACGCTGCCGGGCCGTCTCCTGACGACTGTCTTGATTGTGCGCTCCATCACCGTTGGCATTCGTCCGGGCGAGTATCGCCGCGCCGGCCTGACGCATCTCCGCCTCTGGACAGCGGACAGGGTTGTTGGACTTGGCAGGCTGACGGCCATGGCCGGTACCAATTGGGCCCGGTGGCACGCTTGGCTCATGGGCTGCCATGTCGGTCGCGATGTGCAGCTGCATACCCTCGCGCCTACGACCGGACTGGCTAGCTTTGGCGACGGCGCTGCCCTGGAGCCCGAGGTGGACATTGCCGGCTACTGGCTCGATGGTGACGTGTTGCATGTCGGCAGTATTACTGTAGGCGAGGGTGCCAGAGTCGGAGCGCGCACCATGCTCATGCCCAACTCCGTTATCGAGCCGTATGCCACTGTTGAGCCTGGTCTTTCTATCCAGGGCACCGTCAAGTCACCCCTTCCACCGTCGGCTTCCTCGTCGGACCAGGGATCCAACCCCGATAGTTCATTCAAGCCGACTCCGGGAAGCTTTCGCATGGCTATTCTCTATACTCTTGCCCTCATACTCCTCGACTTCATGGCCGTCTTGTTGTATGCTCCCATTTGGGGTCTGATGCCTATCATTGTCAAAGAATACACAAATTTCAGACAGCTCAGCATTGGAATTATTGCAATGACGGCTCCCGGAACAGTCTTTGGAATCTTTCTCTACACCGCTGCTGTTGTCCTCATTGTGCGGCTTGCCAACCTCGGCATTCGCCCTGGCTCGCACTCGTGGAACAGCTGGACTGCGTTTTGCGCTTGGCTTATTCACTTCCTCATGATGGACATTCGCACGAGCATGTTTCCCATGTTTGCCAGCTTATTCACGCCCGTCTGGCTGCGCCTGTTGGGTGCCAAAATTGGCCGCAACGTGGAGTCGTCTACCGTGGTCCCCATGCCGTCTCTTCTCACCGTGCATGACAATGCATTCCTTGCCGACGACGTGCTTATTGCGCCATATGAGCTCAGCGGGGGACGCATGCACCTCGGCCCTGTGACGGTTGGAAATAAGACTTTTCTCGGCAATTCTGCGATTGTTGACCCAGACATCAGCGTCCCTGCCAATTCGCTCATTGGTGTGCTGGGCTCTGCGCCGGGTGGCCTGGGCGAGAAGCAGATGCAGGCTGGCTCCTCGTGGCTTGGTCGCCCTCCTATGCCACTTCCTCGCAAAATCGACTCCAACATTGACAATGCGCTCACTTTTGCACCCCCGAAGAAGCTGGTCCTTGCTCGGGCTCTAATTGAGTCTTGCCGCGCCATCCCTCTTATTCTCAATGGCTTCATCCCCTCCATGGCAAGCCTCGGCACGCTTTGGTTCTTGTGGCGGTTTGGCATTGGCTGGGCCATCCTCGCATCTGGAGGGTTTCTCGTCGGCACTGCATTTATTGCCGCCATCATCACCATTGCCGCCAAGTGGCTCGTGACGCCCAACGTCAAGGCCGGCAGCACACATCCGCTCTGGAGCTCATTTGTGTGGCGCAATGAGCTTGCCGACTCCTTCCTGCAGTCCATGGCCGTTCCCCTCATGGTGCGCTACTTTTACGGCACCCCTGTGCTGGCCATGTTCTTCCGCGCTCTCGGTGCCAAGATTGGCCACGGTACGTGGATCGAGAGCCATCTACTACCCGAAGCGGATCTCTGCATCGTTGGCAACGGCGCTACAATCAACAGAGGTAGCTTGCTGCAGACGCACCTGTTTCACGACCGGCTGATGCGTCTGGATGAGGTCCAGCTCTGCGATGGTGCTACACTGGGTCCCCTCACAGCGTCGCTTCCTGGTACTGTGATTGGTGCCGGCTCGACAGTGTACCCGGTCTCGCTCGTGATGAGAGGCGAGCATCTACCGGGGAGTACACAATGGCGAGGCAATCCTGTGCGACCGTGGAGCGAGGGCACAGACGAGAAATGGGTGAACAAGGGTTCGCGAAGTACGAGCTGGGACTCGCCGACGCCAGTATAAGCTGGGACTCGCCGACACCATTATAGATGCGATTTTCATAGCTGTTTGGGTTTTGACTTTTGATTTTTCGCTGCGTTTTTTTTTTTTTGGTATACATGTTAAAGCTGGGAAAAAAAAAGTGGATAGGCTGAAGTCGTGTTTTTTTTGTTTACAAGGTTGATGTTTGAAAAAGTGCTTGGTCTAATTAAATAGCATGAAGTTATCCACAGTCTCTCTACGAGGTTAGACAGTGTAGCTTGCCCTTGGCGGCATGAAATACAGGTTTCAAGATTTTATACTCTGCAGAGCTGACCATTCTCCAGCTGGTGCCAACGCTCGTTTCCGACGCAGGGTGTACACCAAAAGACGTCGTGAGGGTCGACCTTGGTCTTAATTTGCGCAAGACGAGGATAGTTGGTACCCCAGAAGCTATCTTGGAAATTGGGCTCAAATATCGAGGCCTAAACTTTTCTGTCAGCTTTTTGCGTGTTCATCTTAAAAACAGAGAAGAAAAAAAAGAGAGAAAAAAAAAAAAGAAAAGCTATGGTTACCTCGTTGAGATAGGCACCAGAAGAGGGCGAGATTTTGCGAACCGGCGCCCACGCCTCCTCGAGCGCCTTGAGATTCCGATCCGTGGCTGCCTTGTCAAAGGGAACGCCCTGAGCGGCGGTGACTATATTCAATTTTGCGTGTTAAAAAAAAAAAACTTATTTTCTCCGAAAACGAAATATCATGCTGTGGTAAAAAAAAAAAAAAAACATACTTGTGTGAACGTAGGCGCTACGCCAGTGCGAGTTGACGGCATTGCTGCCGCCGCCCGCCGGCTTGGCCTCTTGCACGCCCTTGCCGCCGACGAGAAAAAAAGTCGACAACCCGCCCGGCCCGGTCCCCGAGAGCAAGGCCTCGCCGAGCGCCTTTTCGTCGCTCGTCAGCGCGTCGCGGTCTAGCAGCCGCGATACGAGATACTTGTTGTCGCCGACAGACTCCGTGTCGGCATTGGCGGCAAAAAAAGCGAAAAAGGACGCGTACTCGGTGGTGCTGTAGAAGAAGCCGGCTTGACCGCCGGGCCAGCGCTGGTGTATGGTGTCGTTGATGGGCTTGAAGAGCGCGGCCACGGTGTCGGCGGTGTCGTCGAGAAGGGCAAGGCGGCCTTGGAAGCCTGCGAGGTAACTGGGGAGGCCGGGAATGCCGGGCGCGGGGTTGGAAAAGTTGCGGCTGATGATGTCGTAGCCGGAGAGGCCGGCGTCCATGAGCGCAGGGCTCTGGGCGCCGACGTAGCCGAGGAGGTCGCTGAGGATGGGCGAGTCGGGGACGGTAAAGGCGACGAATTGGGCAACGGTCATTTTAGGGCTGGGGACGGTTTTGACTGTGAAGCTCGTGACGACGCCAAAGGTAGATCCGCCTCCCTGTCGGTATTATATTTTAGCCCTCGTTTGTTTCCCTCTTTACAAGTCAGGTGGGTTGTGTTTTGTGTCGGGAGACTTACACCGCCAAGAGCCCAGAACAGGTCCGGGTTCTGGTCCTGATTCACCTTTTGAATCTTGCCGTCGGCCGTCACAACCTCCATCTCAATGACTTGATCGGCGGCGAGCCCGTACCGCGGCGAGAGGATCGAGTGGCCGCCGCCGGTCACGTAGCCGCCGGCGCTGACCGTCTTGGAGCCGCCGCCCACGATTGTCTGGCCGTGCTGGTCGAGCGCCGCGTAGATATCCCACATGATGGCCGCGCTGCCAAAAGTGGCAGAGTTGCCGTGAAAAGTGCGGCCGGAAGCCAGCGTGAATTGGTCGGCGTGGTACTGGATGCTGCTGTCGAGGTGGTGCGTCCAGAGAGAGAGCGTGCCGGGGGCGTTGGAGCGACCGAGGAAATCGTGGCCGCTCGACTTTACATTCAGACGTACATTGTTTCTGCGAGCTTGATTTTTTTTTTCCCCCATAATGTCAGAATTGGCTGCATCAGCTCATTCTTTCTTGGTTTATCCGTAACAAAGCTTACCAAAGTCGACGCCGGCCTTGACGTCTGCCGACGACGTCACATTAATCACATACGCCGGGTATCCAGCCCCGCTGCACGGCATACTCGGGTCCGGTAGGCAGGTGTAATTTGTAAACACGTTGGACATGATCGAGACCGGGTCCGCGAGGTGAAACTCGGACGTCTCCCACTGCTCAGCCACGCTCGCGCACCGCGCCTCGTCGTAGTTTGGCTGGCCCGCGTGGCAGACGCCACCGGGCAGCGTCGTCGTCGGCCGCAGTAGCCGGCCGCCGACTGTCTTGTTGAGGCCGCGCCAGGCGTCGGCCGAGGGCCAGCCTGCGACGCCGGGGTACGCCTTGCATGACGATGACGGACCGCGATTGGAGTGCGCGGGCGTGGCTGCGGCGTGCGCACCGGCGGCAGCTAAAAGTAGAAGAAGCGCAGTGTTGGTAATGGGTGCCATCCTTGGCCCGTTGCTTGCAAATGTTACTGTGTGTAAGAGGAGGCGGTTGGCTCCAGCTGCGTGGCCGCGAAGCTGCAATATGAGAGGCAGCATGCTCGTCTTATACATGATGGCAACCCCCCCCCGCCTGTGGTGCTTGCATCACGGGGAGCCTCGCTGTCACGGCAATATGCAGGTCATATTGGAGCAAATGGGCTGCTGAATGTGGACTTGTGCTGGGATATGATCTTACGTGAGGGTGGTGTATCAGGCTAGGATAAGTGGCATGGGCGGGCTAGGTCAGGCGAGGCTGCCCATGCTGCTCCGCGTGTGACTGTGATTGGAATGCAAGACTATAGCGAGGTCATTCGCCGATAGAGTCGCATCGGTTATTTTTGGCGGTTCGGGTGCGTGCTTGGCGATGTCGGTTGACAGCCTTATTATGCAACCAACTAGTTGACCTAACACAATAATTACCATTTTCTGTATTTCTGATAAAATGCAGCTTTCAACTATTTAACAGGACTGCAGCCACAACTCGTTTGTTATGCGGAACAGTAGCTCTTTTTCGTGCGTCGTAAAAGTACCACGGTATCTAGTCAGCTAAAGTCAGAGAGCAGCGACGCTACAAGGCCCGAGGCAACTCGTTCACCGTCTGCAACTACCCGCTTGTATATACAACTTCTGGTTTAGATGATGAGCACCAAAGTAGAACTCGGAACACACGGCAAGGCTAAGATGGATCGCTATTTCAAGCCGAAGCTAGACAAGCAGGGGATTACTGACGAGTTGCTGGGCGCTACTAGTTTCAACTTGACACTTGCCTATTCAGGACCTGAATGCCGGTTGGGTCAAACATGGCGGCACCAGCAGCCCCTTTTCCATTTCCTTAAAGCCTTGTTTCGAGTTGAACTGAAAAAGGCTTGAATTGGTTTTATCGCCTAATAACGCCGGGCTGTGATGGGACATTTGCAGCGTATCGAATCACAGTTCATAATCTTTTATGACGAGATTGTCCAAGCAGTAGGATAAATGAGTCTATATGCTTTTTGATTTATTTGTCTTGCGTACATGTACAGCCGTCCGTCTCCTTGTGCAGCCAAGTTGTCTAATGAGAGAAAAATAACGCAACCGTGTGCCCAGAAATACAAATAGCCATCCGCCGTCGAAAATCCTTGCAATCGTGAAAACGAAAAGTAATAAAACAATATGCAAAAAATATACACCCTCCCCAATCAACCCTCAATGAGGCAGCGCTTGCCAGCAGGGCTGTTGAGAAAGTAAATCTTGGATTCCATGTCCGCATCCGACATGCCCTCCTTTGTGGAAACCGTGGCATTGGGAAATTGCCGGAAAAAAAGGCAGACACCAAGACGAATCTCAATCATGGCGAGATGCGAGCCGACGCAAGCTAATAAAGGAAAATCATTGTTAGCCCGTGTTACTAGACCCTTGTACAAAGAAAGTCTTCCACTTACTTCTCGCGCCACGTCCAAAGGGCATGTAAGCCTCCTTCATGGCCCTTGTAGGATTCTCCCAGCGCTCGGGCTTAAACTCATCAGGCTCGGGAAAAATGTCACGATCGCGATGCATGGTGTAGCCCTGGCAGCCGACTGTGGTGCCACCCTCGATATAGTAGCCGCTGAGGCAAACGCCCTCGGGGGGCACGACACGAGCGAGCGAACAAGGCGCGGCCGCGTGCAGGCGCATTGTCTCGGCGATAACTTGTTCCAAGTATCGCAGATCGCGCGTGTCGGCCTCGGTAAAGTCGTCGGGCAGCGCGGCGACCTCGGCGACGAGGCGGGCGCGAATGTCGGGGCGGCGGCACACGGCCCAGGTCAGGTACGTCAGCGTGTTGCTGGTCGTGTCGGAGCCGGCGACAATGTACGTCTGCGCATTGACCGTCACCTCCTCCTCGGTCAGCGTGTCGTCGTCCTTTGCCTTGAAGACTTTGGAGAAGAGCGTGTCCTTGGCCTTGGCGTCGCCCGAGAGGACGGCGTCTTTTTGCCGCGCAATCGACTGCATGGCATAGTCGCGCATGCGCTTGCCGCCCGCGACGGCATTGTCGACAATGGGAATGGTAATGTACTGGGCGAGCTTGGTGAGGCCGGGGACGAGCAGGCGGATGCCACCAAACTTGTTGACGGCGAGTATGTCTTCAAAGTATTGGTTCTTCTGTTGGAGCAGAAACAGTATTAGCCACAAGTTTATTTCCCTGCGCGTTGCATTTGCCAAGTGTAGACTTACCTTGCCGCTCTCAATCATGTTAAACGAAGAGCCAAATGTCAGCTCGCCGAGAGTGTCGGTCGTGAAAAAGAACCACCATTTGTAGACGTCCATGGCGCCGCGAGACTGAAGCTCCTCGCCCATCCTGTAGACAGCGGCGGTGACGCGTGAGTAAACGTCGGGAATGGCCGACTTGAGCGAAGACTCGGACATGGGCGAGGCCAGGAGGCGGCGGTAGCGGCGGTGCAGATCGACGTCGCTCGTGTTGAACATGGAGTCGACCTTGCTGGGCGCGAGGGCACGGTAGGCGGGGTGCTTGAGAAAGGTTTCCTTGTGGCCATAGACCTTTTTGATGTCGTCAATCTCGGCGATGCTAATCTCGTCGGGCCCGATGCGAACAATGCGGCCTGGCGTCATGTCAGTATTCACTGGCCCTCTGTCTGGGGAAGGCAAGTCACTGTGAGGTGGCCGTACCGTATTTTTGATGTAGCTTGTGGGCGTGGCCGGGTGTGAATCCCTTGAACATGGACATTTGGTTCGGCAGGCCTGTGAAGTGCGTGTACCAGGGACCCGGTACCTTTGAGAGGGGATTGCGAAAGATGGTGATGATTTTCTGTATGCCGTCATTAGCGTTTGGCCTCGACTTGAAGCCGCCAACGAAGAAACTTACGGCCAGCAACCACAGGGTGGCTACAGCCCCGAGGGCAACGTAAAGGTTTACACCTTTCAATAGTTGTAGTTCCATTGTGAGATGTAAAGGGTATCTTTGAGTGCGAGAGAAAAAGAGGAACAAGACGGGATGAAAGACAGAGCGGGAGAAGCCTGAATATAAATACAACGTACCGAGTATCCGGGTTGTATCAAACTAAGCGCCCAAACCCATGAACGCATGGATGGGGGCAGGAGGATGGGGCCACGGCATTAGTCTTGCTCAGCCCAATGGCCGCATAAATGCGAATCGCCGTCATGTGGTTGGCTTGAAGTCTCCAAGTAACTAATTGGTTTCGCCCTCGCGGCCGCGAAAACCGCGAACAAAGAAAGTGATGTGGTGGCAGGGAAAGACCCAGCGCTAACCCGGCACCCCGGGGGGGGGGGGGGACCCTAATCCCTACGCCCAGTGCCAAGACGGAGGCGTCGATCGCTGGTGGCTTCGGATATCATCGATGACTTGGCATCCTTCACGGCCCATTACGGGCCCATGACAATAGCAAAACGAAAAAAAGTAGTCCGGACTGGGAAATAGCGTGGCCCCTGTACACGCGTCAACTACGTAACATTATGCAACAAGGGCTCAATGCCGTCTGGTGAAGCAAAAGCACTGCCCTCAAGGAACGGGATTCAAAAGGTGGCCCCTGCGCATTGAAAAGGGCTGAACTCCGTCTGATGCTCTCGAAAACGGGATTCACAGCGGCCCCACGTATTTAGCACGGAGCTGTGTCATCTGTAAGCGGCAAGGGCTTTGAATCCCGACTCTTCAGAAGGCTGTGCAACAGGCTTTGGTGCCGCCCGCAGCAGCAGCCATGTGCTTTTTCTTCTTCTTTCAGGGTCATTGATAGACTGAAGGTAGTGGTTGGGCTCAGCTCCGCCACGAATGCGACGAGCGAAATCAAGCCTTTGACAGAATTCTCCATACTTGGCAAGCTTTCTTTCTTGTCGGTCTACCTAGGGGGTTCAGATACTCACAGAATTAGTAAGTTACTACCTACCTAGTACGAGCTCGATTGCGTATAATTACCTTGGGCTCGAGTAACTTGACGCCCAGCTCGGACAAGTCAACTTGGTGAATTTAGCCAAGGCAGGTCATGTGTAACCACTGCCGCGTGTAGGTCCACTTCTGCGGCAAACGCCCGCTCAGCCCACGAACTTGCAAGAAGAAACAGCTTACCTACGCGCGGAGGGTGAGTTCTGGCATGACAAAAAATACGCTGTCACGTAAGAAATGTCTCCTGGCTCTCTATTAAGGCTACCAGGGCGCCTGGCATGTGTAGAAGCTAACATGAAATTATTCTGTAAAAGTGCCTCGACAGCTTCACCAGACAGCGAAGTGAATTGCAAACGAGAGACGCGGCCAGGTGCCCATGTCAGAAAAATTCTTCTCCCGCGTGAGTAAATTTAGGACCCAGTGCCTCGCTTAAGTGAAGTGAGAACACTCTATTCACACATTGTGAAAACTCTGCTGGTATAAATCTGAATGCATCTGCTGTAGACTTGACAATTCCTTTCCAACCTTCATCTTTCCAACCTTCATCTTTCCATCCTTCACCTTTCCATCTTTCCAAGCTTCCAGCCTTCCACCCTTCCATCAGAAAGGGGTCGTCAGCCATCGGAAACACTCTCGCCTCTACGCTCCATCTCATCAACGGCATACTCAAGAAACGAACAACAAAAGTCAATTGCCTGGAATCGTCTTTTCCCGCGCCATGAGCGTTGATCCAGCGCATCCCCAACCAGGGCTTGTCGAGACAGACCCCTTACTGGGGAAATCGAGGCGAAGGACGGCTTACCCTCAGCAGATCGTAACAACACGCACCAGGCTCGCGGAATCTTCTTCTTTGAAGGAGTTTTTCCCCCTGCGTCGTGGTGTTAGAGAACGTGTTAGCACCTCCGTAGCCATCCGGTTGGCTACGGAGACTTTCCTCTATTACGACCCTGACTTCTACGTTTGATATTGCAAGATTCGCATCCTCAAGACAAAAAACAGGTGAATGATTGGTCCCCTGAAATACCTATAATCACTAATATGCTGTGCTTGGTACTGACGTGCATAGCTTTCTATCAACTACAATGGCATTCGACAACGCGGAACGGCAGATCATCGCCGAGAAAAAACCCTTGGATGAAAACATCAGGGAGAAAGCTCAAGAGCTAAAAGACCCCAACAAACTCGGGAGAAACCGTACCTCTCACGAATTAGAGAGCAAGGTCCAGATTGATATGTTTTTTCTTATCGGCCTACTGCTGGCAGTACCGAATTCAGCGAATCCAATATTACTGTCGTTGGAGAATACAAGAGCACTCGCCACAAAGACAAACAAAAGAGGCATCCTCTGTCAATTGGCGTGCTATGCTAGAGTTGTCTTTGCGCTCAACCCACCAGACTCTTTCTTCCTGTCTGGACTTTTGATCGATGCGGCGCTTTCCGCTCTGAGGAAATTGACATGCATGGAAGCCCCCAAACATTTTTCCCGCGCAATCATCGGACACTGTCAAGTATGCGGCTTGGAGCATTCTCTTGAAAGGAGACAGATAGGCCGCGAAAAGATCCTCGAAGGGGGTGCCCAAGCTGATCGCACACAAAGAGCTGGTCAAAGTGAGCGATCTGAGAGAAGGGCTCACTTTTCTACTGCCCAAAAAGTTTTTCTTCGTGCTCTTGATGCCGCCGATGGAAGTCGCACACCAGACAGCACGTCCAACACCGATACAACAGCGTCCGGGTCTAAACGTGGCTCTCTCGAGATGTCTGGTCCCGTCTCTGAATCAACAGCCAGTCAATCAGCCAGTCAATCAACAGCAGTTACTCATCAGGCGCTGGTCAACCAGCAGCCAGCAATCAAGAGTCAGTCAATCAACAGCAGTTACTCATCAGGCGCTGGTCAACCAGCAGCCAGCAATCAGGAGTCAGTCAATCAACAGACAGTCAATCAACAGACAGTCAATCAAAAGCCAGTCAATCAACAGCCAGTCAATCAACAGCTAGCAATCAGTCAATCAGTAGCCGATTAATTAGCGATCAAAAATTGAAATAAGAATGATGTACAAGCAGAAGTGGCCCAGCCACAGGCCACACCTAATGCGACACCGCTCATGCACGCTCTTTCTCTGTATTACTTTATACAGCCGAATTGACATATACATTGGCACCAGTGCTACTTTTGGTAGATATTCATCTCGTATTTTTTTTCTTCTTGTTTATGCAAGTCGTCTGCGAGTAAATTTCCTTTGATTCATTGGGGCCCCTTCGTAAACACGGACAAGCAGATGTAGTGGCGATGTTTGACAACAACTTGGGACGAATGAATAAGCAGGACTACGTCTCAAGACAACCTGGGCGACCTTTTTACATTTATTGTCACTACCTCGTCCTTACCTTTTCGAGATTGTTGCATCATACTTCGGGCCGACCTCTCGCTGCCAACACCGTCGCCATCCGACAACCGCACCAAACCACTAACAGCACAATGATCTGAATCAAAGTCGGAAATTTTTCTTCCACCTCTCGATCCTAATCCCGGAAATAAAAATCATTATCCTAGGTGAGCAGCTCCATTTTCGGGGCGGTGACATCCATTACAGGACGCGCGTTGTCGTCCAATCCCGATCCTCACGGGCCACAACCCAATGCCGGGTGGCCCTGTGGCCCCCAAAATACCCCGACCATCGGATACGCATCGAACTCAACAAAAGGGCTTCTCAAATAGGAAGGACTCGGACTATTCTGTCTCCATGCCAAAAAGATACTCTAATCCGGAATCAGCGGCCTCCAGTCACGCGGACTTGGCTTCGCCACCAGGCTTATACATGCGCCGAGGCGAGCAAGGGCGTCACGACGCCGCATTCGAGCATGAGAGGTAATAAGCATGTAGACCACCTTCCAGTCTGTGATACATGAACAGCCGACAGCAAAAAGGAACAACCATTTCCGCCCCCATGCGACAGTCACAATTCGAACACTGCAGGTGAAACAACAAAAACTGCCATTGGTTGGGTATAAAAAGGAATCCACGCGCTGTAACCATTTTCCCCCCTCGCCCATCAATGCTTCACCAGTGACGCTTAGATCCCGTTAGATTATCCCCCTCGGCCCCAGAAAACGACCATCGTCCAACAAAAGTGCCTCGCGGCAACGAAGTAATAGTAAATAACCAACAGTGACACAGTAATTGTGCCACATAGGAAAGTTGTAGAACAATACACACAACACTTTAGACAATCTGACACGGAATTGAAAAAAAAAACAATCAAACGATGAAAAAGACAACGCCATGCTATGCATAAAAAACGAACCCCCTTATACTCCAGTGTTTGTCGCATGCAGCCAACTTGATGCCCACCACGTACTCGACCCCTGCAATAGAACTGACGAAGAAAGAGAGCCAATCAATAAAAGAGGAGATGACAATATTCTGGCTCCTGTGAAGGTTGACACAGCCATATCCGTACGGTCTCGTGGCGTTCCAAGCCACTTGATGCCCACCACGTACTCGACCCCCGCAATGGAACTGACAAAGAAAGAGAGCCAATCAATAAAAGAGAAATACAATGTTCTGACTCCTGTAAAGATTGACACAGCCATTTTCTGTGAGGTATCCGTATGGTCTCATGGCGTCCCAGGCCAGCACGCTGCTGGACTGCGAGACCCTTTCAACAGCCTTCAGATGTCGTCATCTAAGGTGTGCGAGGGCGCTTCCAGTAATACTGCTTGTGCTGCTTGCGACAGGCCCTCAAGCTGGGCTTGCGTAGCCCGTCCACAACTGCAGCCCTTCGCTGGTCGTCATTATCCTCCTCGGGCATGTAGTAGTACTCACTCTCTAGCGCCTTGCCTGCAGCGTCCTTGCCCTGGCGTGTGATGATGCCAATACATTTTGTCGACTCGATAACGTCACGAAGGGCATCGACGGTCAGGTCGACCTTTAAATCGGCAGGGAGGTGCTGCATAATGGTCGACAAGGGCGTGGACGAGAGTCGAGAGTACGCGAGCTGGTTGACCACGTGGTTTCCAACGCCGGGATGCACGGTGGCCTTGGGCTTCTGAGGCGTCGGCTCCTGATCCCTTTGCTCCTCGTCATCGAGCACATCCTCTGGCGAAGGCGTCTGTTCTCCCTCATTGTCCGAAGACGGGGGATCCGATGGCAGGCTGCTCTCAGTGTGCGTCTCAGATGCCTCTGGGTTCTCGGCAAGTTGAGGAAGATCGCGTCCCAAGGGTTTACGCGCGCGAGGAGACTTGCCCATGATCGATGCGAGGCGGTTGGAGATATCAGCGCCAAAGGGACCAAACGAATGAACGATGGGATCATTCTCCTCATCGGGGTTGTGCTCCTCATCACTGTCGTCATCGTCGCCCAGATGGCTGTGGAAGCTAGCAGTGGCTTCCGTCAACATGCTGGCATTGGGATCTAGAGACGCTTCGTGCTGCCCCTCCGGTAGATCCGGCCCATCCTCGTAAATCTCAATGTTGCCATCACGTTCCAGTGGGCTGGGTAACAGGCCATGAAGGCGTTGTGAGCTTGCCGGCTGCATGGGCGTGGGGCTTACTGGAGACCGAATAGAGGCCGTGTGGCGGCGAAGCGGAGAGGAGTCCAGGAGGCCCCCGCGACGTGTCTGGGATCGTGGGGGAGAATCATCCCAGCTTGAGTCGGAGATGTGACCAGTATTGTCAGCCGGAGAAAAGTGACGTGGCCATTGAATCAGCACGCGAGTCTCCTGTACGTCAAGTACAATCTCGGCTTCCGTCTCGCTTGTGAAGCTATCTCCCTTGGACAACTCCCAACTTCGGCCTTGACAGCTCAACTTCAGACCGTTCCAACCCTCACAAACAATCTCTACCTTGTTTGCTTCTTCGGGTTGGGTAGCAGCAATATAACGGGCCTTGACATGGACGCGTGATATTAAGCGGCTCGCGGACAACTGGAAGTGGGATGAGTTGGAGGAGCGGCCCATAAAGAGTGTCTCTCCGTTTTCCGCGAGCTCTACACAGGGAATAGCGTCAAGAGGAACCCGTTTCTCCGTCTCAGCAGCGCGAGCTGCACCAATGGCAATCGAATTACGCCGCAGCGGGGAGCTGGACAGGATACCAGTGCTTGATGTAGGGATGGGCGTGGGATAGCGCAGGTTGGCATCTTGGCCCCTGATTTGACATTTTGAGGGTCGAGGAAGGCCAGGCGAAGAGGAAAGAGGCTCGAAGGGTGGCAGCAAAGAGGGAGCTGGCCGCTTAGTACCAGCTAGCGATGTATAAGGGCTAGAAGGCATGGGTAGTCGGGGTTCGTTCGCCGACGAACCAGCCGCTGCGGGAGAATCAGACGGCATGATACGCGATGGACGTGACAATTCGATATATAGTTATCGTGCTGGTGTAATGTCGTGAGTCTTATTCGAGTCGAGCCGCGTCAATACGCGTCGTAGTGTCGTGGCGTCGCTCGGAATGAGGCCTATGTCGCGGTCGACGGCAATGGCAGACTTACACCAGAAGCGAGGGTGTAGAGGGATATGCCAGAGCAAGGTCGAGTATGTCGAGGCCACAAGTCTGTAAATAGAAACAAGAATGTGTCAACGGGCCGGCCAAGGCGGTCGCAGGCAGATGGTCAGCGTCTTGGAGAATAAAGTGGTAGTGTGGTTGTGTGCGTAGAAAGAGGGCCCGCGGCCTGGTTTTTAAGAGAGGGAGGGGGCCATTGGGTTAGTAGTGTACGACACGAACGCGATGGTAGGCGCATCGCGCGTTTTGGCGTGTCGGTCTTGTGCAAGTACAAGTTGTGCAGCGGACGAGCAATGCAGCCACCCAGGCCCGTTTTGGTTCGTTACAGCGCATACGGTCCACTACAGAAGGCCGGCGCTTAGAGCCACAGCGGCCATCTACAAGGCGTTTTAGCGGACTTTGCGCCACTATGGAATGCCCTGAAATTGTGCAATATCCACTATAACCCTCAGTATTGATATCCGGTTCATTGTAATCATTGGCCCTTACTTTACCATAGACGAACAACCTCGCGAATATTTTTTATTTTAATCTCCTTTGATCTGAATCCTCGTCTCCTCAAAGCTCTCTCCCCCTCCTTTTACACCGATCATTCCACCAAGCAAATTTTCTTACATGCTGTGCTGCCCCATATGCATCCCACTACTCTTCCACCAGCCACCGTCGGCCACTGCAAAAACACGTCTCCACTGACCAGGGACCGCGTCTGCGCCAGACTTGTGCACCAGTCCACTGGTTTGTAGTGAGTAGTCCTTTTTTGAAGACCAACTTCTCTACAATAATGTAAAAGAAAGAAGATAGATCAGAAGATCTATCATAAAAAAGCAAGGAGACTGTGGCGAGATATGACCACCCCCCATATCATGGACCACAGCCTCTGCATCTACTCTCTGTCTTACTACGGATACCAATACCGAGTACATTGTCTAAAAATCACGCTCGAATATCGTCCAGTAAGAGCCACAAACACCTTTGCTTCCCCACTCTGCAATTGTGCAAGTCATTAAATTCTGCTCGTCCCATGACCGTCCCTGCCGGTTCTTTACCAGCAGCCCAACGTGTGGCACGCGACTCCGCAATGATCTCGTGAAATCTCAATATATAGACTTGTCCTCCTTCTTGTATTCCCTCAACAGCTTCAAAAATGCATTGTTCGCCTATAAATACTACGTTTTGGTGAAACACCCGCGCCAGGCCCTCCGACGTCCCCCCGGCTCACGTCGCGGAACCGCGTCTGTCCCACTCTCGAAACTTGTACAGACACGCACTCGCATGTCGGATCCAAGCAGAGTAATCAATAATCGTCATCGACCGCAGATACACAAGTTTGCTCCTGCCGCGTGAGTGCTACCACACTACACCCTTCCAAGTCGAATATGCCCAGCAATACGGCCTGCTTGTGCGTAATTGTTCGCTGAGCCCCAGTAGTGTAGTATGACGTCTAAACCGCTCTAGCGACTTTATGGCTGCAAACTTAGGGCGCGGGACTGCCATTAGAGAACAGCCCAGCCACCACGACCAATGGAAACAGCAGTACTCGAATAAAAAGCTAATCTTCCAATTGTGAGCTTTGAGACTGAAAGATTGTACTTCCAATCGACTTCACCTCTACCAAGAAATAGCTACCGTTCGTTTTGGTGTCGATGCCGATAATTAAAGTGGGGGGCATCGGAGGACCGCCCGTGCAAACCGGAGCCCGGCGCTTGCATGTTCCGACCCAGAATTGAGCCAGTCCAAATTTCCCTTTTGGTCATGCCAGCCATTTTTCTGCCACTTTGCTCTCTGAGCGACCCTCACCGCCAAAAAATTATTGAGACTCAGAAAAAAAAAAGGTCCCATCACCACTTGGTGCCCATTTACATAGACGACGATTACCGTACGAAACAGCTCGCCATGGCTCCCTCTAAAGAAGTTGCCGCTCTCGGCTCCAACGAGATTGTCTCTATTAGCCATGATCAGGTATTAACTAAATCACAGCACGGGTCCAAACCCAGCAAATGCTAACTGCGGCGGTGCAGACTCTCAAGGCCTCCAAGGCCCTCCTGGCGCACATCAAAAAAGCCGCCAAGGAGTCTGCCGAGGACCCCTCGTCCAAGAAGAACCTGCTAGCCGACGCCGAAGACGACGTCACGGCCGACACGCCCGTCTGGCTGACGCTGACGACCAAGCGCCACATTGCCGACAAGTCCAGGTTGCAACCGGGCAAGATTGTGCTGCCGCACCCCCTCCACGCCGACGACGAGGACTTGTCGGTGTGCCTCATTACCGCCGACCCGCAGCGCGCCTACAAGAACATTGTGGCCAGTGACGAGTTCCCCGCGGACCTGCGCAAGCGCATTGGCCGCGTCATTGACGTGACCAAGCTGAAGGCCAAGTACTCTCAGTACGAGGCTCAGCGCAAGCTCTTTTCCGAGCACGACATCTTCCTCGGCGACGAGCGCATCATCAACCGCCTGCCCAAAATCCTCGGCAAGACCTTCTACAAGACCACCACTAAGCGGCCTGTCCCCGTGAACCTGCAGGCCAAGGTGCCCAAGGTCAACGGCAAGCGCGGCAAGCGGGACAAGAAGACGGCCAGCGGCGAGAATAATGTCAATGCCGGCACGCCCGCGCAGATTGCCAAAGAAGTCAACAAGGCAGTGGGCTCTGCGCTCGTCAGCCTGAGCCCGTCAACCAACACGGCCGTGCGCATCGGCTCCGCCAGCTGGACCGCGGACCAAATCGCCGACAACGTCGACGCCGTCGCCGCGGCGCTCGTCGAGAAGTGGGTGCCACAGAAATGGCGCAACGTCAAGAGCATCCACATCAAGGGCCCCGCGACGGCTGCCCTGCCCATCTGGCTGACGGACGAGCTCTGGGTCGACGACAAGGACGTCGTGGCCGACACCGAGGAGACAAAGGCCAACATGAGCAAGAAGCGCAAGGCGCTCGTGGGCGAGGAACCCCAGGCCGACTCGCCCGCGGCCAAGAAGACGAAAAAGACGGCCGCCGCCGCCGCCGACGCGGGCAAGCACAAGCCGGCGAGCGACGACGCCACGCTCGACAAGCAGATTGCGGAGCGCAAGTCGAAGCTGCGCAGCGCAAAGGCCAAGGCAAGCAAGGCGATGGACTGAGGTGTTACGAGGTGGAAATGGGTGCATCTGGAAAAGAGTGGAGGATTTGCATAAATATAAAAAGGAGGCAAGACCAGGGACGCGGCAGAAGTCATGTGTACATGTCACGACGGTTTTTTCTATTTTGTCTTGTCGTTGAATCTGTGGCATCAGGCGTTTTTGGGCGTTTTGCATCATTTAGATGGTATTTGCAAGACATGAAACACATCATCAGTTGCCAAAGCTTAATTTTACGCTGCAGTGATTTGTACTTTGCTAGATTCGAGCAGGTGAATGCGTGCACGTCTTTGTCATGATGTCGAAAATAATATTAATAAAGGAAAAAAGGTGGAATTCAATGTGCCTGCACCAAACGCCTATACGCTAATTATATTAATCCCAAGTAAACGACGGGCCAGTGTCCCTGCGATCCTAGCTCTTTTGCCTGATCAGACACTGAAAAAATACATGTAATACAGACGACGCTACCACAGATAAAAAACAAAAGGGTTCGACTCTTTGATGAGTGCGTCCGCTACAGCTCGAGGTTGACAAAGCTGTGGCCGTAGATCTTGGGCTCCTCGTAACGATGCGAGGGAAATTGGCGCTCCAGCGGCCCGAAAAAGTCTCGCATCGTCTCGTTAAGGGCCTGTTCCGGAATCTGCATGTGATCCGCCGTGATGGACCGAAAAACCAGTCCGCCCTTGTCGTCGAGCGCGCGCAAGCCCAGCCAGTCCTCCTTGTACAATTGCCGCTCGCGCAGCGGCACCTTGTCCGTGCCATTGACCTCGCCAAACCACGACGACTCGCGCGGATGCACCATGGTGTCGTCCTCGAACAAGAACATGACAAACTTGGTCAGACTCGCGAGGTTCTCCTTGTAGCGCGCATTCTTGGCCTCGCGCTCATTGTTGACGTCGGCGAGGAAGCGCGAGCCCTCGAGGTACGCGGGCAGGTCCACCGGGTCGCGAAAGTACTGCGCGGGGACGAGCCGGCTCTGCACGAAGCTGCTCCAGGTGTTGAAGCGGAGCAGGGCCATGGCGCCCCTGCACAGGAAATCGGACGCGGCGCAGGCGCGAAACTCGGCGATGCCGTTGTGCTGGCTGCCAAAGGTGACGAGGCTGCGCACGGGGGGCGCGTTGCAGCGCTCGACGTAGGCGCGCAGGAACTGGCCGCCCTGGGAGAAGCCGAGGGCGTCGATGGCGGGCGCGGTGGAGAGCACAGGGTGCGCGGCGAGCTGCGCGCACACGGCGTCGACCTGCTGCGAGACGTTGCCGAAAAAGGTGGCGGAGCGGTCGGCCGAGGAAGGGTCGTCGCTGTCGGAGGGGCTTGCGAGGGAGATGGGATGGACAAAGGTGCCCGGGTGGATGGCGGCGGCGAGGGAGGCGACGGCTTGGATGCCCTCGCCGGAGAAGGAGTCGCCGAGGCCGTGCCAGATGACGAGGGGAATAGGCGTAGAGGGGGACGAGGACGAGGAGGCGGAGGCGAGACTGGCGATGGTGAGGAGGGCGATGGCGAGCGATGGCGTCATGGTGGTTGGTAGTGGTTGTAGCTGTTTGGATTGGGTTTTGTAGGGAAAGACGGGGGAAAGAAGGCCTCGCGACAGGGCGTGAGGGGAAGAAAAAGAAGGCAAAGAGATGAGTACAAGGAAGATATGGAGCTGATATTTGAATGCGTCGTCACACGAGTCAACTGTCTCAGAGAGCGGCCGCCCGGTGATGGATGGGAGTCGAAGAGGGCCGAGTAGGTGTGGCTCAGGACGGGGCGGTCCCCACGTGCATCAGTCTAGGGCGATCTATTTGTCTCTTTCCCACTCGAGCAATTTTACGTCTGGCAACAGTCTGGCACTACATTTTCAATGCTTATTACCCCTTCAACGAATGATTTACAGTACCTTGGCCGTCTTGTCGCCGCTGGAATTCTCACATCCGGCCCGGTCCCACAGCTTCGTCAGCACAGCGTACCGAGACTAACTGACCTTGCGTTTGGGGTCTTGAGGGAGCCGATTGAAGCCTGTTGCAGCCTGGGGTCCGTAGCGACGGAGAAACACCTGCACGTTGCAAGTTGAGCGCGCTGCCAAATACCAAGACACTCACTGTTCTATTCCCAGCCAGTCTTCAGTCAGCGCACACCGCATAGCTGAGATGCTTGGCCTCGGCGATCAAACGCGGCGATTAGCTCTGTGGATGAGCCAAGTGCTTCCCAGCGCGCCATGTAAACGCCGATGCTCTATTCCATAGAGTAGGAAACATTAAGAGTGTGGCAGCTTGACACGAACAGCAGTCTAGCTGTTGCCGATCTGTCTCTGGATAATTGCCAAGCTTGGTGGCTCAAACTTGCATTGTGATGGGCTGGTGGTGGTGACGCGTCCGCGTCCTAACCGCCCATCTTGGCCCCGACTCAAAGGAATCAGTCGCTATATCAAGCCGAGTCGTCGTTTTGCCAAACTAAACCCTCGGACCATGTGAACAAGGGTGCAGTGAGCTTCTTGACAAGCGATATGCAAGTCGTCCAACGCAACGATTTTGCTGCAGGCACCCTGCCAGCTTTTGTCGATGCCAAGATGGCCAAGAAGAGGCCGCCAACGAGCGTAAACCCAGCGTTTGGCTAGTTCAAAGGCTTTCTTGACGGTCTGTTTCAACAACCACGACAATCGATTTTACTGCTCGTTTTCGCAAGTCGTCAGTGGGTGAACCAACACATCTACAATAACAGACACGTTACAGGTATCGAATGAATTTCGCATCAATTTTTACATCAGACTGACCCAGTCAGTCACCTACAATCGCCTCTCTGTTTCTATACATAGCGAAGAATGAAGAGGTAGTGTATTTATACAAACTGGTAAGAACTTTAGCAGCTCTTTATAGGCGTAGATTTGTACGTGCACGCAGGCAAAAGTTGGCGCGCAGCCTTGACAGTAGTGTGCGTGCTGTTGTGCAACGTGAGCGAAACTGGACACAGCAGCCTCAATGTTTAGTTAGTAGATCAAGCACGCATAGAGAAACATGACGAAAAAAGCTATAGAGTTAGAGTCATGATTTTGCCAAAGAAATACGAATAAAATGCAAGAATCAATAATAATGTAAAGGTAAGTTTGGCTGGCCTAGTCACAACCACTGAAGACCGCCACGTGATTATGACTCAACAAGCCTCTCTATTTACTAAAATATCTTAGCATTTCGCCTTGCTATTTTCTCTGTTCCGAAGCTGCACTGCCAATGAAGATTATTTGGATGCAATCATATAAGTTCTTTGCGCATTGGATTCATGGAGCTGCTGTCGCAGCAAAAAAACATATCTTGATGTGAATTAGGCCTTACAATACGTTCACAGCTGCTGTCGCAGCCGCCCGTGCTGGGCCAAGTCGAGCTTCTTTGAACTGGAAACACGCCATTCTCGCTTAAGGTAAGGAATACTCTTCTTTTTGTTCCTCTGCATGTACTTGATGATAGTTTCAACCAAAAAGAATTGTTTCAAGACGGGAATGAGTAGCCACTATGATTCTACAATATAATCTGATGCATACTTTGTACATTTGCTTCGTTGGATACAACCCGCGAGCGATTGCTGACATGGAGCTTGACAGGTAGGAATCTGCGACGACTCGACGCGCCACTCCAACGCACGAAATCGACGACGCGATCGTAAAGCACACCCCGATTAACAACGGCGTACATTGACTCGTAGCCAACAGACGTCGGGCATGCTACCTGCATCAGCGTGGTCATCGGATAGAACTCTCTTGCAAGTTGACAAATCGTGATCTGGGTGTAGTGCCACGCTCGCCATCGCCGACACTTTCATCTCACTGCCACTACCACTTTCAATCAATGCATGCTACACTGCGATTTACCAACATGGCGAACCATTGAGGCTTCCAAGTAGATGCCGCCGAAGCGAGTCTTTATCCGGTGCCAACCATGCGTTTATGTAATGAGCGCCGAGTAGTGTTGGGCGGGGCGGATGCGGGAACAGACAACGGCCACAAATTGTTGGGAAACCAGCGATGAGATGAGCGAATCAGGAGCAGCAGGCCGTTGACAAAATGATGCGCTGCGCGCGCCAGAGTTGATCAAGCCGCCGCACGGTTGACGGGGAAAGCTTTGGGGCGGCGCCACAGGGCCGGACTGCGACATGGAGGGGGCCTCGGCTTGGTAGGTTGAGGAAGCTGTGTTTTCACAAGCAAAAACAGCGACAATATGTGATGCTTGCCCATTTGGAAACGGCAGAAGACGGGCAAAAAGGCTCCTGTGATACTGAGACATGTCGAGCGCAACTGGAACAAAGCACTAAGGATTTGGATCTGTAAGCGAGGGGCAAGGTTCATGCCAGCTGACAAGAGCTGCAAGAGCTGGGAAGTCCAAGTGAATATTAATCAATTTAACAAACTGACTACCTAAATCACAAGGCGTACCTAGAAATCTTGCTCTGATTGCGCTCGGCTATACCCCACATTGTTGGCAACTGGGACTCCGTTTTATGGAGGATAACCTTTTTCCTGGCGGATCTTGTGGGGAGTCTTGCCCAATGCAAGGAAGCACGGAAGATGTCGAGAGGAAAACCGCGCAGACGTTACGACTCTAGAAATTAGTACAGGGCAATTTTTCTTTTTTTTTTAAGAAAAAAAAAATCAATAGCACGTGGGTAAGGTACGTGAGAGCCACAGAGCAGAGGCCATCCCCAGGATCACGGGGATGCCCCGAGTCCACCAAAGCATAGAGTCCACAGCGGCCAGTGACAGCTGGCTGCCACAAGGTAGCTAGCTACCTACAGTCCTGGGGAAGCGAGGCAAGGGGTAAACCACATGTTCATCGGCCTCAACACCACATTCTCTTTCTCGCGATCTCCTACTGCCACAATTTAGCTCTCGTCATCTCCATCGCTGTTTCCCGACTCTGCTTCGACACCGACACAGCAATCACTCCAGCTCGCATACCAATTCACGCTGCTGCGAGTTACCTCCATATTCTTCCCCCCTCCCCGAACCCATGCCATCGCATCGACCCATCTTCTCCCACGCAAACGTCGCCCCTCTCGCACCTCCCCCGTCTCTCTCGATCGATCCAGCGTGCAAGTAGCCGGCCGGCGGGCCCCCAATTAATCCATCTCGTCTCTTGATTCAAATTACAGGCACGAATCATTACCCCGATGCCTCCCGACGCCCACCATAGACGCCGTGCGAGGCAGGCCTGCACCCACTGCAACGCTCGCCGCGTCAAGTGCAACGTCACCGAAAAGGTCCCCTGCGATAACTGCGTCGCCGCCGGCACCCAATGCCAGTTGCGCGTGTCTCGGCGCGGCAAGCACCCGCGCTACCGTCCCGGCCAGGAGCCCGCCAAGCCGTTGCCGTCATCGCAATCGCAGTCCACGTCGCCCGCCGCCGCCGGGCCTCATTCCTCGTCCAATATCCAGACGCCCGCGCCTGCGCCCGCGCCGCCGCCGCAGCAGCAGCAGCTCCCCGTCATTCCTCCACAACCGTCGCTGCAGCCAGAAGGCCTCACCGCCACCGCCAGCGCCTCTCCGCCCGACGACCCACCCAGCCTCGTCTACAAGAGCGAGCACACATCGCCCAACGACGATGAGATGTCCCAGGCCTCCCTCGCCCTCGCCTCCCTGTCCCGCGGCGTCCGTCGCGGAAGCAAGCCCGACATCAAGCCCGAGGACAAGCAGGAATACGGCGCCTCCGTCTTCTTTGGCGAGTCCTCGTCCATTCGATACGTCGGCACAGACAATTTTGCGTCGTCGGTCGCCAAGCTCGACTCGGTGCCCTATCAGACCGGCTCCAAAGATCGGCCGATTAAAATCAACGAGGCCCTGGAAAGACTCAGGTGCAGGCCCGACGGGCCATTCACGCTCCCGCCTCGTCACGTCACCACAGCGCTCCTCACGGCCTACTTTCAGTGGTTCCATCCCTTTTGCCCCATCGTGGATGAGCAAGAGGTCTGGCATCAGTTTGAGACCGGCTCACTCTCTACGCTGCTGCTGCAGTCCCTGCTCCTCGTCGCCGCCTCACACTGCGAGGATTCTGTCCTGGCCGACGCTCGCCTTGGCAACAGAAGCCAAGTGAAGCTCAACTGTTATAACCGCGCCACAGAACTGTACGATGCCAATGTCGAGACGCAAAGTCTTACCATCATCCAGAGCCTTATCCTCCTGAGCTTTTGGCGCGGCCACGTCGCCGAGGAAAAGGACACAAGACACTGGCTCGGCATCGCTATCAGCATTGCACAGCGCAGAGGCCTACATCGCTCACGCAAACAAGGCAGGCTCGGACCAGACGCCCGCGTATCTGATCATAAAAAGAAGCTTGCCCGAAGGCTTTGGTGGTCTGTATATATGCACGAGAAGCAAACCGCCGCTACATTGGGCTTGCCGCAGAGAGTTCGCGACGAGGACTGTGATGTCGAGAGCCTAGAGGCGGGCGATTTTGAGCACGCCTTTTCCTCTTGCAGGCCACAGGAAGAGAAGAACGACTCCATCGACTACACCATCCGAATAACACAGCTCAGCAAGTTTCTAGGAAGAGTCGTCGACGTCGTATATTCACCGAACAGAACCTCCACCGAACCCGAGCGCACTGCGATCCGGGACGAGCTCGTCCAGTGGAAGCAGACCCTCCCTCCGTCGCTCCGCATCGACGAAGACATTGGCTCGCAGCCGAGCCTCCACGCGAGCATGATTCACATGGCCTACAACAACATCTTTATCCTCCTTTACCGCAACTGCTTCACCGACTTCAACTTTGACCAAGAAGGCCAATACGCGCTGCAAGCCGGCGCGCGCACCGTGCGCATCGTCGAGGACATGCTGCCGCGCGGCATCATGCGGCACGCGCAAATCCACGTCATAACCAACCTTTCCAACACGCTGTGCCTTAACGTCATGGACCTGCGCGGGGCCAAGGGCCTGGCTCGCACCAGCGCCGAGCATCGCTCCAAGGTCTGCCTGCTCGGCCTCGCCGAGCTGCAGAATACCTGGGAGTTTCGCAACTGGATCCTGCAGCTCTTTATCCGCCGCGCGGACGGGCCCGCGGGCGACCGTCGCCGCGACGAGGAGTCCGAGGCCAAGCAAATTGCCATCAAGAGTGAGACGCCGCTGCAGGCCTCGTACGGCGCGGCCATGTCGCGGGAGAGCTCGGGCGGCGGCGGCGGCGGCCTGTTTGGCAATCTCGCGGAGCTGGAGGGCTTTGCATTTACGGTGAATAATGAGATGATGGAGCCCATGACGTGGCCGGTGGACGAGATGGAGCGGTTTCTGTTTTCGCAAATTTACCATTCGAATCCATTTTGGTGATTGTATTCGGGGATGCAATGCTTATTTTGCTGGGCTTTTTCGTAACAAGGGGCGTGAAAAATTGGCCGGCGTTGGTGATTTCATGATTGGTTTAACGAGCGATTGGAATGACCATTTCTTTTTCTTTTCTTTTTATACAGTACTGCCAAGGCAGGTTGCTTTTACTTTGCTAGTCGACTTCGAATACACATTTACGCAGTCCTTTCTGAGTACATTCATTCAAAGCGTTGTAATACTGCAACTCTTGCAACTCCGCGGAGCAGGAAGCAAGGAAGAGAGAGAGAGAGGCGTGTAGATTGGCTGGGGCAGGAGATTTTTTTCGTTTTTTTCGTGCAAAGTACCATCCTACCCGCCTGTAATCGTAGGAAATGTTAGAGTTCTGATGAAGCCATACGCGAGGAGATGTATATCGTGCTAAAGAGTACTTGTTGAATGGTCTTTGATTCGGGATTCGTCGACGTCATAATGCACGCTAAGTTGTCAAGGTGTCGTCGATCGCGTTCGTGATGGGAAAGTCGAGATGCTCATGTAGCGTGGGATAGTAAAGTGAACTAGTGAATTCGAAAAAAAAAAACCAATGTTCAAGGCATTTTGTACAACTTGGAGCAATTGTATGGGTAACCTAATATTGCCACAGAATCGAAACACGAGACGTCATCATCAAAGTACACAAGACGAGGAATTATTGTATAATAACAAAGTAAGGGTATATATAAGATAAGACTATTACAAGACTGCTGAGAAAAGCTATATTGCGCCTAGGCAAAATACAATTTGTACCTGGACCGGACGTGATACATGACAACGCGTTCCATTTTTAGTGCTTCTCGACACCGCCAAGGTGCGTCTGTGTCTGGGGTACCTCCTCGTCGGAGGAGGACACATCCGAGTCCTTGACCAAGCTCTGTTCGTCGGTGAGGTAGACGTTGCGGTTGAGAAGGGCAAAGATGATGAGCGGCACACACAACGAGATACCAGTAATAGTCAACAGCCTCTGGATGTGCTGGTATCCGAGGATCATGGCCGTTCGCTCAGGCGTGCCAATGGGGTGGCTGACGATGAAGGTGAGGGGCGAACCATAAGCCTCTTGAGCCATGGTGGCGTTGATGGGGGCGAAGCGGTTCTCAAGCTCCTGGGGCAGCAGCTGCGTCCACATGGCGCCAGCAACAGCGTATCCGAGTGCCGAGCCAATGTTATACGTGGCGAGGAAGATACCAGTGAGGACAGCCATCTTTTCGTGGGGCACCTGAATCTGCAGAGAGGCTTGCGTAGTGTAGGGGAACAGACCACCCGCGAAACCAAGCACGACCTGCGCACCAATGACACCGGATCTCGTCGCGCTATCGGCGTCCACAGATCCTCTAAAATGAATGAGCAGACCAAAAGCAACCATGAACAGACAAGTACCGGCAATGATGAAGGGCTTGAGACGGCGGACTTTGAAGACAATGACACCGAGACAGGTGCCGACAATGACACTAACAAATGAGTAGAGTAGGGCAATGCGAGATGTAGACTTGACGCTAAAGTCGAATGCAACCTGGAGAACGGTGAAGAGAAAATCGGCTTGCATGGTCCAGGCAAAGTTGAGAAAGACGGCGATACCCATGGGGGCCCAAACGGAGCGATCCTTCATGAAGCGGAAGGGGACAAGCGGGACGGGGGCGCGCAGCTCCCAGAGAACGAAGACGGGGATGCAGCAGACGCCAATAACGAGGGGAGCGATAATACCGGCTGACCCCCACTTAGGAGGCGTGCCGCCTGCAGTGCCACCAGCAAGAGTGAGGGGAGCAAGGATGAGGCCAAAGACGGCAATGAGGAGGACAATGCCGATGCCGTCGAGGGCCCAGAAAAGCTCTTTGGAAAACTTGAAGAAGCGGACAAAGACGTTGTTGCCTGAGGTCCGCGCAACGGGATTGGTAGAGCGGAAGGACTGAGAGAGGTGACCAAACAGACCGCGCTCCCTGACCTTGTCGCGAATGCCGACCCAGGTGAGGCTGATGATGAGAGGCAGAGCGCAGATGGGATAAATTATGGCCCACATGCCGATGCCCCAATTCCAAGTTATGTGCTTGGTAGCAGAGGCTTGAATATCACCAGTGATCCAGGCGTTGATGATGAAGGGCAGTGCGGGAATGTAGCTGAAGAAGAGACGGGAGCGGGCCGTGGTGATGTCGGCGACAATGACCTCGACGAGGAGAATGACAATGGTGTAGCCAAGCTGATAAATGATGCTACCGGCGCAAAAGGTACCAATGTTCTTTGAGGCAGCCTCGATGATTGTGCCGACAGTGTAGCAGACGACGGAGAAGATGAGGAGCTCGACGCGACCAAAAATGTCGGCGAGCTTGCCGGCGGTGGGCTGGGCGGCGGCGGCGATGATGGCTCTGACGACGTTGATGGTGGAGAGCAACGAGTGCTTGCCAAAGGAGTTTGTGGCGTAGGTCTGGTAGTTGAAGCGCAAGCCGCCGTCGAGACCGTAGGCATACGCAAGGATGAAGGCGCTGAAAAAGATGATGATGCGGTCGACCATGGTCAGGCTGGCGGAAATGGCCTCTATACGGGCAACACCAGGCGACTTGACGCCACGGGCAATATCAGCGAGCGTGACATCGCCTTTGGCGACCGTTTCCTCAACCTCGCCATCGGCACCACGGAGATGGAGGCGCTTCTGCGCGCCGTAGCTGGCCATTGCGGCTTGTTGCGACTTGGTGATTGTCGGGTAGCTGCAGACTGGGGAAGCGGTAGGTATGAGATGGGATATCCTCCAAGGTCAACGGCCCTTTTTTTTTTTTTTCTTTGATCTGCGCTCAGCTAAGACCGTCCCTGAAAATCAGCCGCTTCTGACTTGACGGTACAAAGGTGTGGTAGTATTGAAGATGAAGACAACAAAGACGCAAAGAGACGAAGAGTAAGACAAGCTGACGATCGGGAGGGGGGGTATTAAGGTCGTTAAGTACGGCCTGCCTACCTAGCAAACGCCGAGCCGAAAAAAAAAAAACTCTCCACCTACACTTTCTCGCAATGATCATCACGAGGGCAGAGCCGGGCCATACATGGATTGATCAGATTACCCACCCCGAAAGAAAAAAAGTACGAAAAGACTATTGATCAGGCAACTAGTGTTTTTTTCCTTGCACCTCTACTATGCAGGATGCGGACGCCTCTCGGAGACGCCACCCTTGTTGAAGCTCCCATCTCCACTCGCACTAGCTTAACTCAATTGCAAAGTCGTGCTAGTAAGGCGCCACGGACGCGCCTCGTTTTGTTTCGAGGTTTGGTCCGAGTTATCTGATCTGATCAAGGCATATTACAGGTTTGCTGGGTGGCGTGTCTCGGGACCCCCCATGTTGCCCTTCTTTTGCAGGTCTTGAAGCCTGGTTGCGGTCTCGGCTGTCTCGATGCATGACGATGCATGCCAACCACCACCACCACCGCCACCACTACTATTAATTGCACCACCACACCGTCTCGGATTCGCCAGTGTACGGGTTGCATCCAAATCAGCCCCGATAACTGTTAATTAGCACACCTAGCCAAGCGACGAAGCGGCGGTCGACGAATTTCTGGACACTGGTGGAGCTAGTCGCTGAGAGCTGGGCGAGTCAAGCACCACGACAAGAATTTTTTTTTTCCTTGGCCCCGTGTGGCTTGCTCCCGCGTTGCGATGACTTGAATGGCCAATATTTATTTGCTCAGACTGGTTTTTATGTCCTTTCGGAGGTTTGCCGTCATTGGGAGAGCACCCGAGGGAAAAAAAAGAAGCTCACCTCGCTCAGGCTTCGGTCGCCCAGCTCGCTCTGGAATGCGATTCCTGCGCAACTTCCGCACCCGGCCATTCCCCGCGCTATTCCAGCCTTGTCTCACGCAAATCCCATGCGCCTACGGGGACCTTGCACGCACAGGAAGCAATAACCATCTGCGGTTATTATTATTTCTCATATCCACCAAACTGTGGATTTGCAAGTCTAATTGTTCAGCTTCTTCTTTGCACCCTGGGCCCTCGTGGATGCCGGGATGCCGGGATGCCGGGATTCTTTGGTCTTGGCCAGCTTTTGACGCCAACACCTTCGCCCGTCGGGTCGGTACTGAATCCAACAACTTCATTCGCTGCCTCGTCTTGTCCGACTCGTACGGCAGCTCGGCATCCCGCTACTGGAGAAAATAAAGGGCCCTCTATCTAGCATCCAATAACAAACATCTAGCTTCAGGCAGCAATACCGGAGAACAAGTCATGCTGACTATGGCCCCAAACCTGAATTTTTGACTTTTTCTTTCTTCCTTCATGCAAGGTAATTTTGTTCTCTGAGCCCAGACCTCAGCAAACACATCCACTAGTTCCGCTTTTCAGACGGGTCTCCGCCTACCCAGTCGTATATCCGACCCAGCCATGTTTTCAATCAGATAACTCTAAAGCAAAAGCCTTCTCAAGAACCGGAGCAGAGATCCGCAAACCAGATTGAGACGGCATCCTCGCAGCCCGCAATATTGACAGACTCGGTCAAAGTCCTGAGGCAACTGAAGAACCAACATACCTACCACAAGGCCGCGACCGCAATGGGCGGCAAAACTTTTCTAGTTGCTCACCGCGATTGAAACCTGACCGCTCCACTGATTGATAAGAATTTTCTCTTGAAGCACATGCCGGGGCTGTATTGGCAAACACCGCAAGATGCATCTGCGCAGCAGTTTGCCTCTGGTTGAAAACAGATTACCCACACAACCCGGCCAACCAGCCAACCAACCAGCCAACCAACCAGTCAGCCAACCAACCAGTCAGCCAACAGCCGTTGGGTTTCCTCTCACAGTTGGGTACGCATCCATCAATCAGCCGCTCCCCTCATTCTTCTCACACACACTTCTGCGACTGCTGTGGTACAGAGGTGGCAGTTAATACGAGCATGCGCAGTCAGCTGGCAAGTCTTGATGCACAACAATGCGTGAACTGCAGCGGCACAGACAATTCGGCACCTGATTTCTGCGCCCAACGTTCTCGTGTCGCACCGGACGGCAGTTGGTACCCCGAGCTTATTTCAGCATGCAGAACACGAAGATGCTGCACTACACAAGGGATGAATGCAATTTGTCAGTTACGAAGAAAGCATCGGAAGCATAGCTATATAAATCTCGGAGTCAGGTGCCTCGTCGTCGGTCGACTTCTCCCCCTGCTACCATCACTGAAAGGCGATACATCGACAAGCCACTCGTTGACAGTTTGCCAACATGTATTCCCAACTGCTTTCTCTTTTGCAGTTCGCTACTATTGCGGCGGCTCATCCCAAGGCATCAGCAGATGATGGTACATCACGACTTCAATCCCGGGATGGGCGATGCGGGCCAGAATTCGGCACCGTCTGCGATGAAAATGAATGCTGCTCTAGCGCAGGGTATAGTCTCATATTTTCCTCTTAAAATTCTCCGATCCGTGGCTAAGAATACACCAGCTGGTGCGGAGTTGGGCACCTGTACTGCTCTGCGCCGGACTGTCAGATCAACTACGGCCCGCGGTGTGACGCCAATGTACGACCCAAGGGACCGGCCACGGAGCAAGTACCGCGGCCGCAGATTGGGAATATCCCTTACGGCCAAGCAATATATCATTGCGAACGCTACGGTGATATTGCACTGACATTTGATGACGGCCCTTATATCTATACTGAGGATCTTCTGAACCTTCTCAAGGCAAGCATCAGGGCATCCCATGCCGCTTATCCTCTTGGCGATGCATTAACCAGGGCTCTCGTTGCTAACGATACATACCATGACAGCGCTATGATGCCAAAGCAACATTCTTCGTCACTGGAAACAATCTCGGCAAAGGCGCCATCAACGACCCTGCGCATTCTTGGGGTGGTCTCATCAAGCGCATGGTCGCCAGCGGCCACCAGGTTGCCAGTCACACGTGGTCACACCAGAAACTTACCACGTTGAGCGAGAGCCAGTTCCGTAAACAAATGTATTTTCTCGAAGTGGCGCTCGCAGACCTTCTCGGCTACTTCCCGACGTACATGCGCCCCCCATACTCGGCCAGCAACGACCAGACGGACGGCTGGCTCGGCGAGCTCGGCTACCATGTCACGTACTTTAACCTCGACACTGAAGGATACCTGAACAATTCCCCGAACGAGGTTCAGAAGTGCAAGGACATTTGGGACAAAAACGTCGAGGGGCGCAATCCCCAGAATACCAAGTGGCTGCAGATTGAGCATGACACCATCTACCAGACCGTGTACAACTTGACCGAGTATGCCCTCAAATCGTTGTTTCGCAATGGCTTCCGGTCAGTTACTGTAGGCGAGTGCCTCGGAGACCCGCGTGAGAATTGGTACAGGTGGGTGTAGACTGGTGCGACTTTTTTTTTTTCCATTTCGTGTCTTTCTAGGGCAGGTCGGATCGGCCTATTATGAGGCTGCTATTTTGCAAATAGGGAGTGTGTGTGACCTATATATGTTCTTGTCCGTAGTCGGCATGTAATAAGAATCACTGGATATATGAAGGCCATGTACAACATTTGACATTGTTTAACCATGGTTGAGATGAATCGTAAGGCGCGCGGCCAAATAGCATCAACTTTAATCGGTTCCACCGTCCTATATCACGTCAGCTACACGAGGAAAAGTCTTGGGATAAGGTTTCTACGATGCTCTTATCGGGGAAAGTCTTTGCGGTTTCAACGGTGTTGCATGGCCAACCCGTCTACCGGGCCGCGATCCACTCTGCCATCCCAAAGGCTATCTGTATTTCTAATGGATTTTTTTAATACTTTTTGCCTAGTTCTTCCCGGCTTCTTCTTCTTCTTTTTTTCCCCTTCTGGTCGTTGCGGTGTGCTAATCGCCCAAGTATCAAGGTAACATGGGTTGTCACCATCTCGGTGATTGTGTGCTCTTTTGCCGCTGGCCTATTGCGCTTCCGCCAAAGTACGTCCCGTCCATCAGTCAAATCCCGGTTGTATGAATCGCAGAGCCAAAAAAAAAAAAAAAAATGTAGGCGTCGCGGCCTCCGATTTTAGCAAACAGTCTTCATTAGTTAAAACACACTGAACTCGATGGCAGCCAGCCTTTTCCGTCATGATATCAAGCCCGCAAACACATCACATCGAGATGGTGGTTCGGCAGCGTAATGACTAGCAGACTTTGCTACGTATACTTTGCATACCTACGTGAGTCGCAGAAAAAGCGCTCGCTGGGGCTGGGCAACAGGGCAACACCAACTCGACTCATCATCTTGTTTCAAATGCCCTATGCCAGCCAGCGCGCCGCTCCCTACAACCCCACCCACTGTAGCGCCTTGAGCCGGTGGCAATACCCGTTTCGTACAGAGAGTAATTTGCGGAGTAATCTCTTGCTGCTGCTGGCTGGGGGCGCAGTGTAAGATGGTGATCAGCAACAGCTGCTATTAGAACCGCGAACCGGTACAACCACCCGTGAAAGAAACTTGTTCCGCGCCATGGGCCTGGTAAGCCGAGGTACAAAACCGGGCGAGCAGGGGGGGGGAGAACTGCTCAATTGACGAGGCCCTTGCCTTGATATTCCGTCGTGGAATGAATAGTCAGACTATTTAGGTTGCTTTGGTTTGCAAGTCGTCTCAACTCGTTTTGTCAATCAAAAAGGGCTCTAAATTTGGAATGAATTTCGAAGACGAGCCCCCCTTCCCCGCGAATGAAACAAAGTGCGCGCCGCAACAAAATTTTAGACGGAGCATCTCCATTGGTCTAGATGCGCTAGAAAAACCCCATTTCACGGGGGCTTAAGGCGGGTTTTAGAGTTTTGGCGGATCAAACTCGAGCCGATTGACTTGCCTGCTTTAGAAAGAGACCTTCTTTTTTTTTTTTTAAGGATTTCGGATTGTTGATGCAACTAGATTCCACATCTTGTTGTTTTGTCTGGGGAAAAGAGGGGTTTCTGGAAAGAGGGGCCTTTATCGCTGGCTGGTTTGAAGTCATCTAGTCATGGGCTATGAAACCTTGAGACAACCCCGCTTCGTGTCACAAAAGCGCGTCTGGCTTGCTGTGAATTGTCGCAGCAGTCTCGCACCGAGTCAGACTGAGCTAACTTGCAAATAGATGGAGGTTTGAAAAAGGATGAAGAATGTTTTGTTTTTTCCTTTAAAAAAAAAACTAATCAGGTAACTTTGTATCAACGTTCTACAAACTCTAGTTACAGTCCGCCAATGAAAACTTGTATATGGGAATCTGGGCTCAAATTAGCACACCACAACTTTCTCCAAGTAATATTATCAACGTGCCCGTACGGCAATAAATTGACAATTACAAAAAAGGTACATTTTTACTACCGGTACGGAGTTGCCGTACGGGGCGCGAAAGAAATGTGAGCCCGGGTTGGCACAAGGCATTGTATGCGCCTGGTGGCAGCAGGCACAACTTGAAGCGCAACTCGCTACCCTTGTGGAGCTTTCTGAAAAAAAGGTGTGCCAGCAGAGAGCCAAGTTGGGAAAGGGAACGGAAACTCGGCCAGGGGTATCTTGGCCCGCTTGAACTTGTATGGGACTAGTTTCCAGGTACCTGCGCAGCTATGCAGTTCGGTCAAGACTAGTTCAGCCAGTTAGCTTTGCTCATTTTGTTATTATAAGACGAGATCCGTCCCCTTGTAATCTCTTTTTTACTTACGCCCATTCTATAACCATTATTATATACATTGCCTAGCAGCTCCCACCCATCTGGCTATACATTCCTTCAGTTCTCTTTTTTTTTTTAGCTTTTTTTCTTTCTTCTTCTTTCTCATCCCTCACAACCAAAGAAAAAACACACGCCATCATGCAGTCCCAGCTGATGCTCGCCTCGCTCCTCGCCGCCGTCGCTTCGGCCAACAACCTGCTGACCCTGCGGCAGGCCGCCAACCCTCTGAGCTCGCTCTCCAAGGAGTGCAAGGCGGACCTCGAGGAGGTGCAGTCGGCGAGCGACCTGCCCGCGATCCCGACGGCCTTTATCGGCGACGCCTTTGCCGCCGTGCAGACGCTGTCCGACGCCTGCGCCTACACGCCCACGGGCACCGCCGCCGCCGAGTACACCAGCTTCGTGTCGGCCGCCGAGTCGTGGGCCAGCAAGCACACCAGCATCGCCTCCAAGATTGAGCAGGACTGCAACGCTGCTTTCCAAAACATTGCCAACCTCTGCCCCTCGGGCGTCGGCGTCAGCAACAACAAGACCACGTCCGGCGGCGGCGGGGGAGGTGACGAGGCCGCTGACGGGGCGACCGCTACCGGCGACGCGGCCCAGTCGAGTGGCGGCGCTGGTGGCACGACCTCTGCGGCGGCTGGCAAGGGCCCGGCTGCGGTGGGCGCGCTCATGCTTGCTGCTCTCGGCGCCTTTGCTCTGCTGTAAATGGCCCTCAATCGTACAAGAGGGGGTGGTGTTTATAGCTACTGTGCCCGTGGGGACGGTTCGCATTGGCTATGGGTTTTAAAGGAAGAAGATTGAAAGAGATTAGATGAGAAAAAAAGCGCAAGAGCAGGCTTCGGCGCAATTTTGATACCTAGTGCCCGCATGGCGCACAGCCAAATGAATATATTAATACCGATAATTACTTTTACTGCTGACGCAAACTCGACCGAGCTGGCGACACGCGCGCCCTCGGTGAATAACATGTTTTTTACTTGGTGTTGTCAAAACGCTTTCGCGTAATCAACTACATTAGTTGGGGCAACTTTCGCGTTATGAGACCAGAGGGCAGCGGGGAGAATGCGCCCAAGCAGGCCTATTAGCGTGCGCCGTTTGAGACATGGCAAGACAGGGTCGCAGTAACGGGTTTGCAGTGGTTCGCGCAACGGGCATGATGAAGCATAGCAACGGGGAACAAGAGATTTTGGTGATAATGATATTGTAAAGAGACTACTATATAGCACCTTTTTTCACTGTTTATTAGGGAATGAACCCAAGTACGAGAATTACTTGGAATATTTTCGCCTCTTCCGAAACCATCGGGATGCTTACGCATTATCAGGCTTCAGAACGCTTGATTACGCAATAAAGATTTTACCTATTTCTTTGTGGTGTATCATACATATAACACATTCTGCATAGCAAAAATTGTTTTTCTAGTTGCCTTCACCATCAGTTTCCATTCATGTGGCTCAAATTTGGATCACAGTCTTTCCCATGTTTGATATGATGCATTTCTACTCTTGTAGCTTTGCTTTGTCTACTTGGAGCCTAGCGACAGCGTAATTTCTGGGCGCGGCCCTCCCCCGCACCCGTTGTCATTCTGAAAGGAGCGGGGGTTCATCAAAAATCCAAACTGCCATCTAAGACCACCAAGAAAAAGAAAAGAAAAAGAAAAAAAAAAAACCCCCAAGTGTTCATTCCAATCCCCCCAGACCTTTTTTTTTCTACACCTGCAGCTGCGGCGGCGGCGCCACCGCTTCATCAATCTTGACGACGCGGCAGGCGGTGCCGTACGCGGCCGTCTGCGCAAAGCCCTCGACGTCGCCGGCGTCGAAGCGCAGGCAAATGACGGCGTTGCCGCCGCGCGCCTTGCACTCGTCGACGACGCGTCCGATGGAGTCGTTGCGGCACGAGTACAGCATGCTCGTGAACCAGCTCAGCTCGCCCCCGGCAATCGACTTGGCCACCATGCCCAGCGTCGCGCCCAGGTTGCGCGAGCGCACCGTGATGCCGTACACGGTGCCGAGCACCTGCTCAATCTTGTATCCAGGGAGGTCCATCATGGCTATACAAGGCACGAGGGTCGTGTTAGCGAATGTAAGTCTTTTTTTTTTTTTTTTTTTCTTTTCATATAGACTTTGAGTCGTTGCTTGAAAGTAATGGGAGGGGGGGGGAGGAGCAACTCACTGGTGGTCACGACGCCGTCAGTCTCGGTGAAGCAGTGTAGGTCGGACAGCTGAGGAGGAATATTGGCGGGCTCTGTGCGCTCCGGCGAGGTCTTGCTCTTTGACTTGAACATTTTCTGCACTCTTTTCCAGCCGTCTTTGTGAATGATGCGTCCGTAGTTTGATGCGGTGTAACTTGGTGGCTTACAAACTCGATGTATAAGCTCTAATACAAGGTCTGTACTCTGGATCAAGAATCGCTCTACAAAGACGCGAGACATGCAAAACCTTTTATACTTTTTTTTTTCTCTTTACCAAAACTCTCCCCTTGCACGATTTCAGGCTCCGGTTGGCTCCGATCGGCGGCCGTGACCCCGTCAATCCGTGAGCCCTTGTTGTCGTGGATGCATATTCGAGGGCGAGACATCAGCCTCTACGCTTGACTGTGCCGCTTCCGGCCTGTTGCCCGTCGCCGATCAAGGCTGAGCCGACCGTATGCATCGTATTTCTTGCGACCGCAATGCGACTGGTCAGTTGGTGATTTAAAAGTGGGCCCCTGGGCCTAACGGTCGCCTAATTCTAGCAACCCTGTGTGTTACCTTCATTCTTGGAGGCCCTGAAAATGAGGGACCTGTTCAAGTACCTACCTATGTAGCGATTTCTCCGATTTAGAGATATCATCTAACGTGCAGCAATGTGCTCAACTGTTCACAAAATGAGCAATTGAAAACTTGTAAATCTCTTGTATATCATTAAACTTATAATTACGTATCCGTTGACGTCGTATAATAAAGATTAGAGCTAATTACAGACTGGCAGCGCTCTGTCTCCACCTTTACCCTTTGAACCTCTCATAGAGCTCGGCGACCAAACTTCTTGACGCGCTGAGCATCACGGCTGCTCAGCTGCACGGCGCTGAGGCTGCGCTTGCCCGGGTGCACATTGGCGGCCGTAATATTGCCGCAGTCGGGCCGCTTGAGCTCGTTGGCAAATGTGTCGGCCACCCACAGCAGGACGCCGTTGGTCCAGCCAAAGCCCTCGACCACCTCGTACTCGCCGCCGCCGCCGGCATGGTTGATGCTTGTGTCGTCGTACTTTTCAAACATGATGCCTACATCAGACTCGGACAGACCCGACAGCTGCGGCGTCGCCGAGGTCGAGCCACCCGTCGCGTACCAGGTGCAAAAGGTCGAGTCCAGATAACGCTGGCCGAGACGCAGCGCGAGTTTATGCACGTCCTGCCACGCGGGATCGTCCTTGCCAAAGGTGGCCGGGGTGTTAGTCAGGCCCTTCATGAGGATGTGCATCAGCGGCGGCCACACGTTGGGCTGATCCCACTGCTGGCCGGTGCGCAGGTTGGTCGAGGGAATGCCGCCCTTCTTGAGGTCAAGGTACTTGGAAACGCGCGAATAAGCATTCTTGACCGCGTACGGATTGTTGCGGATGTAGTCTGGGGCGGCGCCCATCCAGAAAGGGTAAAATTGGGTAACTGCGAAAAGCTCCTGCATACCAGCGGGAGCAGTCGCATTCTCAAATGCTTGCGTGTCCGAATCGCTGGGGACATATATGTGCTGGCTTGAAGACGTTTTGTTATAGTCAAAGTAGCTGTAGAGCGTCTCATTCCAAAAGACAGCGTGAATGGCCTCGGCGCGGTCAGCCGCCTTCTTCGCCCAGCTGTCAGCAGCGCTGGAGTTGCCCGTCATATTGTAAAATTCAGCAATCGCCTTTTCGTTTCCGTAAAGGATCGAATTGAGGTCCACAGGAACAATGTTCATAATGTTGAGCGACCGCAGTGGGAAGTAAACGTCTCTCATCGAATCGCTAGGGTTGCTGGACCACTTGGCAGTGGTGTAGTCGAGGCCAGACTCGGCCCCGGAAGCAAGATTGGCGTAGAGAGTTGCCTGCTCACTTTCGCTGAGCGCCTTCTTGGCAGGGTAGATGATTTCTGATTCGGCATAGTAGGACTTGTTGTTTGCGGTAATGTAATCCTCGCGGTAGGACTCGGGCCGAGGCTGCGTGTTGGACACGGCGTAGCTACATTCATTAGCTTGCATCAATTGCATCCGGATAGTTAGTTTCGCTTACCGGTTGAGAGTATAAGTCTTGTTATCAACAGTCACGTCAACGGAGCGGTTGGTCATGAAGAAGTCATGCTCCTTGACGAGAATGGGCAGTGCACGCTCTAGAATACTAGTATCGTTGGTGTGATTGATGTAAGCCTTGACCATCTGCGACAGCACTGGGGGTTGTGAACGGTTGAGATAGTAGAGGCGCGCGCCGTTGGGAATGAACCCGAACTGCTCAATGAGGTCCAAAAAGTTCTCAATAGTGTTCTTGGTGACTTCGACGAACGCGCCGCCAGTGCGCAGTAAACCTTCGACGATCCAGTACGAGTCCCAGTAGTAGGGCTCACGGAAGCGACCGCCAGCGACAACAAATGTTCTGTTGATGGGAATGAAGCTGTTGGGGCAGCTGGTGCAGTTGGTGGTTGAGCCAGCGTACTCGCGTGTCAGATCAGGCCAAATGTCAATGACCTTGTTGACGAATTCTTTGATGACAGTATCGTTGAGCTTGTTGACAAATTTAGCATCAGTCTTGAGCTTGTCTTTAGAGACAGCTTTGAGTTCGCCGCCGGCGTCCTCGAAATATGTGTCAAGGAAATCGTTGAGTTCGGTGTTGTTGGACAGCGGCTTCTGGAGCTTATCAAACGCAGCCTGAATTTCCGACAGGGACTTTTTCGCAGGCCTGGATCGCAAGTCAGCTGCTGATCCCTGTGCTTACAGAAGCAGTCGCAAAGCTCCGAATAGCACACAGAGTGGGTATCTTACATGTCAACAAAAGTCTTGGAGTCTGTAAATGGCCTAGCCATCTCAATCTCCGCGAGAATATCTCCATAGCAGTAAATGGGAGAGTCGCATGGAGCGATGACGGAGCCATTTTGATATAGAGCTGTCGCAACAGGCAGCGAAGCTGCCAAAGCAGTCGCAAGGTACTTGAAGGAGGCCATTACTGTGAATTGCGCCTGGGAAGGAGAGCAATGGTTGACAGATCAAACTTGCTTCTCTTCGGTTGGGAGAGGACTGCACCACTCTATATGTACAAGAAGCAGAGAGCTGCCAAAGCACTTGGGACTAATACCTAAGCTTGGCGGGACGGCGCAATGCTAATAAGGCCCCGCTGGTAACCACTAAATTGCTGCCAGGATGACAGCTACAGACCAACCCGGATTGTCATTGTCAGGCTAGAGCCTCGCAGCAAAGGCTAAGCATATCGGCGCTGTACTTGGTGAGCCCACCAAACTGCGTTGCCAGACTGGAGCAAGTCCGGGGTTCTTGCTTGATCCCCACACAACAAGCCGGGGTCCTGCTGGAGCACGGTGCGCCACCACTTTTACCTCTGTAAGGCCAGACTTGGCCGGAGCATCGGCGGTCGATTGGTGGATGCCATTTTCTTCCATTACTCGTGACACTTCCACCGAATGTAAATGCGGAGGACGGCGATGGAGTAGGTGGTTTCGAAGTGGGGTAGACTGGCGTGGCACACGATCACCGTTGAGGTAATCGTGGTGTTGGCTCCCGTTGAGGTGAAGATTCGCGCTGACACTGACCAATTTGACTGCCTAGTAGGTAAACGATGCGGACGCTGCGAGACACTGAAAACGGCCATGAGCATTGGTCGAGTAGCGAGCGTTTGCCTCGACTCAATGGAGTCATGGAAGCGAGCAAAAGTCTCGTCGCTCTCCACATCTTCTCTGCCCGTTTCTCCAGCCCCGCCGATTTAGTTAACTGTCGTTGGGGCCGTAATAACGCCGTGTTCCTTGCGGAGCGGTAAATATGGCTGTGGCGCTGAGCTACAACGCAAACAGCGAGCTTCTCTACTGCCTGGCAGTTGCGGCGTTGACGTCAAAGGCGTCATTCAAATAAGCCTTGAGTCTATCAGTGGTGTTAGTGGTGTGGGTGGGATTAGGGGACGGAAAGATTTTCCGGGGGCACGCGACTGCACCGGCGGGCTACTGGGCGCCACTTGTGACGCAAAGGGTATGGGTGAATTGGTTTCTTGCCGCGGGTATTTGGAGGGCAGATTGTTGAGATGATGTTTGATGAAAGATGAAAGAGAAAGGTAACGCGATGAGACGGTGTTGACTGGCGATAAAACTTAGGAATTGCTAATGCCTGGTGTTCTGCGGTGTTTGTAGGCTGGCGGCCGGCAACAAACAAAGAGGCGGAGGAACAAGTGAGCCGGGCCGACCCCAGCTGTGCACCACAATGTCGACCCCTCCCATTTCTCCCACTTCTCCCACTTCAACAAATGTTTTCCTTTTCCAGGCAGAGTACGAATGAGGCTTAGCAAATCCAGCTCTCAGTACGGGTCGTGCACAATGGGCTTGGCCTTTTCTCGTGGAGATTTATTACCAAAAAGAGGACAGGAAAAGCCTCACTTTATTCGCTGCATCGGCCCTTTTCCCCGCCAAGCGACGACCGTGCGTTCTTTTGTTCTTCATCGCCATCGGTGCATAAACGACGCAACACCTGATTTGAGAAGCCAATCATCAGTAATTAACTTGAGCTAGACATGGCCGTTCACGCCTCCCAACATCAGAGAGACAAGGGCCGCGGATGCTGAGAAGCTCCCCGCCGTAGAGCGCTCCGCCTCCGAAGCGCCCCGGAGCTGGCCTGGATCGTCGACGATGACCCGCAGACCGCCCAGTGGCACCGCGAGCTGATGTAGAGCGGCGTGTCCATTGTCGCCGTCCCGCTACAAGACGAGGCCGCCGCGGGCGAGTCAGCATCTGGCGGCGGCGGTCCGTAGGTTTCCCTCAACGGCCGCCTCTTTGACGGGTTCTAGCACATTTAGAAATGTCAGTGGACCGTAGCTGCTACCGCCAGAGTGATCTAGGGAAGCTGTTTTTGACAAAGATTCGCCAAGCCGAAAGCGACACTTTTGCTGGTCGTCACCAGCTTGACAATTCAGTCTACATCTACCCGATTCGCAGTATCTTGCGACGTTTATTATCGCGTCGGTCTAGTATATCGCCGTTCCTTCGCAGACTGCCACTCACACGGACTTTGCTCTAGCGCAGGCTTGAGCTAGTTCCGCTCCCAGCTAGCCAACTTGTACACCCTTGGCGCAAGCTAACTCGAACAGAGGTGTAACAACCGACGTAACATGTGGAAAGATTGCTGCCTGCTCGCCGTCAGCTCTTGCAATCAGCACACAAACGCAGGCTTCACGTGATGGTGCAAGTCAGGTAGTATCGTATGGTGAGGGGTAAGGACATATGCTGCGCGAAAAAAAGGACCATATCAACCAAAAGACTGTCCTCACACGACTACTTCTCGGTTCCGTGCTATAAAGCACTCCTAGATATCCGCGGCAAACAGCACCGTCATCATGGCAGCCGAGCTCCCTCACCCCCGCAGAGTCGTTACCGGCCACGACAACGCCAACAAAGCCATCTTTGTCGAGGATAGCGTTGTCAAGGCCGTTCCCGTCGCCGACACGATTAATTTTGCCGTGCTGTACGAGACACACGAGTTCCCTGCCGACAATGGCGAGTGGAAGGACCCTGTCAAAAACCGCACCGAGAGCCTGGCCAACAAGGACGGCGTGGTGCTGCGCGTCGTCGATTTTAAGCCAAATTGTTTAGCGGCACGTACCAAGAAGACGCAATACACGTCTAAATCGCTCGTGCTAATGCGACCATGTAGCTCTTTCATCGCACGGAATCTCTCGATTTCGGCATCATTACTAAGGGCGAAATTGTCTGGTGAGTGGAATGAAAAGTGGGGGAAAAATAGTGTGCTGGGTGAAGGATGCTCTGACGCCGTGTAAGCTGTCTCGATGATGGTGTGGAAAAGACGCTCCGCGCGGGCGATGTCTGCGTGCAGCGCGGCACCATACACAGCTGGCAGAACAGAACTGACGAGACGTGTCGCGTGACCTTTGTGCTTGTTGGTACGTGGATTCACTCAACTTGTGCAAGTTGATTCAGCTCGTCATGTTGACATATTCTACAGCGGCCAAGACTATTAGCAAGGACCTAGATACGACGGGCTTTGTGGCCGAAGAAATGGCGACTGGAGGAGAGGAACGGTAGCTGCTGTTGATTAAACGGGCCATGTGCCTCCCGGGAAGCAAATCACGCAGATGCATGAAAGACTCCAGATCTCGTCAATGCAAAACTCGGCGGCTGGCGGTAATCTTGTTGCTACAATCCCGCACTGACATCAGTGATTAGGGTCCGCCTTGGCAACTCAGATAGATGAGCCTGCATAGTGACGGAACTTTATTCAAAAATTTTCACGTTCGAGTCAAGTCCAATACCAGAACACACTAATATTGAATACGGCAAGCCTACAATTTGGCCGAAATCAGCCGCTGTTGATACGATGTTGCATGATTTGTAGATGAGGTTTGCCCTTTCTCCTCTGCGATAGCCACGACGAGGTAACTATACTAAACAACACCAACATCGGGGGTTTAGCGCGCTAATTTCCACCATGAACAGAAATCAATATGCCGGCCTTTTATTAGCGCAAATAGGCGTCTGGTTAACAGCTGCCGTTTTGCTCGTCACGAGCCATCCTCTTCCCCATCGCCAGACCCTTGCAACTTCGGACACGCCGGCGCCCCCCGTCATTGACGATTCAACCACCCCCGTCGCCTGTTCCCCTCCACCACGCGCCATCCACAACCGACCCGCCCCTCTTCATGTCAGAAATTTATTCTCCTTCTTCTTCTTCTTGTTGTATTTTTCCTCTCCCTCCTCCTTAACTGTCATTATCTTGGCTTGGCCCCCATCAATTCGATTCGGTCGCGTGGCCAAATGGCAAGGCGTCTGGCTACGAACCAGAAGATTGTGGGTTCGATCCCCACCGTGACCTTAGAATGTTTCTTTTTTGCTTCTTTTTGTTCTCGATGCTAATTTTTACTCTTTGTTCAGCATTTGTTGCCCTATTCTGACCGTTTGCTGCACATTTTGACAAAATTTTGTGTGATGTGAGTTGAAGACTTTTCTTCCTCGTGCTGCCAAAACGCCCCACCCAGCTCGTTGCGCGCACTGAGCTGGAAAGTCGGGACGACAAAAGCTTCTACTTTACATCAAAGCATATTTTCGAAATGTTTCGGCATAAGTGGTATAATTCACTAAGAATGACTTTCTTCGTGATAATCTAGCTTCAAGACCCGCCAGTCTTGCTGCTCATACCATGTAGTGTATACGGGCACTAACATCTAACGGCGTATTGCTGGTATCGCGTCCATCATATGCTCTTCAGACTCCGACATTCGAGCAGCCCCTCTGTAAAACAGCTCGAGTTGACCAAGCTCAACGCGACATACTGTGGTTTGACTTGCCACGCACAGCGACTCCATATAGCCTCGGCTTCAGGGACCTTCATCTCCCCCAGCACGTGTGGTTCCTCCGGGGGTAAGCCACTCAGTATTGCTTCCTCCGTGGCTTGGGATGAAGCATCGAAGTTGTGCTGCCTTCCCCGCTCGTCCGCATCAGCCCCAGTCAGGGCCATGTGTTCTTGCATGTGCCGCTACTCACTCTGTGTCCATCCCGCCGCCTCTGCCACCGCTGTGTGCATGTCATTCCACGCGGCCGTGTCAATGTTGTCCATCTCCTGTTCGACGTCCCTTTCAAAGTCGAGCCTGAATCGGCTCGGTGGTGAGGAATTAGGACTATCTGTGGTAATCGCCATGAGCAATCGATACAGCCCACTCACCGTTTCAGCATGACTGACGTATTGTAGCACGAGTATGTGGCGCACGTAGTTGCGCGCTTGCTCCTTGTCACCTCTTTCGAGAATTGCGAGGTAGGCTGCTGCGCGAAGCTTTTCAATCTCTGAATCTTGCATGACGATTGGGTGATCGACGATGAACGCTCCCATATCCATAGGGCTGTTGATAGGAATATCGGCAAAGTCAAAGACGTAATCCGCGGGCCGGTCCGGCGGTGATTGAGCAGCATTGTCGCCCGTGCTGGGGACCTCGCTCGCCGGTACAGTAGCCCCGTTTGCTGGTACAGTAGCCCCGTTTGCTGGTACAGTAGCCCCGTTTGCTGGTACAGTAGCCCCGTTTGCTCTCAACAGACCGCGCTGTCTTTTCAGATTCGAAACGTAAGATGCAATTGTATCAAATATCATCTCGTATTCCTCCAGGTAAAATGACCGTAGGTTCGATTCGTTGAGCCAGTATTGCCGCTCATTCCGGCTCCCCTCGACGTCGCGCATCATGTCATCAATAGTTCGGTAATGAGAGAGCAACTGTTGCTCGGTGATGCGCCTGTCCTTAAACTCGCGCGCCTGTGCCAATCGCCATGCGTCCAAGAACATGCGTATGTTGGCCGTAGGATCTGATCCTATCTCGACGTGGTCGGAAACTTCTCGGTGAATCAATTCCAAAAATTCTAGCAGCACTTCAAGACTGTCTATGCGATCCTCCAGCAGTGCGATACGATATTGTTCCACTCTCGATTCCGGGTCATCTTGTTGATTCTGTAGGGTAATTAGTCAGACTAGAAACGACGCGACAATGGCAATGCTGAATACCCGGGTGAACCAACCATTTTGGAGAGCCTATTCTTTCTTTAAAATCTATTACTTTGCCTCTTGATGCATTGTGAGCAAATGCCTAACATCGAAAGTAAAAATAAAAAGCGCATTGGGTGTAGTGTGTCGCTGAAGCAGTCATTCATACCTTCCCAGCGTTGGTTGGCCCAACGCCAGGCTTTTTTGTATGCACTCCGCAGCCTCGACACCTTTGCGTCAGTCAAACATCGGAATCTCATAAACACTGGCTCGCGAAGACGGCTATACAGGCCTGCAGTTGCAAGACGATTCACTTCTTTGGATTGTAGCGCACCTTGTCGTCCACTCTTTACCAATTGACGCAACTGTCAGCCATGGACGGCCACAGCGAAAGTGAGCCGCTTCTGCTGGACGTGGCACCCGTCGAGCATAGACCCGTACCGCGACGCACGTTTTGGAGAGTGGTGCTATTGAGCTACGCCATGCTATTCTGCTCGCAACTCTACGCCTCGTCCTTTAACACGGTTCTATACGAGACCTTGGAAGGCCTGCTGTGTCGCGACATGTACGACGACGTGGGCGACCCTCTGGCGGACCCGCGCTGCAAGGGCGAGGCTGTGCAGTCGGAGCTGTCGCTGCTGACGAGCATCGAAGCCAGCTTTGAGATGCTTCCACCGATGCTTTGCGGCATTGTGTATGGCCTGATTGCGGATGTGTATGGACGCAGGCCGATATTGATACTGTCAACGTTTGGCGCTGTGCTGTATGGTGCCTTGGATATTGCCATCTGTACGTTGATACACAGCACCATGTATTATGGCGTCTTGAAAAAAAAAAAACAACTGAACGAATTTCCAGGCTGGTTTCATGATTACGTGCACATCAAATTCTTCTGGGCGGTGCCCATTGTCTACTTTTTCACGGGCGGCGGCTTGGTGGCAGCCAGCATAAACTACACCGTTGTCACAGACGTTTCCACAAAGTCGCAAAGGTACACTATTTCTCGCGCATTCCAGGAGAAACGAGCCTCGCTCAACAAATTTCTAGGTCTGCCATATTCTTGGCCATCACCAGTGCGTTTCTCCTGGGCGCCTTCTTCGGAGCCTATCTTGCGGCTGCCCTGTTGCCTCTTGGCCACTATTTTGCCATGTGCGCCATCTTGTCGGTGCAAATACTCGGGCTCTGCGCATCGTGCTTTGTGCCAGAGACTATCACGATTAGGGAGAAGCCGCAAGATAGCGTGAGCGACGCGATGCCTTTCCGGAAGAAGCTGTCGGCGAAGATTGCCCAGTTGCGCGTGCAGTCATTGGCGTCTTTGAGAGACATATTTTGGGGCGGCAACACGAAGTTGACTCTCTTGCTTATGAGCACTCTGTTTACCGGGGTGGGCAAACATTTGGTCAGCAGTGTGATGAAGCAGTATGCTGTCAAGCGTTATGAGTTGTCCTGGGCAAACGTATGTTTCCTTTTAATGCAATAATCTAGCCTGTCTTCACTAACACGATCTACAGGCCGGCATTATTCTGTCCTACGCAAATCTTGTACGACTTGCTCTCTGCTTCGCGGGTATACCTCTACTTGTGACTGCCCTCCGAATGGCCAAAGTTCTCCCTATCATCCAGGACGCCTGGATCTCACGCGTCAGTGTTCTTGTTGCCGTTACATGTAGCTGTCTGGCCGGCGCTGCCCCCGACGTCGGGGTGTTTACTGTGAGTGTCATCCTGTACGCCTTGAGCTCCTGCTTGGAGCCTACGGTACGCAGCTTGGTGGTGGCTATGGGGCGGGACGCGGGCACGGGAAGCATCATTTCGGCCTTGGAAGTGTTGACCGCGGTGAGCATCGCGATAGCGGGACCGGTGATTGCCGCGACTTTCCGGTTGGGTATGAGGCTCGGCGGCGGCTGGATTGGGTTGCCCATGTACATTGGCGGCGGGATCATGGTCCCGGGCGCCCTGATTTTGCTCTTTATGCGGTTCGACAAGGAAGTTGCGGAAGAATTGGCTGAAGAGAGTGAAGGGCTTTTGTAAATGGCAGATCCTAGCCCGAGTCTCTCACTTTATACAGTCATATACCTAGATCCGAGGACGAAAGCGGAATGAATTGAATCATTTATTTTTATTGCATGTGCACGCGCCTCATACCAACGTGTATCCGCCGTCCATTACCAAATTGGCACCAGTCATGTAGCAGCAAGCATCACTCGCGAGGAACACGTAGATCTTGCAATTGTTAGAGAAACTAGCAAAACACCGTATTGGATAGACTTACTCCTTTCAGCTCCGAGGGAGCTGCCATGCGGCCGCCGGGGATCAGAGAGAGCCACTGCTCCATGCGCTCCTTGGGCTGGTCATACAGCACTACCAAAAGTCAGCATCTCAGAAGCCATGACGTACCAAACGCGTATTGCACTCACTATCAGTTTCGACAAAGCCGGGTGACACGCAATTGACCCTCGCAAAATCGACCCATTCCACGGCCAGCACCTTGGCCAGCTGCACCACCGCCGCCTTGGAGGCATTGTACGCCGCCTGACGCTGCGGGACATTGACCAGCGTCGCGCTGACCGACGCCGTGATGATCAGGTTGCCCCGACCCTGCTCTTTGAAGACCTTGCCGGCCGCCTGCGCCGTCCACATGACGCCGTCGTAGTTGACGCTGCTGTTTGCCTGCCACGTCTCCTCGGTGTACTCCAAGCTGGGAATGTCGGCGCAGACGCCCGCGTTGGCGACGACGACGTCGAGACGGCCAAAATCGGCGACAATCTGGCGAATCGTCTCGGCAATGGCGGCGCGCTGGCGCACGTCGCCTTGGTAAGCGGCGACTTTGGCGCCCGTAGAGGCGGCGATTTGGGACGCGGTGTCGTGGGCGTGGTGGCTGCTGCTGTAGATGATGGCGACGGAGGCGCCGGCTTCGGCGAGGCCGCGCGCGATTTCGAGGCCGATGCCGCGGGCGCCGCCCGTGACGGCGGCGACTTTGCCGTGCAGGGAGAAGTGGGAGAGGACGGGAGCGTCTGGGTTGGAGGGGCGGTAGAGGGGCATGGTGAGGAGGGGCTGTGGTAACGCGGGGTGCTGAATGGTGATGAGGAACGAGGGAGCAACGAAAATAAGAGAAAAGTCGTGGATATTGTGAGATGTATGTATGATTTAAGAAAGGACAAATCTAGTCACCGAAGCGAGAAAAATAAAAAATTAAGAACTCGTGAATATATTACGCTTTGCTAGACGCCTTTGACGGGCTCAAAGCCGCGAGTGAAGAGCCGCTCCAGTGGTAGAAGCTTGTACAGCCGCACCAATAGAGTTAGTTGGTTGCTGGCTGGCGTGGAGCTGGACCATCTTTTGCAGTAGCTCCGATCTGGGGAACACCTGTATGGGACTAATTTTTCAATCATGGAATTTTTTGCGTCTAAATACTGTTGGAGACTTTGTAGCAAGCTGTAACTTTGGTCGCGTTCTTGCCCGCAGCTGATGCACGCGAAATCAAAGGATCCATGAATATCAAAGGTTTGCGCGGCGCGTCGTCAGCAAATGAACTATTGTTAGTGCCCGCACCGCGGGAAACAACAATACCTTGGGGACAATGGGACCTAGTCACGTTTTGACGGCCGACTTTCCCAGTATGGGACGAGGACGCATCTCATCGGCCCTTTGGTTTCAATGCCCCAAACTTAATTGACGCAATTCGGTTTCGCTCGGTTTTTCTTGCATTCTACAATGTGACAATGTTGGTAGGTTAGGTAAGGTAGGCTGCGTCAGCGCAAGGACCACTGGGGCCTGCGAACCGGGCAGTGCTGGCGGGCAAAGGCTGGCCGGTTCGCCATATCATTTCCAAAACGAGAACATGATGGCGCGTTGGGGGCTGAGCAGTTGGCGTGGCGCATTTTGGAGCTGATGAATCTGCATGACGATAAAGTTTCAATTGCGTGCGAATGAAACAGAGATGGCTCTCGACGACGGGGATGTGAGGTACCGATCAAGTTGCCGGCAGCTTCTGCCTTGAGGTGCTACAGCGGATTGCGGCGCTAATGTCATAAAGGATCGGCGCTTGCACAGTTTTGAGTATGATGTGCCATCAGAGAGTGTACTAATGGCGTACAAGTATCTAGTTACGTACCTAGGTACAGCTTTTTGTATTTACCTTGCTGTAGCTATTTAGGTAGGCGCAATGTGGGCTGTTTGCTGCTTACTTTCGTGGGAGTGAGCCTCATGCATGTACCTGAAGGGTAAGGCAGATCACCTTGCTTGTCTTGACCAGAATATCGAATTCAAGCTTAGCCCAAGATGCTATTTTAGAATAAAAAACACGAGATGAAATAATAATTAGAGACTGTATTAATAAGACCCAACTGCCCCAAAATCGTGTTTGCTTCCTTTATTAGATACGCTGAGCCCCGCCCTGCTGGCCCTATGCACGCCAAGCAGTTGGTTGCCCCGCTGAGTAAGACTGCTACCTAGATTTCGTTGCCAACTTTGTTTCATCCCTCGTTGTATTGATACAATCTAGCTTCTATTCTTCAGGGTTTTCAATTGTGTATCCATTGGTTCATTTATCATCTATAATTACAAGTTTCCCGCCTCTTTGCTTGGAGCGCCCATCTTTGTTCTTGCCGCAGCACAGTGCTTGTGCCCCCGTTTACCCCAGATGATCCCTTGCAGCGCACCTACCATGTCGCTGTGAGACCATGTCGCCATTTACGCCCAACGAACGCCAAAGGCGAATTCTCCAACTATCATCAGAATGGGGTGTCACACTTCCGCCGGCGCCGGAACCCCTCACCAAACCTCTGCAGAATCCGACATTCAAGGGGCCCGGAGATGACGATGCTGCCGAGAGCTTGATGCAGAGGCGAGCCGCCGATGCCGCTCAGCTGCGACCAAAAGGCGGGCTTTCGAGGGCATTCTCCACGACAAATCTCAAAAAGGGCAAACACTGGGACCCTCGCGAGATAGTCGAGGTTTTAGCTACCCACGTAGCTAACAACGGCTCGCCGGGCGTCGCCGAAGCCCTGATTGAAAAGCTCTCTGCTGCAGGCGTCGACCTGTCGGGGAATCAAAAGCAGAAATCGAGTCTTTTGAGCCGCCGAAAAAGCGTGGATCTTTTGACGGACCGGGCCCGCCTGCTTCGTCTTGCTACTGAGAGCGGCAGCCTGCAAATGGTTCAGGTGCTAATACCTCATGCCGATGCGCTGGCGATTGATGCCAGCATCGCTGTTGCGATTAGAAGAAGCAATACCCCCATTGTGGAATTGCTGCTAAGATATGGCGCCAATGTCGGTGAAATAGCAGACGGGCAGGATGCTTTCCGTCAAGCTTGCGCGCAACATGGACAAGACCCCATGATTGCCATGATTCTTAGTTCGGCAGGGCGACCTTCACCGGCCACGATATCGCAAGCAATGGGTGACGCTTCCCGATCCGGCTGCCTGAACAACGTGTTGCAGCTTAGTCGATCCACCGGAGATGGAAACTATAAAAATGGAGAGGCACTCATCACCGCCGTCAACATGGGCCGGCGAGATATCGCCCTGGCCATCATCATGGGAAACAGACCACCACAGCCATCCTCGCTCAACAGTGCCTTCAATATCCTTCACTCACATCCATCTATAGGCCCTGCTACAAAACTCGACATTGCTGAGCTGTTGTTGTGCGCAGGCGCCACGGGGGAGGCACCGGCCTTGGCGCTGGAGCAGGCCTGCAAAGCGCAGTTTGACGACATGGTATGTCTTCTCTCCTCGTACAACGTCTCTATCGAATACAACCAGGCCTCTGCAATCAAGTATGCCATCAAGAACGGCGAAATGGAACTGGTAGAGAAGCTATTGAGCAGCGCGGCGCCGTTGAGCCCGCAATACGCGTCGTCGTGCGTTGGAATGATACCAAAGCAGGCGTCATTCGACGCGCGAAACTCTCTTCTGATGCAGCTCCTGCACCGTGGTGCCAATGGCCAAGCTCTGAGCCAATGTCTGATTGATTCAGCCGAATCGGGTGATCTCAGCTCGGTTGACTTGCTTCTTAACCCACGATTTCCTCAGCAAAGTCATGGGACCCCAAACGGGTCTGCCTCGCCACTCAGCACGCATGCAGTGGCATCGGCCGATTATCGAAATGGTGAAGCATTACGAACTGCTGTTATCCGAGCCGATGTGCCCCTCGCTCAAAAGATCCTCAAAGCGCGCCCCTCACCCCAAACAATCGCTGCCGTCTTTCCGCTCACGAGGAATCTGCCCGTGCAAGAGCGGCACCAAATGGTGAGCTTGTTCCTGGAAGGCTCGCTTTCTGGCGATTGTCTCCATGCCGCTCTACAAGACGCGCTCGCACCCCCTCAAGCACAGAGAGACGAGAACATTATCAAGCAGCTGCTAGCCAGCGGCGCTGACATCAACTACAATTCTGGAGAAGGTCTTGTGCCGCTCATCAAGCAGATGGACTTGAGTCTCCTTAGCATCATGAAAGCAAGCATGTCTCCCCAGACAGCCGCCTCGCGTATTCCGGATGCAATGAAGGCCTCGGATCATCGATCAAGATTTGAGATGGTAAACATATTTCTTCAAGCTGGTGCAACGATCGGAGTCTCGGAGGTGGCTTCTGCGACCCTGGAGACATTATCGGAAACGCCAGTCGACATGTCGCTTCTCCGACTGCTTCTAGAAACAGGCGGCGCTGATGTGAATGGCTGCGAGGGCGCCATCATGACCAAAGCCATAGAAAATTCAGACCCGAAACTCCTCCAACTGGTACTGTTCTACGGAAGCCCATCAGAATCATCAATAACACGTGCTCTGGATGCTCTGGCCCCGAAATTGTCCAACGATGTCAAGAAGTGGAAATTCGAGGCTGTTCTCTCAAAGTTGACAAAAACGATTGACTTGAATCGTGTGCTGATTCTTGAAGTTCAGTCGATCGTCGAGCACAAAACTTTGCAGCCGAGTTTGGATATCTTGGATATTCTTTTGAATTATAATGCAGATCCGAATGCTTTCAATGCTGCTGCGCTCTGTCATGCTGTCATTGCGGCGGATATCCCAACAATTACCCATCTTCTCCAAGCCCGTATCAAAATCAGACCCGCTAGCTTGGGCATTTCTTTGCCGCATGCACTCAGCATTTCTGATCAATCTGCGCGCCGCTCCGTCACCCAAGCGCTGATCGATGCCGGGGCACCCCCTGCCGAGGTTAACAGAGCTCTTCAGCATGCTATCAAGGCCCACACTCAGGACACAGCACTGATTGAGCTTCTTTCTTCAAAATCAGACATTGGAGAAGGCAATGTTTTGTCACTCGCTGTCGAAAAGGAATCACCAGAGCTCATATCAATTCTGCTGAAGAATGCAAGCTCCTCCCCCCAGGCACGCAGCACAGCCCTGACACGAGCAATGGATATTAAAACGCGGAACCTGCGGCACGATATTTGTAAGCAGCTTCTGGCCTGTGGTGTCCCTGCCGACGCTGCCTCCGTTGCCCTCTTGGTGGCTGCGCGGGACGGCGACGTAGCACTCGGCGATGCATTGATAGTGCACGGCGCGAGCATCACCAAAAACAACGGGCAGGCAATCATTGAAGCCTGTCGTGGCGGCTCCATCGACGTACTCAAGGTTCTACTAAAGCCCGACGGACAAACGTCAAAGCAGACGCTTAATGAAGCATTCCAGGCTGCTACCGAGGTACGAGATTTGGACAAACGCGCCGTCGTTTTCGAGTACCTTCTTCGCTGCGGCGCATCTGGTGAGTTCATCGATGCGCAGCTTCAATCCGCGGCGAGGTATGGTGAACCAGGGGAGAGTCTACTCAAGGTGCTACTGGAAGCTGGAGCAGATCCCAACTATAACAGCGGTGAGGCAATCGTCGCTGCAACGCGGAGTGCTTTTATGAACAGCCTGCAGCTACTTCTAGGTATATGGGATGATGGAAAGAATCAGGTATGCAAACCGTTTTTTTTTGGCTGTTCTTTGACGCTAACCGCTTTGCAGAAATTGCCTTCGCAGCCTACGTTGGTTCGCGCGCTGAAAACGTCCTGGAACCTCAACCGCGACACTCGCTATGCCGTTCTTGAAGATCTAATCAGAGCTGGCTTACAGCCTTGTGAAGATTTACACATTCTTCTCAACTACGCGGTAAATGAGAAAGATCCCGAAGAGCGCCTGGTACGTCTACTCCTCGACAATGGTGCTTCAGCTACTTCGAACAGCTGTAAGACCTTGGTTGATGCCGTGCAGAATATGGCTTCTTCCTGTCTCTCACTTCTGCTGCAACGCGAGATTGCGCAAGATGATATCAACCAAGCCTTCAATGGAGCTTTCACTGCAGAGACCTTTGCCAATTGGTTTACTTCCAGTGGTCTTGAGACAGCTCAACTACTTCTGGACAAGGGCGCAAGCGGAGATGCGTTGAGCCAATCTCTGCTGCTGGTCATGCAAAAGTCAACTCCAGAAACCACTGATCTTGCAGACCAGTTTGTCCAGGTCCTGGTGTCCCACGGTGCCGACGTCAACTACAACCGAGGCCTTCCTTTGCAGCAGGCTGCATCGGTGGCAAACGTAGAGTGGACACGCAAACTTCTGGGTCGCAAGCCAACGTCCGAGACGCTATCTCTGGCGTTGCATTGCCTTTTTGACACTGCGCTCAGTGAGAAAGAGGTCCTGGGCCTATTCAAACTATTCGTCGAGTTTCGAGACGGGGATGCTCAAGTAGACGTCATGCTGGCCCTGCAAGGGTCGGAACCAGTGTTGGTGCGCGCCATGAGGCAGTATCCGCGTTCGTCTATGATTTTATCAACACTGCTCGATACAGGATATTACCATGATCAGCTCACCACCTTCACACTGCATTCGGACGTAGGTGAGGAAAAGGTCACACTACTCTCTTGGGCCATTGCTCAGCCCCAGAAGCGGATCAGCACAGCCGTCATCAAGCTTCTGATCGAGCGAGGCGGTAAGTAAAAAGGACGCAAATGACACAATACAGTGATTCAGTGCTGACAAAACGACAGCCAAGGTCAACGTGACATCATCCTTGTCAGGCTCGACTCCCCTAACGCTCGCCGTCTTGCATCGCCGCCCAGAAGTGGCCAGGCTGCTGCTCATTGAAGGCGCCGAAGTCGACGTCAATGACTATATGGGCCGCACGCCCCTCTCAATGGCAACCGACATGGATGGCGAAGTCGCTCTGCAGCTTATGACGAGCATCCTCGCTGCCGATCCCTGCCGCGATGACGGCTCCCTGCACAACGCCGCGCGGGAGCTCAACCTCTCCGCCGTCAAGGTCCTCGTCGAGGCCGGCCACGACCCCGATTTTCCAAGCACCCTCCATGACGGCCGCAGCGCCCTCGGTGAGGTCTGCTTGCAGGCCGCGACAACTGACGACGGCGACGAGATGCCGCCCGAGCGCGAGCGGCTCATCCAGAAAGTCATGGCGTTTCTCATCGACGCCGGGTCGGACCTCGCCATTCGCTCCGCCGACGGCAAGCCGCTATTACATCTGTGCTTTGCCTCGCACGCGCCCGTACCCACGACGCGCGCGCTGCTCAAAGCTGGCATGTGGAAGCACATCAACAAGCCGTTTACCCGCTACACCGACGACCGCTACACCTACTCGCCGACCATGTACGTCGCGAAAGCCTCGCCGCCGCTGCCCCGCCGCGACGAGCTGCTCGCCGTTCTGCGCGCCAACCGCGCGGCCGACGTCTTTTACGCCACGTCGGCCTCGGACACGCAGCCCCCTGATGCCATCGGCCTCCCTGACGACCTCGCGTCCATGGAGCGGGCCCGCAGCGCGCGTCTCGCCCGCCTCGCGCAAGAATCGGAGGAGCATGCCGTGACACTCTCGCGCCGCCGCGAGCTCGCCAGCGTCGAGCAGCAAATTGCCTCTACGCGCGCCGCCATGGAAGACGCACGCCTGCAGCGGCAGCACGCCGAGGAGCTGGCCGGCGTGCGCGCCCGTGCGCAACTCGAGGAGTCGATCGCCGCGACGACGCTCCAGCGGCGGCTCGCGGACCAGCGCACCGTGACCGAGGCGGCGATGAACCGCACGCGCGCGCTCGCGGCCGCCGAGACGGACGCCGAGGACAAGCGGCACCGGAAGGCGGTGGAGTGGGAGGGGTCGATCAACAAGGAGCGCGCCGACGCGGCGAGGGCGCTGAGCGCGATACGGATCAGCGAGAGAGAGGCGCTGGAAAGGATTGACCGCGCGGCGGAGCAGAGGGTGGCCAAGAGAATCGAGGCGCAGCGGACGCTGGCCGAGAGCCAGGAGAGGCTGGCGGGACGGCTGGCGAATGGGACAGTCGGGGCTGGTCTGGATCCGCGACGGCAGATTGGGTTCGTGACGGAGGAGCTGAACTAGAGTGATCAGAGACAATGCAACACAATACCAGAAAGGACACGATAAAGGAGGCGGAAACATGATGGCGTCCAAGTACGAACAAGAGCATCGCGAGGACTATGTATTTGATCCTATAATTTGCAGCGTATAATACAGTAGCTGGCAATCCGTCAAAAGACAGTATTCGAATCTTGATGTGTTCCCTTCATTACCAGAACAACGAACACTTTTTCCTTCTTTACCAGTCTAAATCCATTTTTACTTTCCACCCTTAAAATTCATCTTGATCGAGTCCGCGCCCGTTTCCACGACGCAGTAGCCCTCTGCGTCGGCCGTCTCTCCACTAGCCGCCTTTTCATACGCCGCGTCGCTGCGGTCGCACAACACGCGCAGGTCCGCCTCGCTCAGGATGTCGTCGCCGCCCGTCGTTTCAAAGACTTGTCCGTCTTTGAGCAGCAGCTGCTCGAGCGTCTTGGCGTCCACCTGAGCCGCCGCGTCGCCGTCGCCGTCGGCGGCGGCGCCGCTGTCCCCCATTTTCTGGCCCATGGTCTTGAAGCCGCCCTTGCGAATGACGAGCTTCTCCAGACGCCGCTTGGCGTCCGCCGCGAGCAGCAGCTGCTCCTCGACGGTACCGCGCGTGGCGAGGCGGTAGACGATGACGGGCCGCTGCTGGCCGATGCGGTGGCAGCGGTCCTGCGCCTGCAGGTCCTGCTGGGGGTTGAAATCCGAGTCAAACAGGATGACGGTGTCGGCGCTGGCCAGGTTGATGCCCTGGCCGCCGGCGCGGGTGGATAGCAGGAAGACGCGATGGTCTGGGTCCGTGTTGAACCTGTGTATTTGCTCGCGACGCGACTGCTGCGACACGCCGCCGTCGATGCGGCAGACGTTCCAGCCGCGCAGCTCGCGGCAGTAGTCCTCGAGAATGTCGAGCTGCATCGCGAATTGCGAAAAGATGAGCACCTTGTGGTCGAGCGCAAATAAGTGGTGCAGCAGCCGATCGAGAAGCAGCATCTTGCCAGAGGCGGTGACGATGGACTCGTCGACGGGTGTCTCGGTGGCTATGGCCCAGGGATTGTAGAAATTGTGTGGTGAATTGCACACGAGGCGATGCTGAGCAAGGGTATTTCCCAACTTCTTGGCGGCGATTTGCTTTTCTTTTTTGTGAAGGGATTAGATGAGAGCAGACTCATGCAGGGAAGTTTTGAACTTACTGGCTAGCTCGAGGTTCTGGGCGAGCTCAATATCCTCGGCTGATCTCGAATCTTCTTCTGGGGCGGAATCTTTGGCACTTCCCATCTCTTGAACGAGTTTGGCTTCAAATTCTGCGTCTGAAAGATCGTCATCGTCTTCTGAATCATCTTTGTATGCTTGTGACTTTCTGGGACGGCCACGTGTGGATGCCGGTGTAGACCCGCGGCTGGACCTTGCACTCTTTGGCTCAGGTTCTGTCGGTGTCTGGCCTTTTCGCTTGAAGCCGCTCTTTACGGGGGGGGGAGTGGCTTCTCCTTTTGGCTGTACAGACTTTGCGCGAGTAGACTTGCCCATCATTCTAGTAAAGGCATTGGCCGGCGATGCTGTTGTCTTGTCTTGTGGTTGTTTGCCTCTCGGACTTTCCCGAACCGGAAGTGAAATCTTCTTTTGCTTTCTGTCGACCTTGAGGTTCTCCGATGCTAGTCTCGCCGACATGATTTGCTTTTCCACCTTGTTCTGAAGAAATTCACGGGTGTCAATATTCTTGTTGCTGAAAACATTGTACAGATCCGTCTGCTCCTTGGTCATTGGCGCAAAGAGCACGTATTCGCGCTTCCGAGGGAGGTATGCAGCGACGTCTTGTTTGATCCGACGGAGCAGCAGCGGCTGTAGAATCAGATGCATCTTTTTGACCAAGTCTTGCTTCATCTGATCCTGTATAAACTCCTGGGTCCCCTCTTCATCTTCGAGCCCCGAAAAGTCGAACCAAGATTCAAAGGATTCCCAGTCTGTGAAAATGTTGGGTAGCAAAAAGTGTAGCAGAGACCACAACTCTTTGAGGTTGTTTTGTAAAGGCGTGCCGGTAATAAGCAGACGGGTAGCAGAAGTAAATTGCCGAAGCTCTTGAAAAAGCTTGGCCTCGGAATTCTTCATACGGTGTCCTTCATCCTATCAATTGGTCAGTAGAGCGCACGTGCTGTAGTTTGCTGCATACTTGCAATAATGATGAATTCCCAATTGATGCGCGATAGAAAAGATTTGTCTTGAAGGACCATTTCATAGGATGTACAGACGACCGGGAACTTGTCCGTGGGGCGACCGGCGTGCAGATGCTTCATCATTTTGCTGGAAAAGATTTGCTGGCGCTGCTCGCGTGTCCCGTGATACATTATCACCGGGATAGATGGCGTCCAATTCCCAAATTCATCCATCCAATTTGATAGCGTGCTTAAAGGCGCAACGATGAGATGGGGCCCAAGATAGTTTTCTTGCTCTCGAAGCAAAGCAATGAGGGCTATTGTCTGGATGGTTTTGCCTGAGCTTGTTAGCCTACATGTATTCCAGAAGATATCACATAATATTGGCTTACCCAGTCCCATTTCGTCTGCAAGAATTCCGCTCATGCCCTGCGAACAAATCTCATACATCCAAGTAAGGCCCTCTAATTGGTAGTCACGCATGGTACCACCAACCAGGCACTTTGGTTGCTTGGCCATCTGCAGGTCATGTTCCCCAAGGGTTTGACCGTCCAGGCTACTTCCCACTCGTCCAAGGACTTGCGTTTTTTTGGTCAAGATGTCGCTGAACGCCGCACTCTTCATAAGGAGCTCGTCGAGCTGTCTAGCCTGGGCTTCACGCTCCGCCTTGGTCTGTGCCTTTTTCGTTCTACGCTTACGGGCAACAGCCTGACGGCGCTTTTCTTCTGCTCGGTTATTGGCAATGCGGGCCTTGTCCTCTTCCTTTTCGAGTTCATCGTCGTTTATCATCTCGGGGTTGACCTGTGGCGAGCGTGCTGGCGGCGGGGAGCTCGCGGGGCTGGAGCCATCTCTTGCTTTGGACATGATGGACTCGACGTCGGAAGACGAGCCTGCATCCATTATTTTTCCCGAATATCCAATGCTAAAATTCGAGATTCTCGATGCAGAGGCGGTTTCAGCTGAGCTGATTCGCAAGGAAGAAACCAATCTTCGCAGAATGATTATTGCCGGAATGCGATGGCGCGCGACGCTAAGAGGATCGTGAATTGCCACTCAGATTGCGTTCACCCTGGCGGACTCGACCTCGCGGCGCAGTAAAATCAATTGAGGCAGAGACAAATACCAGATGAGTTGAGGTATAGATAAAAATCTGCAAACGGAATTTGAAGAGACAGCAACACTATATGTCATGGCAGAGAGAATGCATGACGTCGCGATCGGGCCCTGTGTTAAATCCCTGAAACGCGACGCGGAAAAGGGCGCACGCGAAGTCACGTGTAGCTGAAATGGTGATCGTTTAAAGATATTTAGTTGGCAACGCATTGGCATCAAAGAGGATGTTCACGTGCAGATAAACTTTTATCTTAAATCCGGTCATCATCAAGTCCAAGTCACCAGGTCTTGACAATTGTTTTCTGCTGTCAATTGTTATCTTGGTAGCCGATGCAATGGTGGAATGCCAAATGCAGGACCAGTAATTCGTACATGGCGGAGGCGTAGGCGGAGGCCGATGACCATGTACCCTGTTCAAAACCGTAGATCGAAATGAGTCTATGAAGGGAAAAAACGGACAAAAGAAAAAACAAAAGAAGAGCGATTTTCTTTGGTTCAGGCAGGGCGAAATCAGGGCAGCCACATTTGTCAGACAGCCACGAATCTCGGCGAGTGCTGCAGGCTGCAGCCACTGACTTGAGAGGGTGTGCTGAAACGGCTGCCGGCCTAGTGGACCACGATGCTCCCTCTCTGTCCCCCGCCATATACATATAATAAGGTGAATTGATTATTCGAAACTTCGGACAACATCATTCATAGGTTAACATTACTTTGTATGTTGGCCTTAACTTATACAAAAAGGGCAACTCGCGTGGTGTGGACTTTTGTATTGCCCACTCGCCCCCCTATCGTGTGGGGGCGTTCACGTAATGGCGGCGGAAGAGATCCAAGCAAACGACTACGATATTTTCCTCCATCTTCTCTTCTCCTCCCCGCCATTGCGCATTCTCCATACGTATATATCACGAACCATGAATTACCTTTGGCCCCCGACCAGGCCACAAGCTCAATGGGTTTTTGTGGGACCTCTGGCGCAATTCCCCGACGTCGGCGCTGATGAGGGCAATCTAATCCAGCCACGGGCTTGCAACGCCAAGAGGCTGCCCGGCTGCCGCATCTTGGTTGTCCCCAAGACGGATCCTTCGCACGCAGCCGAGATTGCCATTCCGTCCGGCGCGGCAACATCTCCGAGCGAAGGCCAAGACTTAAAGGACCAGGTTGTGGTGTTTCGGTATCGCAACAAGGTGCACGCCGTCGACCATGTGCGTATTTAGTCTGAGACGAAACCCGTGTTTCTGCCGCTACTCTGCTAACTGTCGCCGTAACCCCAGCAATGCCCGCACAATGCATATCCCTTGTCCAATGGGACGCCCTTTGACATTGAGGACTTTGGCATCGTCCTCAGCACAGGTCTGACCTGCCCAAAGCATGGCTGGTCCTTTGATATATTTACTGGACAGTCGGACCGTGGCCTTTACAAGCTTCCCGTCTGGGAAGTCCAGCTCCGGGATGTAGATGGTAATCCGTGGTCAGGCAGTCTAGCGAATAGCCCCCCCGACGGCCAAACCGTGTGGGTGCGGAGACGACAGAGAATCGGCTAAAAATTATAGCCCCCCCTTGCTATACCTCACCTTTAGGGCAGGTCATCTCAATCGTCGCAGATAACTTGGCTGGGCGACCCGAGCACTCTCCACTTGGAACGATGAGACCACCGGGTTCCGCCATGAGATCGCCACTGTATCCGCCAATTGGGGCTGGTCAAGTCCCAAAGTTTCTGGTCTGGCAGTGGTAACGCAGACGCTTCTTGATTGTTGCGTTATCTGTTCCACTCGCAAAGCAACCGGCCTGCCTGCCTTCTATGCTTGCCTTCTTCTTTAGGCAAGTGCGTCCATGCGGTTGGCTAATCCGATTGGCTGATGAAATTGTCGGATGCAACCCCTCCCCGCCTTGTTATTGCATCATGCGTCGGTTTCAACTGCTTCGCGAATCACACGGTGAACCCAGAACACCAAAAGCAAAAGTACTGGTTCCCCCGCCAGTATTTAAGAGTCGTTGGCCCCTTTTCCTCTTTCTTGACTACTATCTCATGAGCCGTCACAATTAATTTTTTTTACCAAAGCTCCTCGCTATGGCTTTCCTTCTCCCAGTTCTCGTGGCTACATTGGCTGTCGCCTCCCCCTTGAACCAGTTCATCACCAAGCAAGCTCTTCCCTCTGTCCCCAACGGATGGCAGCTCAAGGCCTCTGCGCCAGCGGACGAGAAATTGAATCTCCACATCCGCCTCAGAGAGGAGAATATAGACCAGCTGCAGAAGCGCACTCTGGAGATCAGCGACCCTGACCATGCCGACTACGGCAAGCACCTTACCAAGGAAGAGGTCGATACTCTGACTGCTCCTACCAAGGACACTGTTGACTCAGTCACCGAGTGGCTGTCTTCTCACGGCATTGACGCCGGTCAGGTCAACAGCGGCTTCCTTACCATCTCCGTCAGCGTTGACGAGGCCAAAAAGCTACTCGATGCTGACTATGGTGTCTACACTCATGCTGCCACTGGTCGCGAGACTATTCGTGCCACCAGCTACAGTCTGCCTCAATCTGTTCATGGTGCCATTGATATGGTCCAACCTACCACTCTCTTTTCCGACCTTGGATTGACCAAGAACATGATCCCCATTCAGGAGGTTCCTGCGTCTTCCAACCAGGCTCGCACTGGCGATGTTTGCGCCAAGGAAGGCTCATCGACCAAATGTCTTCGCCAGAACTACAACGTTCATGGCTACAATGCCTCTACGGGCAAGACCACATTTGGCATCACTGGCTTCTTGGGAGAAGTTCCGGATCCCACCAGCCTCAGCAACTATCTGAAAAAGTACGATAGCGATATTCCCTCCAACACCTCTTTCACCGTCGTACCCATTAACAATGGCCCCACCAAACCTGGTGGTGTCGGCGAAGCGGATCTCGACGTTCAAATCTCGGTTGCGTTGGTCCACCCCATTGAGACCGTCTTCTACTCTACTCCCGGTAGCCCCCCAACCACTGGACCTGGTGGTGAGCAAAACGAGCCGTACCTCGACTGGCTCAAGTACACTTTGGCTCTGGAGCACCCTTCCCAGACTTACTCCATTTCTTATGGTGACGATGAGCCCACTGTTCCCGCAGACTATGCCGACGCGGTCTGTGCCCAATTCTTGAAGCTAGGCGCTCGTGGTGTCAGCGTTCTCACTGCTTCCGGTGACTCGGGCGCTGGAGGCAGCAGCGCTTGCCAGGATGGCAAGGTCACTTACAAGCCCTCCTTCCCCGCCAGTTGCCCTTGGGTCACCACTGTCGGTGGGACTACCGGATATGGCTCCAACGAGCAGGGCTTCCCCGATGGTGGCGGTGGTTTCTCTAACCACTTTGGCACTCCCGACTACCAAGCTGATGCTGTCAAAGCTTACGTTGCAACACTCGATAGCTCGACTAAAGCCGCCTTTAACGCGTCTGGACGTGCCTACCCTGACATTGCGGCCCTCTATACCAACTTTCCCGTCTTTAGTGGTAGCCGTGAGGGCAGAAGCGGCGGCACCAGCGCCTCTACCCCGACCACCGCTTCCATCATTGCTCTCCTCAACGACTTTCTTGTTTCCAAGGGTAAGAGCCCTCTCGGTTTCCTCAACCCGTGGCTCTACAAGAAGGGCAAAGACGGCCTGCGTGACATTACCAAAGGTCAGAACAACGTCTGCTACACGCAAAAGGCTTTCCCTGCTGCCAAGGGCTGGGATGCTTCTACTGGTCTGGGTGTGCCTGACTTTGGCAAGCTCAAGGCGCTCCTGTAGACGGATCAAGGAAACAAGTACATTTTTAGCATACATACTGTAATGAATATGAATAACGAAGCAGAGTTTGATGAAGTGTTGATTCAGTCTTTTTTGAACTGGTGAGGCATGTCTAGATTCTTCGTGTCTCGTCACCATGAAGTTTACGGGTCTCGGCTGCGTATAGATGGACCGATCATGAATATTAACACTAGCTGATCCGAAGACAACATGACCATTTTGGTTCGACGCTCTCACACGCCACAGCCACCTACGATGTAAAGCACCACCACTACGCCTCCGGGGTCGAATGAATTTTTGAAAGGCGAAAAAAAAAAAAAATACAATATCTGGCTCGCTTAATTTGTACGCTATCGGACTGTGCGTGGTCTTGTTTATTCATACTAAACGGCCTGGAAACTCATAATACTCGCGCGCCATAAGGGTTGTCAAAAAACTGCTGCAGTGACCAACAGTACGAAAGTGAAGCATGCACATGGATGCGAGCCGAGAGTTTTTTTTTTTTTTTTTTTAAAAAAAAATTATTCCTTAGATCAGAGCAAGGACATGGTGTACTTTTTCTACAACAGAAAGACGACTGATAAATTACGAGTCCAGTCTGAGATAATTGGGAGTCAGAGAAGGAAGAATACGGAAAGGCATCGAGCGAGATTACCGGAGAAGAATGGACTGCTGATATTGACGCCGAAGATATTTATCCTTAGGGCGCCGACGGTTCTGGGCGACAGAATCTAGGGATGCTTTGATTGCAGGGTAGACCAAGAATGCTATCGAGTCATCATAGCAACAGTAAAGCAAATTCTTCATTTTCTGCACAGGTATATCTGATGCGTCGCCAGAAGCGCCGTCTGCGCCATTGTAATTTTTCCTTGTTTATCTCTATACTGACATACAACTGCAAACCTCGCTAGAATACTATGGATTCAATATTAATCATGCGGCTGACAAGTTGCTTGATCAACTGTAAGATTAATATGAACCTTTGACGGGGCCGTTGATGTGCACATCAGTCTCTGTGTGGTCCCTTGAGGTGATGGCTGAATTGACTCATTTAAGCGGCTGTGAGCCAGGCCATTCTTTTCATCTATTCAGCCATCGGTATCGCGTCTTTGCGATACTTGCAAGGCAATCACATTACCGCGCAATGCAACAAACCCGGCGCTCTTTTTGATTGAAGCAACTTCGTCTTTCGTATCCGGCAAATCTTTCAGGCGTGCTTGGCTCTTTGAACCAGTGCGCCGTACAACGTTGGTCAAGGCGATACTGGATTTGTCGGCCGTAAAAAACGGCATGCAGTTCTCGGCGGGCTAGATGTGACGATGAGATTGCTCAGAGTGTGCCTAACCACCAAATCTCGAACGCAGGATGCGAACCGTCATGAGCGCTGATGTTTGTACTGTCAATTATCAGCAAAGACCAAGTTTGATGTCGGGTTCTTCATTTTTTGATGGTGGCCCCGGAACCAAGATCCGAACCAAGTATGCATGGGGCAATATATATACTGCGTCGTGTACATACATGAGCGACGCGCGTGCTGCTTGCAGTACATATCGTACCGTGCCGACGGTGCCGTTATGCGGGGGACGATCGTTTTCGCTATCCGCCATTCGCTGTCATTTGTCTCTTTATCGATTCTTCTCCTTCTCCTTTGATTGTTCCCCAGACTTTTGATTTTCACACATGTGCGAGCTCGCAAGATCTATACTGCTGCGTTTGACGCCCACATCGTCTGACCGATGCCGAGATTGTCGACCCTTTTGTCGCAGCATGTGCATTGTTAGAGAAAGGATTCATAGAAAATGTAGTGTGTGTATAATACCAATTCAGTACGTATAGTGGTACGACGCCCTCGGTGGTGTGGATGTGCAACGGCTGGCTGGATACGACATATGTACCCGGGGGATTAATTACACATAGCTCATAGTGGTTGTAAAACTAGGTCGCAGTGGGCAGCGAAAGGGCCAGAGGCAGTTAATATCGGAGAATTCAGCAACCCTGCTTTGCCGAGCGGAGTACTCCATTCGAGGATGTCTGGGGTAGGAGGCAGGTTGGCCGACACGTATAAATGTCCCCCCTTGTTGCATGCTTTGGTACATGTACTCGCTTGAACAAGCAACAACATCGGCATCGCATAGACACAGCAACAACAGTGATACAAGGCAGTTGTTCTTTCCATCTTGTTCGCCGCTCGGCTTGTCTAGCCCATGCTAGTACAATGGACAGAAGCGTGGCATGACATGTCACTCTGGCGGCGCACCAATGCACAGCAACGATTCATACCAATTTTCCCTGTTACAACGTCTGCTCTTTCAAGCAAGAGTTCGTATCTGTATGATGCCCAACTTGTTCTCGGCGCAGATACTACTAGGGCGTCATTGGCTTGTGGGTATGCCACGTCTCGAGCATAAGAGACAAGGTTATCATGTTTGAGTTGGCAGCTCGCACGGCTACCTTGGAAGCTGTGTCAATTAGAGTGGTCGGTGACGGGATTTGGGGGTTCTCCTTGCATCGGGTAATTCTGTCACCAATCTCATGCCCTAGCTAGCGTCCTTGCCGAGTCATCTCGGTCCCAAAAGCATCAACGTTGTTGCCCAATGAGCTCGACTTCCGATGCTGCCATCCGATGAGGTCATAGCGGGAAAACATGGACAATTCTGCGAAAAGAAGCTTGGCAATTTACTTTGATGATGTGGTCACAACTAAAACTGACAAACCACATTTTTCCATTTTTTCCCATAAGTAGGTTTTCCATGGAACAAGCGGTAAGACTAGTCTTGGCCGCCGATCTGTCTGAGCCTCCTCCCTCCGCAGACGTTGCTGAGCCGCGATGAGTTGCATTATTAATGACCAAAGCAAAGCGAAAAGCTCGCCAAGAGGGGTTTTTCCCGCAGGGACCCGGTTATCACGGCCACGCGTATGCACGGGTCGCGGCAGCTCTCTCATCAACAGCAGACTCCAAGGCGTTGCGACTTGACGGACCTATTTCGGCAAAAGAGGATATGCACACCGACCATCTGACTGCTCTCCCGCATCCCCAGTCTGCCCGGGGCCGATGCGGATCTGAGACCCTCTTTTTTGCTGGAACCTATGCAACGCAATCGGGTGTTCGGCATGTACTAACTACCTCTAGCTATCTAGTGGCGCATGATGGGAGGGGGGGAAGCGAGAACTTTGTCTACCCACGGCCACGGCCACCGCGAGAGAGAGAGAGAGAAGCGGGAGCGGCACAAGAGCGCACGATTGCTTTCATATGCAGCCAAGGCCCCAAGGGCCAGCAGATAGCTCCAAGGGGGGCAGTGCAGGGACTTGAGCTACAACGCTTTCCTTGCGGGACACATGTGCCGGCGTAGCATCACCGAATGCAGCTACTTGCGGTGGCGGCTGTCGCAAGAGGCTCCAACTAGTTACGTTGGCATCTTTTTTTTTGTGCGAATCGACCTTGTTCCTCCCTAGATAACTAGAACTGTGTGGCACGGATGCCCCGTGGAGCCCAACGTCGGACTCTAGATTTAGGTTGCCCACACGCAACCAATGATGATGGATGGATTTCGAGTCTCGATGATTTGATCACTCCGGAATGCGCGGCTCATCAAGGCTAGATAGATTTTTGTAGGCCCGGACACACTCGCATGACGATATTGACTCGTGCGAATCTGGCGGCATCTCGATGCCGAGCTCTGGGTGTCAAAGCACTAGGAAAGGGCGAGAGTATTTAAAGAGGGCAAGACGGTTCTCCGAGCTCTGTCGTTGAAGCACTAGATAAGTTGAACAGTATTTCAACGCAAACCGTCTGCCAACTTGTCAGAAGCTCTTCAGCTCGATTTAAAGGCAGCCACATCGGGATCGTGCAGCTACCATGATGTTTAGCTCAAAAACATTACTACTTTTGTCCTTGACAGGTAGTGCTTACGGTGCGCCACAGTAAGAAAACGACCTCTTTTTTTTTTTCCAACATCTTACTACTACTGCATGACAAGACGCTGACAGGGGGTTCCCAACTACAAGAATCAAGTATGCCGGAAACACTGGCCCGATCGCGGGCGTCACACCCCCCTTGGCTAGCGTGCAGGCTCCGGTCGGCGGCCTTCGCGGCGATGCCAGTCTTTTGGGCGGCAACGCCAAGATTCCCGACGTGACAAAGCAGAGCGCCGAGGTGGACAATCCCACGCTGGTACAGGGGCAAGACGCCGATGCCGACCTGGGCCTGTACCTCGACTTTAACAGCGCGGACAAGCCGGAGCCGTACCGCGGCAGCAAGGGCGCCTCGGCCGACGGCGCGCGCACGTTTGCGTACGAGAAGCTGAACCCGGACCTCTTTGCGCCGCCGGGCACCGACGCCGGCAGCGTGCCCAACGCCATGTGGCCGATGGGCCTGTCGCACAACCGCTTCGGGTCCGGCGAAAAGTCGGGCTGGGCGCGGCAGCAAAACACGGACGTGCTGCCGAGCGCGACCGCCATGGCGGGCGTCGACATGAAGCTCGCGCCCAACGCGTACCGCGAGCTGCACTGGCACACGGCGGCCGAGTGGGCGCTGGTTTTGAAGGGGTGCGTGCGCGTCGCCGCCGTGAATGACGAGTCGCAGACGTTTACCGACGACTTGTGCGCCGGCGACGTCTGGTTTTTTCCCGCCGGCGTGCCGCACTCGATTCAGGCCTTTGACCAAGGGGTCGAGTTTTTGCTCGTCTTTGACCAGGGCGACTTTGACGAGAATGGCACCTTTCTCGTGTCGGAAATGTTTGCCCGCACGCCCACGTCGGTGCTGGCCAAGAACTTTGCGGCGCCCGTCGACGCCTTTCGGGACATTCCGCAAAAGGAGCTCTACATTTTCGACGGCACGCCGCAGCCCAAGGATATTGCCAAACAAACCGTTACGGGCCCCGCGGGTGCCGTGCCCGTCGCGCACGCTTACACGTACCACTGGTCGCAGCAGGAACCGTTTGAGACGCCCGGCGGCACCGTCAAGATTCTCGACCCGACCAGCTTTCCCATTGCCGCGGGCTTCTCCGCCGCGCTCGTCACGGTGCGGCCGGGCGCGATGCGCGAGATGCACTGGCACACGACCTCTGACGAATGGGACTACTTTTTGCAGGGCTCCGGCCGCGCCACCGTGTACAAGGCGCCCGACGCGGGCCGCACCTTTGACTTTACCGCCGGCGACGTCGGGTATATCCCAAAGGCAGGCGCGCACTATGTAGAGAATACGGGCACCGAGGACCTCGTGTTTTTGGAGGTGCTGCAGGCGCCCAAGTTTACCGACATTTCGGTCGCGCAGTGGCTGGCGCTCACGCCCAAGCAAGTCGTCAAGGATCATTTGCATCTGGACGACGCGGTGCTGGATAACATTCCAAAGGAAAAGACGATACTTAAGCAGGGAAACACAAACTTGACTGCTTTGAGCTCATGATTTTTCAATTTTAGTACCTTTTTTCTTTTTTCCTTTTCTTTTTTTTTTTTCAGTCAATTCTTCCTCTCATGGTTGCATATATGGAGCTTTCCTGGCGTTGTTCAGTCTTGCCTTGTTTTCTTTATTATTAGTGTTGGTACTATTTATTCTCTCATGGCGATCCCTGGGCGGTTGCAGCGATGTATTTTGGCAAAATAATTCTTACGCCCTCACAATCACTAATTCTACATGATGCTGTCCATGCCTCGAACCCTAAAATTGGGTTTCTAATTTTATTCCCGGCCCGTGACGTATTATCACGTAGGCAGGTCTACACCTTCTCTCCCTATTTATTATTGTACCTTTTTCGCAACCGCTGCGTCATTGACGCGAGACGACAAATAGCCTTTTACACTATCCAAGTATCCAGCCCGCCCACACTCAAAAGCCAACCAGGATAAAATGACGGCATGCGAAAGAGTATTGGCAAATGCAAACACACCAAGCTCCGCCTCGGCCATGTCTTGCACCGCGTGCCCGACGCCAAAGAACTCGTGGACTTTTTCCTGCGGCAAGAAGCTCAGCGCGTAGCCAATGCCGTAGAGCAAGCTCAGGGTAACGCGCTCGACCGAGATGAAGCTGGCGCAGATTGTGTGCAGCACCGCCCATTTCCGGTGCTGCACAAAGTTCTTGGCCCGCGCCGTCACGGCCGTTTTGTAAATGGTCAGCCAGTAGAACGGGGCAATCACCCAGAGTGTGAGCTCAAACGTCGGCCAGCGGAGGATGGGACCGAGGCCTTTTAAACTGTGCATGTGGAAGACGTTGGCGTGGGTGTATGCAGTCTTTGATAGAAAGAACCAGTACCCGGACATGCTGAGCACCAGCGAGAGGGAGAGGATGGCGTAGCCGGCTGCGCGGTGGGCAAGAGGCCATTTCTTTCGCAACGTCTCGACGTGCTGCAGCGGCATGGCGATGCTCCAGAGGACAGCCGGCAAAACGTGCAGCAAATGATATACCGATACCGGGGCCGATTCTTTGCGGTAGTTTAAAAAGTGCTCCCCGGACTTTTTTTCCTTGCCGTTGTTAGTTTGTATATTCCGAGAGTGGGCGGGGACGGAAAGATGGAAAACTGTACCGGCAGGCGACTTGTAGTAAACAATTTAGCTTTGCCATTCTGTCTAAAAGGGCTGTGATAACCAGCGACGGAGAAAAAGGCGTAGATGATCATGAGGCTGCTCAATGGGACCAAGACCTTTTGCGAGATGCGCCATGCAGATTTGGCAGCCATCTTGGTAGAAGACTTTTGGTCTGCGCTTCAGAGGTAAAACATGCTCGAGGCCAATTGTCGCCAAAAAAAAAGAAGAAAAAAAAAAGACTCCGTGGCCGCTTTTAAAGCAATTGATAACAATCTAGTTGTTACATGTGACAGTCTCTCGTGATTTTTGGTCTTGCCGGTTACCAGGCCGTTAAAGGCTAAATGATAAGTCAAGAGGTCAAGGCACAACCCCGCAGCAACTCTACCGGCAACTCGGGCTGGCGTGTCAAAGAAGTCACAATTGACCATTAGCAAGCGTCCCAACACTTTTTTGCAACTCTAGATTTAGTTAAGCTGATCTTTGAATTACAGGGGAGCAAGCAGGGCCACTTGGCAGTTTGCAGCATCCAATCAAGTCGCCATAGTTACACATGTAACCCCTTGCTGCCTCTTCCTCTTCATTTCCAAGAGTTGAGCTTCTTGATGTACTAATTCATAATGCGCAAAATCCAGAAAAAAAAAAGAAGAAATTTTGTATCCTTGAAGAACTATGCCATGTATTTCTCAGGATATATATTGCAACCCCGTGCCGCGCGTCACCCAGTCACCGTTGCCGCCAACGTCGTCAGGGTTGCGACAGTAAACAAAATGGCAGCCACGAGAAAAGGCAAGCCGATCCATATCCCGCCCAGCTTCAGACCCCACTTCAAGGCCGTGGAGAAGACCGGCCCTCCGACAATGAGGCCAGCATACGTGACGGACGTGACGCCAGAGTACAGCAGGCTCAGGAACCGCGGTTCCACCATGGCCGTGAGGAAGCTGCGCGCCGTGACTGTGAAGCTAAAGCCCAACGCGATCAATATCTGGCCAAGCACCAGGCCAAGCGGGTTGGCCGAGAGAAAGATCAAGACGGATCCGATGGCGAGGCAGACACCGCTGATCAGCGTGACGTACTTGTCCGCCTGCCACTGAACGAGGCCTCTTTGCTGGGTGAAGAATCGGACGAGGTGAGGAATCACCCAGAATAGTACGGCTAGGTTGATTCCCGCACGAAGAGGGAGGAGGTAAGACGCCTAAAAGAGGTTGGGGGTGGTTAGAATTACAAGTGTTGAAAGGTTGATTGCACACGGCTTAGTGCTGGGGTGGTATGCTGTGAAGAAACCTTTGCATAGTCCCAGCTGAATTTGAATGAGCTGAACTGGAGTAACACGCTCGAGAATTGACGACTAAGCTGGCAGCAGAAAAAGGCCACGAGCATTAGCAATACATCTCTCGACAGCCAATGGCCAACGGCATTGACTGATGTCGAAGCCGATGCAGGTTTCTGCAGATTGGTGGCGGCGACAGAGTCAATAACAGGGTTCGAGGATACAATTCCATCGTCATGATGGTCTTTGCCACATATAGGCTCGTATTTCGGGGGCGACGAAGGAAGGTAGCGACCGAGAAACAGTAGTACAACGACCAAGGTTGCCGCCAGGATGCCAATGCTACCGAGTATTGGTATCCAAGGATTTGTGGACACAAAGGCAGAGCCCAAGGGGATGGAGATTATCTCTGAAACCAAAACGGCGGCTTGAATGTAGGAAAAAGATGTCGTTCTTTTTACACAAACCGAAACGAGTCCTGGTCAACCACGGCGTTTGGCAAATCTGACGCTGGCGCAAGACTTACCTTTGCTGTGGCGTACACATGTCGGCAATCATAGTGTAGCACATGGCCATTACAGTTGCTCCGCCGCCTCCGATCAGTTGAAAGACGCCAGAGAACCACATGGCGCGCAGCGGCAGTTTTTGCGGCAGCCAGCCTGGTGTTGTTGTTGCTGTAAGTGGATGTGCAATGATTATACGTGATAATAAGTAGAGCACCAAAATGACACTTTTTACCAGAGCAGAGGCAAGACGAGAAAATGGTAGCCAGCAAAAAAGAATATTTTTTTTTTGTTTTGAAAAAAAAAAAAAAAAACATACAAAGGCGGAAAGGAAAACTTACATACTATGGCGAGCCAGCACTCGCTCAACAAGCTGCCAAAGAGAGCCAGCAGGAGGACATTGGTGCGACCAATGTGATTTGCCAAAGCACCATAGGGAATGGAAACCAGGACGCCTAGAATTTATGCGTCAAAAAGTGAAAAAAGTGAAAAAAAAATATCAAGGATAGAAGAAGAAAAGAGCAGATTCGGACACGAATCGTACGTACCTGGGATAGTATCAAACGTTTCTTTCCAACCGTTAATGACAGCCAGCTCCGCCTGCACGGGCTCAACTTTGCAGTCGCCCATTCGAGAATCGCCGCTCCCTCCCCATGCATCGTAATAGTTGCGACATAGAATATCCTCAAAAATGACTAGCCGGGGCGTCATGGGCACGCTGGCGACCACGTCTGATATTAAAATAATGACGCTAGCCGCGACGGTGACCTTGAAGACGGTTGGCAATGAGCCGCCAGGTCGAGAATACGCACTGGGGCTGCTATCGTCGTCGGATGGCAATGTTTGGGCCAATGTCCTTAGCAGTGGCGATTCTTCCGCATACTGTCCGTCGTCGTCGACCTCGTCCTCTTGGTCTGCACGCCGCAATCGGTCCTCTGTGCCGAGCATGGTTGAGAGAGAAAGAGTTACCCCTGCTAGCTATCGGTACTTGTCTGGCAGGGTTTGGGATCGCTGTTTTGTTTGTTGAGAGGGCATGCGAGTAGATGAGGGGGTTTAATTTTCAATAATGAAGCCGCTCCGGAAAACTGAACTGAACAATGAACTGTCATGATGGGGGAAAAGTTGTTTAAGTGGGCGGAGAGAGCAGGAGCCGAACCCTAACGCATGCAACCGGCGACGTGACTGCCATGGACATGTGTGCTGTATTCATCATTGCAGTTTATATGCCACGCACTAATACAAGTGAATTGCAGTTTGCATTTAAACGATCGCTCGGCAGGGTGAGGCATACTATCCGCGGCCGTTTCGTAGCCAGCCACCCGTCTTGCCGTCTACCTAGGGTCTGCAGTAGTGTCGGCCTAAATCTCGCGGGGGCCGTTAGTCAAAATTAGTTTGTAGATGGCGCTTTTTTACTTTGTGCAAGTTGCGGGGGAAAACAAGCACCATGCCCTGCTTTCTATTTTGCGCCAAGAATGTGACCAGTCCACTGGCGATGGCTGTTCTGAACCATCCCCTCCCACGTGTCTCTCCCTTATCACTGCCATCTGTACTTTCGTACTGGTATGGATTAGTAGGTAGCACTTTGTCATCTAGGCAAGACAGCTCAGTCCTGTGACTTTTGTCAAGGACGAATCGGGTGTGCCACGAGGCTGCGCTGCTCGGCTGTCTAGTGAAACGTGTGCATTCAACGGCAGAGGCTGGGATGGCGGCCTCATTTGTCTCACTTGTATCACTCGCAAGGATAATGGCTAATTATAGAGAAAGAGGGTCTATGTAGGGCTTGATTACTAGTGGTAGATCGTGAATTGCACATTGATATACCTTGAACTTGCACAAAATACGTCAAGGTACCGTAATGAATTTCAGCGTCCTTGCATTTGCGCGCTTTTCAGTGGGCAAAATACCGGCTGAAGCCTCGAGACGTCCACACACCCCTTCTCTGCTCTCATACCGCAACAGCGGCTTTTTCCGTCCAATGCCATCATGTCTGCCCCATGGGGGGTTACAGGCGCACTTTGACTAACCCCGCACCCCGGCTTGCCGGCTTACACCGGCTGCGGCAATGCAGACAAGTCGACGGCGAGGACAGTACTTGATCCCTGAATAACACCACTGGTTTGGTCATGTAAGATTCATGTGACAGATCAAAACTATTCTATACCCGTTAGATTCGTGCGCCCTCAAGTCCAAGGTATCCCGAGATGCGGACACAAATTGGATCGTAGCCGCTTGTCCGTAACGGCGACTCGGCCACTACCCGTTTTCTCCGCCGCCGCTCCTTTTAATGCGAAAATGCAGGTCGCATGCAAGTTCAGAAAGGCCAGACATGCCTGTGAGACCCAAGATGGGTCTCAGATTCTTCAAGGGCAAATGAAAATGCAGACCGAGGATGGCCGCCTACTGAGTAACCTGCAATCGATAGCACCACGTATTCGTATCCTTGTCTCGCTACAGCGCATTCCGCATTTGCTGGTTACCCCTCTTCTAGGTTGCATTCTGGCCAATAAGTCCATGATTTTTCCTTTTTTTGTTTCTTTTTTTTTTTTTCTTTTTTCTTTTTCTTTATATTTGGCCCGGTAGCATTCGAAATCAATCTGCAAGGAAAACTGATATAGTAATAGGCGCGGCGCCAAGTAGTGCCTGCGCCAAATCTACGTGACAGCTGAACCATCCGGTCTGTAGCACGATACGCAGCCCATGCAGTTGATTCATTACGTTGGCTGCATCTCGAAGATTTTAGTGTTGCTTTTATATGGAATGGCACTCCTGACGTGAACATGTGACTGGTGGCTGGTCAATCTAGTGGACCGTATCTACAAGATATTTCACCGAGTCCAGCGCGCGCCTCGTCTTCTACTCGCATTCTATAATGATTATTATATCTATTAGTGCAAGCTCTGGTGGAAAACTACATCATTACCCAATGTACAAGAATCCTTTCTCGCCGCAAAGGGTTCAAGGCCTCGCCAGCGTCTAGAACTTTGCAACCCGCAAGTAGATCGTACCAAACGCGATGATGCAAAACAAAGGAAGCACATATGCCATATTCCTTGCAATAATAAAAGCAGCTTCCTGTGTTTGGCTGCAGGCCATCGGCTTGCCACGGGCATTGTAGACACGGGAGATTGCGGCAACGGAGCGCGAACCAAATACGCAGGGCAGTCAAGCCACCAAACTTGCTTCCTCGACGACTTGCCCCCGGAAGCAAGTTTTTCATTCTTGAACAACAAGAACAAGAAAATCAACATCCAAGTATCTCTCTACTCGATTCCAAACGTCGAAATAAGCTGCTATAATTGCCAACATGACTGCTACAAACGTCCCAGACAAGGGCAGGGACACTCTAATCGAGTCCCTCCTGGCCAGCTCCCTGCATAACCCTGCTCTCCTGGAAAAGTTTCACATTCCCAGGTTCAAGCTTCGACTTGCCACTATCGACGCCTGGGGCGTAAAAAAGGGCCAAAGACTGCTCGATATTGGCTGCGGACAAGGCGAGTCTAGTGTCGCTCTCGCTGCCGTGGTTGGCGACGCCGGCAACGTGACTGCGATTGATACCGCGCAAATGGACTATGGTCATCCCTTTACGATGCGCGATGCGCAGCAGCACATTAAAAACTCAGCTCTGGGCCCTCGCATATCGTTTCATCAAGTCGACGCCGCGTCATTCCTGACGGATCTATGGAAGCCAAAGGATGCGCCCATTGACGGAGCCGTTCTCTGCCAATGCCTCTTCTACTTTCCCGACGAGTCCGAGGTGCAGAATCTCTTTACTACGCTTTCCCATGCCGGTATCGCGCCCATCTACGTGGCCGAGTGGTCGTACACGCCGTCGCACGAACCGCAGCGGGCGCACATTCTGGCGACGCGCGCTCAGGCGCTGTATCACAGGTATAAGCCGCAGGGCCCGTCGGAGCTGCGGGAGCAAAATGTTCGCTCTGGTGTGGACCAGCAGGCTATTCTGCGAGCGGCACAGTTGGCTGGATACAGAGTAGCCAAAGAGGATCTCGTGACGCCTGAACAAGACATGCGCGAGGGCCAGTTTGAAGTCGAATATGTGCTTGGACCTTGCTTTGAGCAGCGAGTCAAAAACGCACGTCTTCCACAGGTCCAGGAGACTGAAATCAATGATGCTGTCCAGGAACTGAAAACAGAATTAGAGAAGCCGCTTTACTCGGGTACTACCAACGTCATGGCCATGGACGTGTGGTGCGCCGTCTTTGAGTTGCAACAGTAGCTAGCGTTTTTTTTTTTTTTTTTTTTTTCACAGTACAACATACACAATGGATACGGTTGACCGTCTGGCAAGATTTAAATATTCTGTCAAATGTCTTCATGTGAATATTATATGTATACTTTGCTTCAAGCTCTGCATTACGGTCCTCCAATTGCATTCAGCACCCCCCGCGTCCCCAATCTTCCAACACTCTTCGCTTACCGCTTTCAAGCATGCTACTGTTGCTGCTGAACTAGGATCCGCGGCAGAAGCCTCGGCTAACACATTCACAAACACGCTGCGGTGTGCACCCGTCGCCAGGCTGGCCGACACGCAAAAGGCCCACGACATGCATCTCAACTCTCCGGCCCCAAAGGAAACCTTGTCCCATTGTGGTACAGACTTCTCAAGCGCATCTCTAATCTCTGGCACGCCCGGGTGACATCCCGACGTGATTGTATGGATGTAAATGGCGACGGCATGCGCATAAATGAGCGTCTGCGCATTAGTAACCCCCCTTTTTGCTTCTGGTAAGAAGACGCGTAAAAAAACTTTTCGACGCGGGAGAATGACGATACTTACTGGATCCGATGTCCAATTTTAGACAGGATGGCCTCTGTTTTGCTAACCAATTCTCTCATGCTCAGCCTATTCTTGGCATCCTGATCTCCTTTCCAGATGGCAACTTCGACGGCGTCCATGAGAACGACGAGTACCCAGCAATCAAAGCCAGCAACTTTTAAAAACGTCTCGTCCAATGTTGTCGACGACAGAATGCGACGATATAGGCTGGCAGCGGTAGGTAAAGACTGGCACGATGAAGAGTGTAATATGTGTACCCAAATCAATATGCAGGTGAAGAAATCGACGGCTCTGCGCTCCATACCAGAGACCGAGGGTGTACTGGCCGACTTGATCGGAGATAGCTCAACTACATAGCCAGGATCCTCGGATAACCTGGCTAGTGCGTCCGAGGCCGAATTGATATAGGTCAATGTGCCGTCAACATTTTCACTCAATGACTGTCATCATGTTAGAGTCGCCCTTTACGCGATGAATCAGCGCCAAAGAACTCGTACCTCAAGTATCGCCAGCTGAACACTGCAAATCACCGTCTCTTTTGCAGTCCAGTCCAGTGATTGGTCATTGCCTCCGCCATTCACCTTGACGAGATTGCAGTAAAGTTCTATTGCCTTGTTTCTAAATCCATCATATTCTCGAAAATACTCGGTGCGCTTGCCATGGTGCGGCGGTGTTTTCAGAAACTCATAGTACGCACTCGTGCTTAGAGCGGCATAGAAGAACGCAGGCGAGCGCTGAAGCAGCCACATCAGCCATGCTCTGTCTGTTATTGACCAAGATTGGTAGCACGGATGCAGTCTGTTGAAATCGTCACCAAGAAACTGCATCATGAGCTCAATCTCTCGCTCCTGCAATGTGTGCATATGAATCGAAGCCGAGGCAAATGTTTGCATCACCGCACGAGTACACTTCTCCCCGGCACTGTCTCTTTGGGGGCTCTCAACTGAACCATTCAATGTCGTCACTGAAGATTCGAACAATGTCGGACTCGAGCTCAACAGCCCCTCCATGCCATTGACCCAGAAATCTGACAGCACGAATGGTGTATTCGGAGTGGGAAGACTGGGTTGCGGATCAAGGATAGCCAGTTCGTACAGCTCTCGGTCTTGTTCCTCGGTCGACTGAGGCGGCGACGGCTGCAGCGTCATATCCGGCGGTGAGGCAAAAACGAGCGCGGGAGAAGGGCAAATTCTGTCACTATTCTGTACATGGAAAGACTGTCGCTCTGCATGCTGCTCCGAGAGTTGGGGAAGCTGCGAGTGCCAGCGTGTCTGTGACCGGCGCCGAAGTTGAAGTCTCTCGACCTCTTCCTGCTCCCGCTGTCCTCGGTCTTTCCAGGCAGGCCTAGGGCCGTAGCCATGGCACACAACGCCTCTAGACTTGCAATTGGAACACGGCAAGCCGTCTTCGGAGCATTTTTTGCGCCGCAGCCGGCAGGTCCAGCAACCGGACTTGCTGCGTTGATTGACCATGACGCTATATGAGCCTGGAAAATGTTCAGATACTCTGAGACATTAACAGCTGTTTGTGTTGCACATAAATTGGCACCTGTGGCATTCTGAATGCTTGCTATAATCATGCCCGCGCACCAACACAATCTCCGTCATGTGTGGGGGAGCTGGGCCAGCGACGCCGGAGAGGATGACGCTGCGAGCTTTCCTGCTGCGAGCTTCTGTCGCTACATCTTTCAAACAGAAAACTGAAGCTAATACTAGATGCATGACGTACACTATCAGCGGGTATGGTGTTGCGGGAGTAGGTCTTGCCTGTAGATGATGACCTGAAATGGCAAGTGAAGAAGCCGGCCACCGAACCCCGCCCCTCCGGCACTGAATCCCCGCGATTGCCCCTCCTCATCTAATACTGAGCTATTCAAGATGGCTGGCTGAGAGTATCTGGATAGTTTATCTACGGGGCACAATCTTTTACAGATCGTCACTGCAGCTTAGTAGTACAGAGGCATAGAGTCCAGAGCATTATACCAGCAGCGAGCTCAGTCCAGGGCTATGGATTGGCCCTTCTCTATAATTTCAATTATCGGCGCCGGGTAGAGTCGGGCCGCTCTACATTCAGCTCCTTCTATTCTAATGTTGTGTAAAAATATTGAATTTCCAAAAGCAAACCATCCATATAACTCCGCCAACTATCACAGTAGCCCGCCCCATGGGGCTACTGCAACTGTCTGCTGCAGGACGCCACAGCGAAGATGCGACTATCCAATAGTTGCCCTTGCGTGGCTTCACGAGGCGGAGCATTACCTCTTCTGCAGCATCGACACATATGCATCCTGTACAGCATTTTGACTTTTCTCCGGAGGGGGGCCTCGATTCCTTGCACGCGGGCACTTCCCCGCCACACATAAAGAAGATGAAGTTGATACTTTGACACCCTCTCCTCTCCGTGGTGGCTTGTGACGCGTCACCGGTTCTTGCCTTGGGATCTTGGGAGGAGTTCGAGGGCGGTCGAGAAGATGGTGTGATTTGCAGCGATACGCGAGCGTACCTGAGCCGGCTCATTCGGCAACACTTTCCAAAGTGCCCCAAAAACCGAACCCCAAAATTTCTCCTACATGATTAGTATCCAATGCAAGAGCTTGGATCGGATCCAAAGGCCCGGGCCTGATTGGAAGGGTTGGTTCATGTGACGGCATCCTGACTATTTGCAGAGGGGAATTTTTCCAATGGTAAGCATAACACGTTTGCATGAGCGAATCTGTAGTACTTCCTAAGCTCTGGTCAAAGCTTTGGTGTACTATCAGTAGGCGTGACTGCTCAGTCTTTATTGGCGCCAGCCCTTCACTGTCCGTTGCTTATACACAGGAAGCCGCGACGCCTCCTACGGCTTGGAGCGGCAACCACAAGCTGGTAAGCCCGTAGCCCGTAGCTTCATACTGAATTTCCAGTACGACTTTAATCATGTTTCATTTGGAATGGCGGTACAGTTTTAATGGCGGTACAGTTTTTGCCAATTAAACATAGTTGATTGCCACATTGCCAGATAGTTATCTCAACTCACGGACTGCTGCCGCAGGACCGACCGTTTGTACAACACAGCCCCGAAAACATCATCGTTAGTATCCAAAAGCCCATCTCTACCATATCGAGCAAGGTAATCATAATTTGTCGCTGCAAAGTTCAACACTGATGCAACTGTTGATGGCAAGCAGATGGGCCTGCGCATGGAACAACCGGAAAGACCATCCAACCGGAAGCTTGGCAAATCGCTGCCTCATTCTGTAATAGTACGTTGACAACGCCAACCTCATGGATCAGCTGTATCAGTACGGTATTTTGAGATGACTGGTTTTGAGCCTACATGACAAGCCAAACTATCATGGTGAGCCATTTTTGCGCAAGCTTGATTAGGTGACATTCATTACAGCTCCTTTATTGCTGATGACAGCACGTTGGCGCAGAGGAATTTCAGAGGCGTAGACAGTGACACGCCAATGACCAGACACTTGCGGCACTTTACATTAACTTGGACGATCTTGGCGCCGCGCCTATGCCAGATGGCGCATCTGTGATCTGCGAAGAAGATGTAGTATATAATTAGAACTTTCCAGCTAGTTTCTATTGAACAAGCAGCCAGCAGTTTTTCCTCGAGTCACATTCATCACCACTTGCCTACTGAAAACCATGAAGCTCTCTTTCATCTCCGTCCTTGCCGCCGGCGTTGCCATTGCTGCGCCCACTCCTCCGGTATGCTGTATGAGTCTGCTGCCACTTTGATGGTCGCCGTACTAATTCGGCCAAACAAAAAAAGGACAATGCGATTGAGGATTACGTGATTTCTGTGAATAAACGCGGCGACGCCATCGAGGATTACGCCATCCCCGTCAACAAGCGCGGAGACGCCATCGAGGATTATGCCATTCCTGTCAATAAACGCGACGACGCCATCGAGGACTACGTCATTAGTGTTGACAAACGCGACGTATGCTATACGAGGATTACGTCATTAGTGTT